TTCCCCATATATGCGTATATGTGAGGAGCGATTCACGAATTAATATTGTCTTCTGATAGTATATACATTTACATGTGCGACTGAAATACTCAAACGATTTATAACTGTAAATGGTTTGAAAATGATGCTTGAAGTACATGAAGATAAACAGAAAAATCGTGGACTCATTCGTTACGCATATCAAATTGAAGCTATATGCTAAATACCGCATATAATATATAGAACTTGCTGTGTCACCAATAATGAGAGAGATTCATTTTTGTCAAGTGTCCAATTAAGCGGCACATTATTAGGTTATCTCAGTTTTCTGTGCGAATCCTTATTTATGAATATATAGTTATATAGTTTTTAATTCAATATTTTATTAAAAACTATAACTAAGGGATGTTTAAATTCATTTGTTTGGCCTATAATGGGCAAACATCTTTTAGTTATATAGTCTATAGCTAAGATTTAACTAATTAGCTAAGAATTATAATATTATCTTAATCTTATTCTAAAATGCTCTCGGAAATTAAGAAATCAAGCAGTATATGAGGCTCAAAGTGGCCTGAAAAACTTGGAATTTTGATTTTTGCATATGTGACCGCGTCTGAGAAAAGGGACCTCCTGACCAAAAAATCGAGTTTTAGATTTAGGCGGTTTTTACACTTTAAGGTCCTTGAAGTGAAATGCAATTAGTTCCGGGTTAGAAAAATATTTTGGTCATAAAGTCCCTTTTCTCAGACGCGGTCACATATGGGCGATTCTTCAGAATGTGGTCACTTTTGTCAAAATTACTTTTTAAGAAAAGAATTTTGTTTAATTAAATTTTTTCCTTATAAATCTCATCAATTAGTATTAAAAATTTAAAATAAATTAATCAATAACTATTTGAGCTTAAATTTATTTTTTAAGCTCTGGTTCCACCAAAATAAAATCGGGGAAAACATTGAAAAGTGATTTTTGTTAAAATTATTTGTAAGAATCGAAATGAGATAAGCACTTTAACGGTCTATATTGCAAAGGTTGTTTCTGTTTTAAAATGGAGGGGGCGGAAAAATTCAAAACCTTTTGATTTTTCATCTTAAGGGTGAAATGAAAATTTCGATATTTTCTTAGATTATTCATAATGAAGTCTCTCAACAAACATCTGTAACACGTCCGAATATCCGGATAATATTATTAGAAAAATATCTATACACAACACTCTAAGAACCAATGTTAATAAAATAATGATATATAAAAAGTGGCGCCACCCATATGAGGTTCATGTTACAGCCCCCCTAAAATATACGTATCGTGTGCGGGGGTTATTATGAGCTCAGGTTTTTTTTACGATTATGAGCTTTTCCTCACTCGGGCACTGCAGAACTTGTTTCCCACATAACCAATCGATTTGACGAGTTTTGATATTAGACATTTGAGTTGTCAGTTGCACAAGGCGCGCACCAAAAGAGAGATATAGTTCAATAAAATGTGGACTGGAATATACTGTTAGGCGCGCATATAAACCATTCCCTCAATATTCGTGGTTATATATTATTATGCAATATGGCCATAAATTGTTGAAGAAATAATGGTTTTCAGAACCTCGAAAACTCAAATCCCCGAATGCTCAAAACCTCGAAAACTCAACTCCCCGACTGCTCATCAGAACCTCGAAAACTCAAATCTCCGAATAAATTTTTGAAAATAATTTTAATTATTTAAAGAAATTGAATTAAAAATGTATTGAAAATAATACTGAAATTCTAATAAATAAATTGTAGCAAAGGTTTTTAAAATAATTGAATTTCTTTGATAAATTAATAATAAAATTTTTTAAGAATAATTACATCTGTCGAGAAATTCCATTAAATAATTTGTAAATAATTGAATTTCTGAGAAGAATTTTACAACTTTTGAAAATACTTGAATTTCTGCAATAATTTTGTAATTGCTTCAAAATTCAATTTGCTTTAGTGTTTTTAACTAAAATTGTTCTATAAATCCATTATTTTTAATAATTAATTAAATATATATTAAAAATTTAACTAATTTCAGAAGAATTTTAGTTAACAAAATTTTTTTTTAATCTTAGTTTTTTAAAATTTCTAATTAAATTCATTTAAAATTGTAATTTTACAAAATTTTAAATCAAAATCTTCGGAAGTTTATCTATACTTATGAAAATTGTAAACGCAATTCTTTTAAAATTGAATTTATTTTGAAATATTTAAGAAATTAGATTTCAAGAATAAACACAATAACTTTAGAAAACAAGAATTTTCCAGACTTTCGATAAAAATTCCCTGACATTTCCAGGTTACGTGGCAACCCTGCCATTTGCCTGATCATCATATGAAATATATTTTTATAAATTTTTATCGTAATTGTATAAGCGTGGCTAAAACATCAATCCTAAAAGAAATATCTTATAATTTAAGATATTAAAAAGTATATCTAATGCGCTTTACACATATTTTTAGCATATTTTTCAGGAAAGGAACTTTGAGGTTAACTAATATGGACACATACGTAAAGAACTTTATATACCTTAGTTTTTAGTGTAACTTACATATTTTTGACGCATCTTTATAGATGTTCTAATATCACATTTAGACAAAAAACGTATTAAAATTTTGATAAATCTTTTGTCCTCAATTTGATAGGGGAGAGTGGGGCAAAATGGGGTAGGCGGGTCAAATGGGGTACCTCTGTTTTTCCATGATAGGTACTTTTAATTTTTTTTTCCTCGACATATATCATTAATGTTGATAAGAAACTGTTATTAATTATGAAGACACTCCAAAGAAAATTTTTTTTTGAAAGTTATACAACTTTTAAGTTTTAAGCAAAAAAAATATGAATTTTTTTCAAAATTAAAGTGCTTACCAAACTTTTTGGGATAATGCATTTAATTTGGCAAGTGTGGGATCTTTTTCAGTACTTATTCTAGAGTAATTTCCAATAAAATAGATTGTTTAATTGTTTACAATAACTTGTAAACATTGCATTTTGTTTTAATATGCAGTGTGGGGCAGAATGGGGTACCTAAGTGTGGGGCATGCCGGAAGCTACGCCGTTTCATTAAAACTATTTAAAAACATTATATTATGCATATTTAAAGGTTTCCAGCAGAAGAATCGATATTATTGCTTCGAGGCATTTATACTATCGATGTTTCATTATCGGTATATCGATATTTTGCAATATCCATGTTTTTTTGTTAAATTCTAATAAATATTACTTGTTTTTTCATAATAATGAAGAATCCTACTTTGTGTTTGTATTTATAATCTCATACAACAAGAATTTAATGAATTTTGAAAAAATATTCAATGTTTTGTATAGTTATTTGATGACACCCCATTTTGCCCCACGGGTGGTGCAAAATGGGATTTTAGCACTTTCTCAGAAAATACGATATAAGTTCTTTCAAAAATTTTTTTCTCCGCTATTATCATAATTTCCTCAAAGCTAAGTGTACAAAGAAGAATTCTGAAGTTTAGCTGAATCGATTTATTCGTTTGGTTCTCTGTAAACAGCCAATTTCAAAAAGGTACCCCATTTTGCCCCACTCTCCCCTACCCTTACAAAAACTGTGTTACGATTCACAAACAACTTATCGCTAAACATTTTCTTATAACATCTTATGATTGCATACTTTCTTTATACTAAAAGAAATTCTTTCCAAAGCAACTAAAAACATCTGGTTGAGAATTAAATATCTTTGAGTTGTGAATTTAATGTTGCGGTTAATGTTAACTTTGCATTTACTATGCGCATGAATGAATTAACATCCGTATGGCTAAAATAACTGAACTGTATAATGGCATTAACATATCCAGCAATATATAACTATTTTTTTTAATTATTGCAGCTAATAATTCACAGTTTTCTTGAAAGTATCAAATTCATACTAAATAGTGGGTCAGATTGTTGCCAAAAATTTAGATTAATTTTTGTTTTGATCCACATTTTTGGTATCAATTCGTTGCAATTTGATACTTCTCAGTGAACAGTGTCAGCATTATTAGCTAATAATTATCGGATAAATTTGCTGTGAAATGCAATTATTAACTGCATTAGCTACAATAATTGCTATCCATATACAGTAACAATTGGAATTGACTATAAAGAAGCTAACAATGAACTAAAACTTAACTTCTTTTATCCGTGCATTGCTTACCAATCAGCAATTTACACTTATTTGCTTTCCAAATTTTGTTAAAACAGACTTACATTAATATTGGCTTAATTTTAGATTAGGAAACTAATTTTTAGACCTAAAGTTGCATTACTTTAACTTTAAACCCAAAAAACGAGTTGAATTTAAAACAAAACCATCTTTATGCCGTAAGTGTTTCAAGACTTTGCTCTTACAGTAATTTTCTATCTAAATTCAATTAATTAGCAATCAATTTCCACAGTGACGAGTGAAATTTCACCCAATTGCGATAGCCAAAAGTTAATTACTATCTGCTACCCAATAAAAATCCTCCTAATTAAACATCAATTACTTTAACGCATAATTTCATCAAAATACAACCAAAATTTATCAATTTAAAACCCATACTGACCAAAAAAAAAACTAGAAACATTTGTCTCGCACTGCAGGCGCAAGGAGAAATCGCGATTCTCTGCCTTTGTAACTTTGTGTGTGCTATGCTTTTACACTTTACAGTGGAGTTTAGATATATAGGAGAAGAGACCGAGAGAAAGTGAGGCAAAATAGTGTGTTGTGAACACCATCGATGAAGGGAAGTAAGGGATCAGGGAAAAAGATATATAGAAATGAAGTGGGGTAAAAGTTCGTTCGTTCGTTCGAAACGTTTGTACGTTACAGGGGTGTATTGGGGGGACAAGAGGGATGTTGCCAAGAAGAGTAGGGGAAATGACATAGGGGAAGATTGCAGAAAAGAGGTGGGGTAGAGGGAGGGGGGAGAGAAGAGAAAAGTACAGCCAGAGAGAGCAATACAAGTACTGTGAGAAGGGGCAAGAAGGGGCAAGAGGGGAGGCATATGGGAGGGAGGGTCGTTCCATTTGGAGTTCGGTTTCAGTTCAGTTCAGCTTTACTCCTCGTCGAGTGGGGTTTATAACGTGTGTTTTCACTGCACTTTAAAAGACGCTTAGGCTCTTTTCTAGTACAACGGAATACCGCCGCTCTTCAATTCGGCGCCATCAGTCTCGCTTCGTTTCTCTCTGTGCCCTGAGCACTTATATACAAGAGGATTTCTTAATTACATCACTATTTTAATTAGTGCTACGTACTATTTTTCATATTTTCTACACTATTTGGATTTGGAATTAAAGTTACAGTGCATTGTGAGTGTGGTGAAATGAGTGAGTGCTGAAACGGGGAACTAGCATCTAGATATCTTGTAACGAGGGGGGGAAAAAGTCGACAATCGGGTAAATTTGCGACTTGCTGGCCAAGGCAAGAGGCGTTCTACAGGCCGCCCGGCTATGTCGATGTCTGGAGCGAGGTCGGCGCACACAAAGAGGATCAGTCTGTCGAGACTGTAATATAGTGTTCGGTGACTATCCTATAGCAGTTTTGTACTTGCAACAGAGGTATAGAGAGCCGGCTGAGATAAAGCCGAGAGTAAAATGCTCTACTGCCAGAGGGAATAACATTAGGCCTCCGTACGTAGGCTCATGCGTACAGAGGCTAACCCGCCTTCACATAGGTGAGTTGTACATGTCTCTGTTACATGCACTCTGTGTATATCTAGGGGGACGTATCGCTTGATACATGTGTGTTGCGTGTGTCTATGTGTGCAAGTGTGCGCGATTCTCGGATAGGAAAATGATTCTAAATTCGTTGAGGGGTGTGTGAAAAAAGCCGGGTGTCTTAACCGATAGTCTCTTAAATATTTCTCATGGAAAGTTCTTGGAGTTACATTGTTACCACTGAAACTAGATTTCTCCCCACCGTTGCCGTCCGATTGTCATAACACTTTAGGATATACTTTTTTTCCAAGAATCGAAACTGTATTTTTCAATATTTTATGGAATATAAAATGGGATTTTTTACAGTTGTTTTTAGCAGTGAAAAATACTCTCTAATGTGGTACAAAAGGCAACTCAACATGCGGAAGTAAGTTGAATTGTAACACATCGTTGCATCAGTGGTGAAAACTACCACATGCTATAATCCATGAAAGGTAGGGTGAGCCCTTCAAAAACGGAAATGATTATGAGACGCGGATGCAGGTTTCCTTCTCCGTTTTAAGAATATTTTTTTATTATCTTCAGGTGTTCAAATAATAAACATTTCTAAATTATTTCGTTTCTTATAACGTAATCAAGAAAAGTGAATTCTTAAGTAGAAATTACAGAATTTCTCTAAACTGGCAAAATATATTGTTCCTTACGTAAAAATGTAATGGTTCATATCGATTGTAACACTGAAATTTTATTGTCTTTTCAGTATTCATATTGTCTTTACAGTTTCATATTATTTTTCCGTTTTACATTGCCTTTTCAGTTTAATATTGTCTTTTCAATTTTCATAATATCTTTCCAGAAGGAAAATTTGAATAATACATTACCATCACCATTACATAAGTCTATAATGTCAAAGTTTAAATTTGTTCGAATAAGGTAAAAATATATTCAGTGCCACTTGCTGTTTTTCTTAATAAAAGACAGTGTGACTTATCGACACTGCGAAAAGTGGAACATTTAAAAATACATATATGTATTTGTGATTGTTCCACGAATGAGAGTGATTTTGCAATTATGAATTATAAATAACTTAAAAAGGAGTTATGGAAAAAAAAGCCAGAAGTAGTTCAAGTTACATTTTTTTCTACAACTTTCTACTTTATCGACCCACTAATTTCGAGAAAAAGAATTATTTCCATGTCAATCAATTTACATGCGGGATTTTTGCTTCATCTTCACAGTTCGATACAAATTTGCAAATTTAATTTTTACCACCTCTTTTCAGATTTGTCTTATGAGACAAAAATTAACGGCCAAAATGACGGGAATGAGTAAGAGAACATATCTCAGGGAAGTGAATCCCTATCTGATTTGTCCGCTTTGTCGAGGATATTTAATAGATGCAACAACTGTAGTCGAGTGTTTACATTCTTGTAAGTATAACAATGGTTTTAAAAAAAACTTGTTGATTTCATGCCGTATACTTTGTTTGTGTACTAACTTAACCTTTCTTTGCAGTTTGCCGAAGTTGCATTCTAAAGCATCTTCGATCACAAGCACAATGTCCCTCCTGTTTGCATTTATTAAATAAAGCAAAACCCAACATTAAGTGAGTAGAACTTTAATAGAACTTTTTCGAAAAGTATCTGTAAATTTTCTTCTCTAAATCAAATTATTTATTGCAGGGCTGACAAAGCTTTACAAGATATTGTATACAAACTGGTACCAGGACTTTATCACAAAGAAATGAGAAAGAGGAGAGAATTTTATAAGAAACATCCAGAACATGGTAAGTCACTTTGTGATTTTTAAAATCGAAAACCTTAAAAAAAACTCCTAACCAAACTAAAACTTCTGAGGATACAATATTTGTGGTTATATGGTCACGTGACGATCAATTTTAATACTTAATAATTTTTAATAGCGGATTCTGTGACACCAGAGCAACGAGGCGAAGACGTGAGTGGAAGACTGATTTTTGCACCGGAGGATGCAATAAGTTTGAGTTTGGAATACCTTCCTCCTGGTGCAGATCCTACAGCATTAAGTTTGAGTACCAATGATGCGGACACAATACAGCCAAACACAAATAATACCCAGTCAAATAATAAAAGTGACGTGGCAAGTACTCATGATTGTAGTCGAAGGTATTTGCAATGTCCAGCTCTAGTGACAATCGCACATCTCAAGAAATTTTTGGCTCTGAAGTACAGTGTCGACGTTACTCGATATTGCATTGAGATTTGCCACAGACGTGCACCACTTCCCGAACATTGGACTCTAATGGACGTTGCCTACATTTATGCTTGGAAACGAGTAAGTATCTAGAGAAACCCTTCCCAAAACCCTTTATTTATGCCAAACTTTCCAGTGATTTTACGCTTTTTTAAACATAACCTACAATTTCTTGGTGCAACTGGCAAGACTCGTGGCTTATTTTTAATTTGAAACCATTTGTTTACAGAATGCTCCGTTGAGATTTTTCTACCGGATAACGCAAGAAGAGCAACGATTGGAAGCACCGGTGAATGACAGGCCGTCAACTCCTGGCGTTGGAGCAAGTTTATCAGCAGTTGAAAATGGAAATAACAAAACTGAAAGTGACGATCAAGTACAAGTGGAAAAAGAAGACTCCTCTAAAGTGCAGAAAGCAGCAAAGAAAAACGATGTCAAGACTCCGTTAACAGTTCCCCCTTCAACAAACCCTAATGCCAGTGTCAAGGTAGATAAGAAACCTCACACACCTGTCGCGAAAGAAAGTGCCAAAGCGGTCAAAGTGAATCAATCACCAGTTGACGATGAAACGAAACAAATTAAAAGTCCCATCAAGATATTGAAAAATTCCGACGGTCGCTACGAGGTTCTAAGAACAACAAACAGTCAAACTTCCCCCGAATCACGTGAAACCCCACGTAATTCAAGTGAAAAGAAAACTGCAAGTCCAGAATTCAGTGTCGTTAGCATCGGCGACAGTCCCAATTCGAACGGAGTGAAAATAACATTAAAACAGTGCGCACCCGGAGGCTTATCCTCATCAAAACCAAAAATTGTCAGCAACGTTCTAATGAGAAATGGCCAGACTGAGAAACTCCTGAAATCCCACGAGAAGAATCGACAGAAGGAATTGGCCGAGAAGCAGGAGAAGCACAAGCGTAAAGTTACTTTCGTCGACAAAGTAGAGAACAATGTGAAGGATAATGAGGAAAATGATGTGAATAAAAAAATTGCGGAACAATCTGATAAGAAGGAATTCCTGCACGCTTTTCGTCTCACCGCCAAGCAACCTTGGAACGATCCGATAAAGGACGACAAAACCATTAACCAGGACGCTAATAAAACTGCTAATTGGAAAATAACAGTCAACACAGCATTGCAGAGCCCCGAAAAGCAAGATAAATCCGAAAAGAAAAACAACAATGCCGAACGTAATACAATTTATTCGACAAAGAATAAGACACCCGAAAAAATCGCCAATTTCTCCATGAAAACCGAAACGTCGAAACGGTTTCTCAACGGAATTGTCAAGGATTTGAATACTAGTGAGGATTCAAAAATCGACGTCTACGCATTCCCCAGTGAACCCCCAACTCTTCCAGCCGGTGCTGTCAAGCGAAAGTGTCCCCCAGGTCTACCGATTTTCGAAATGGGTCGCAAACGACCGCATCTACAGGGACAAATTCGAAAGAAGCCGCCCACACCCGTGAAAATTGCCAAAAAACAAGAAAACCCGACACCAGCAAAAAAAGTGAAAGAATCCACCCCCCTGAGTGGAATTAGCTGTCCAGTAACCAATGCAGCAATACCGAAACCAACAATTTCGGACAATACCAGAAATCTCCTGGACGGTTGTGGTTTGAACATTCCCGCTAGTCTAAGTATCACACTAACCGCCCCGAAGTCACCCAACTACAACACCACATCATCCGCAGATGCCGTCAATCTCAACAAGGACAATCAAATTCTCCCCGGCAAGGTTAATCCCAGTATTACCCTGAACGATCGCTCCGTCGACCCACGTGTCCTAAAGGCCCTCAAGACAGGACAAATCCGAATGCCCGTCGCCTCGAGTCGACCAAAAGTGAAACCCGCCCTAGAACGAACCCAGCCAGTGAAGCGAAAGAAGGACGACATTCTCGACCTGAGCGGCACCAGAAAACTCGACATCCACCCTCTGCGAATTCCCCAACCAGTCTCGAAATTCAAAAGCAAATCATCAAGAGACAATTCCCCGGCAGCTCTCCCGGCGTCTAGTCAAGTGGTCACTTTAACCGGAGGACAAAAATACTACCGAGCACCTCCTGGTTCCCTAACACCCGCAGTCCATCGGGTCGCCGACTACCCCCAAACACCGCCATCCCGTGGACCAGTCTACGCACCCTGCTTCCCATCGTCGCCCCACAACAGCGGTCGCAACAACATCTCCTCCGTATTCCCCAGTCTACAGAGTCTCTACGCCCTCAGCCAAGCCCCGAACCTCCAACAATTCCAAATGGACAATCGCCTCCGACTTCCACAACCAGAAAGTACAACCTCCACCGGTCCGAGTAAAAGTCACCTAGCCGCTCAATGCGCTCCCCTAAAACCCGCCAGGTCTTCCTTCGCCTCTCTCGCAGTTCCTATAGTTAAGCAGTCGTCCCATCTTCGACAACTCACCTTCACTCCGGTCATGAATCCACAAACAGAACTGAAGAAAAACAATACCATTAACAGAGAGGAATTGTCGAATCAGAATAATACCGAAACGGAAAAATCTTCGGCAACCATCGCCAAGATTGTTAAGAATGTTAAGGATGGCAAGGATGGTAAGGATGGCAAAGACGGCAAGGATACCAAGGATGGTAAAGACAGCAAGGAGGGCAAGGATACCAAGGCTATCAAAGACCTCGAGAGGCCCGGCGAAAAATTAAGTCAATCTAGTTCTAGTCTACAACCGAATCAAGAGGCCAGTGCATCAAATAGTATTGATTCGAATCTACAAGAAGCCGCCAGTCCCAGAGTGACCTCAACAGTCTCGCCCTCGCCACCACCGCCACTCAACCCAATCTCCAGTATTAATAAACTCTCCCACTCCTCCACCGATGAAGTCTTCTCATCTTCAAACTGTAACAAAACCTCCGAAGTGACGAGCACAAAATCACCCGAGAGTCCCGATTCCAGTTCGATTGTGAACGAAAATTCGAATAGCGCTCCTAGTGCACCAATTGGCGAACAACAGAAAGAAGAGACGAAAACTACTCTCAAAGCAGAAGCGGAGAAAGAAACAACGAGTATTCCGAAGAAAATTGATGATGTTCCTGCTGCCGTTGAGTCGAAGGAGAAAAAAATTGAGAATATCAAAGTTGATGTCAATCAGATGACATCGGAGGTCTTCCAAAAAAGATTGCTGGCTGCTTTTCCATCTAATGAATGGGCGAATAATCCAATTGCGGCGAAACATTTGGGGAATTTACTGAAGAGTTTGACGTCAATGCAAAATGAAGATCAGACGGATAAAAAGGCGCAGACAAAGGAGACGAAGGAAATAATATCAAGCAAGTGTGTTAAGGATATTTTACCGAAAACAAATGTTGAGGTAACTGACTGATCAAACTTTTTATCAATTGTTCCCAATATTTTCTATTTAGACCGCATAAACACCAGAGGGGTTTGAATTTATTTGGAATGTTTCTCCTTTTCTTTTTTGAAAATGAAACGATTCTATTTATGTGAATCAGAATATTGATTTCAATCCAAAGGTAATTTTTCTGCAATTTTTTTTTGTAAGTTATACAATTTTTTGTTATTTTTGCAATTTTTTTTTGTCATCTCGACAATTTTTGGCTCTTGTTATTTATCAATTATATTAGGTTGAAAAATTTCTTTATTTCAAAAATTCGCACAAAGGAAAATCACTTTTCTAAAAATGGAAAATATGTCTCGAAGATTGGCGACGACGCTCGGCGACAAAAATGATTTTTTTCGGATTTTTAGTGATGAAAATGCCATTAATTTTACTATTTTCATTCAGGTGGAGTTGTAAAATTTTTAATTTACAGCTCTCTAAATTTGAATGAGTAACAATGTTTATTAATTTGAACTGACTTTTTGCTTTTAAATTAGTAAATTTTACTAAAATAAATAGTAATTTCCACTAATTAGTAAAATTTAATATTTCAGAAACAAAAAGTCAGTCTCTAATTATAATTTCTTTCTAAATTTGAATTAGTAAAATTGTTTAGTATTTGGAATTAAAATTTTGATAATAAATAGTAATTTCTACTAATTTATTAATAAAATTTATTAATCCAAAAGCGAAAAGTCAATTTCACGAATAAATAATAATTTTTCTATTAATTTATTAGTAATAAATAGCAATTTCTACTAATTTATTAGTAATTTTACTAACAAACAGTAATTTCTACTAATTTATTAGTAATTTTACAAAAAAAGTGTAATTTCTACTAATTTATTAGTAATTTTACAAAAAAAGTGTAATTTCTACTAATTTATTAGTAATTTTACTAATTCAAAAGCAAAAAGTCAGTCAATAATTCAAATTAATAAACATTTTTACTAATTAAAATTTAGAGAGCGATTTGAGTTCAAAGTCTTTGAAGAAAATTGGTTAATTTTTTTGATCTTGTCAAAAAAAAATTTGTTTAACGCTTAGCGTCGACGCTAAATTTAGAGATCTAATAAAATTTGAAATTGAAGTATAAGAAAGTAATTAAATTATAAGAAAATATTCATTCTTATATTGAAAAATGGAATTGAAAGATTTTTTTACAATCGATTATATAAATAAGTGGAAAATTATAATTTTATTATAATTGATAATTTAAATTTTATACTTTTAATATTTATTTATGTATATTATTATACAATGTTTAATTGAATTATTTATAATGTATATTTACTATACAGTATACTTTATTACTGTTAATAACAATCAATTATTAATTCAAATAAATTTTGAAAATATTTATTGTAAAAAAAAGTATTTCGTTCTAATGATCGAAAATTTTTGACCGATATTTTCAGAATTTTTAAATATTTTTGAAAATTTCGGACTTTAATATAAAAGCAAAGATAAAATTAAATACATAATTCGAAATTTTATAGTTTTTCTTTTTATTACGTAACGCAATATTGCAATAAAAATTTGAATTTAATGTCAAAATAAAATTTGAGTTTGTTTAGAAATTTGAAGAATTTGAGGACATAAATTGCTAAATAAAAATGTAATTTAACAAAATTTGTTGCGCACCCATTAGAAAAAAAGTTTATTTTAGTTGACAAAATTCTAATTTAATAGTTAAATAATTTAATTCACAAAATAAACTTGAATAAATAAAAAATTCAATTAATAAAAAATTGATTAAATTGAAAATTTAGTTTAATTTTAAATTAAATTGAACTTTTATACACATTCAATGTTTGCATTGAATTCAGTTTAAATGTATGAAAATTATTTGCTGACATTCAGTATATTTTATTAATTTTCCTTGCGTTCAATGACATTCTTATTAACACAAAAATTCCAAAACTTAAGTATATTTAACACATTTTAAAGTCGCAAAAAATTTAATTTCAAAAGTGTAAATTTATAAAAAAAAGCTTTGAAAAAAAAAATTTTAATTAAAAAACTTAACTTATTAAAATTGTACATATTTTGAAAATCTATTCAATAGATTAAATTTATATTTATGCATGATTTATTGTATAATTTTTAGTCAATTTGTATTTTTTTTTTATCAATTTGTTCCTACTATTTATTTAACCAATTTGGATTATTTAATCAATTTTCGAGAAATAGATAAAATTTATTCTATAGGACGATAAATTTTACTTTTTTGAATTTCATTTTTTAAGTTTTCTTCCTAAAATTCTTATTGATTATTAAGTTAAGTTGACAAGGTTTATAATCAACGAATTAGGAGAAAAAATGTTTTGCTAGGCAAATTTTTATAATTTTCCCCCTGAAAATTTTGTTTTTCAAATTAATTAATTAAATTCGAATTAATTTTTGTAATTATTTAAAAAAGAAAAATTGTACTATTTTACGTGTGACAAATATTTTTCTCGATATCAATCGATGATTGTAAACGTTGTGAACTTGACAAACTTGTTAAAAATAGTTTTTTTGAATTTTTATTTATTGGAATTAACAATTTTTTCTAGTAGATTTTTTTAATTTAGAAAATTTGACCGAAACGGCAATTTTTAGCAAGTTTCTAGAATTATAATTAACTTTGGATTGAAATCAATTATAATACACCTTGCGGTGGGATATTATGTACCAAATTTAATGGAATAGGAACATTATTACTGTTAAGTGTAATTGTTCTTAATCGTATATGTATATGACTTAAGAAAAATACTTTTTGTCCTTTTAACTAATGTTAATTCAATACAGGAATTGTTTTTTAAATTATTGTTTAAAAAATTATAACTAATAATCTTGTCTATATATTTAAGTCATCGCTTAATTTTATTTGGTACTTTTTTTCAAAAAAAGAAAAAATCTAATTTCTATTTTCATGAAATAGAATCTTATGTTCCTTAAAAATTAATTTTAGAAAGAAAAAATTGAAATAATTTAATAATCAACTTAACGAAGTTATGAAATAGTGCTCAAGAGTAAATTGATGGAATTAATAATTGCACAAACATTGACGATATTTTTTATTTTTTTTTTTGTTTCATAACTTTTTCAAGAGTTTTTCTCTCATCAATCAACATTGTACATAAAACATTAATTTCGCGAAATTTTCAACTAAGAATATTTCTAGCTATGATACATATATTTTTTAACACAACCAAGGGTATAATAAAAAATAATTGTTATAATTACTTTAAGAATCATTAAAACGACACCAGTGTTGTTGTATTAACTTGTTCGCAAAGTATTTGATTATAAATTGAAGAAAAAAAAATTATTTATTCGAAAATAAAAATAGAAAAAAATGAACTTTCAATTTTGAATCATAAATTTTATGAAATGTGAATTCTTGGAGTTTCTTTGTAATTAATCAATTTTCAATTGACTGTAAAATATTTGCAAACAAGTTAATAGAAAGAATGGAAAAAGAATACAGATAAGTTTTTTTTTCTATAGAAAAGAGAGGTGATTTTTTAATTATCCTCTAAATTCATATTGACGTAAAGTGAATAAATGTCTTGCAGTATTCTTATAGCCTCACACCATAAAATAAAAGTGCGATTTTTTACAAAGTCTCAAAGAAAACAAATCACGTGTAACAGTTGTATATTTTTTGAAAAATAACTGTTATAACCAATTTCACTCTTTACAGAAGTACTTAAGAGTCAATGGTATGATAAAATTAATTTACTGAAAAATGTGAACTACTACTATTACAACTACTACAGATATTTCCGTATTAAAAAAAAATGATCTGTTTTGGGAGCTATATGTTAACTTAAATGTTACAGTGGTATTAATGTTATTTTTACTTTATATTCTGTTAAACATGTATTTGTATTATATTTACTCCTTTATAAGTTGTATATATTTAATGATTAAGGTAACAAAACTAATCCAATTTTGAGTTATCAATTTTGGCCTAACAAATCTTACAGTTGTACTGATTTAGTTGCAATTTCACTTTTTGAAATTATACAGTAGAATCGGAATACATTCATTTCAAATAAAAAACTTGTTTTTTTTACTTTCCTTTCCCTACATTTCATAATTAAAAAAAAAATTTATTTTGTTTTGCCCGATTTACAAACAAAATTTTATGTCTTTTTCCCTAAGACACTAAAGAATATTTATTTATTATTATTATTAATATTCTTAGGGGCCGTACACATAATACGTCACGCAGCTAGGGGGAGGGAGGGGGTCTGAGAATTGTGACTAAGTGTGACATGGGGGAGGGGGGGGTGAACTCATGTGTTACGTCACAATCTTTTAAATTCAAAGATTATAAGAAATAATATGTGACAATGCCACTTTTTCTAAATAAAACAAGTTAAAAATGCTTTAAACTATTTAATATCTATTTTATGTACCTGTTTAACATCTATTGGCATATTATTTATAATATGATAAATAATATATTCTCTTAATTTGAATCAGTTAAAAATCATGGTTTTAACTGACAATCAGCAGTGACAGACTTTTTGCTTCTGAATCAGTTAAAAATAACTGAAAAATTATCCACAAAACACTGAAACTTTTCTAAATATGTATATTAAAGATTTGCTTGCATACTTCGAAAAATTTACTTGCAAAGTTTAGTTAAAATTGTGTAAAGATTTAAATTTCTCACTCCAATAAATGTTTATCGTCAAATTTTCTTAATAATATAGCTTGAAAGTTTCCTGAACATTTGAATTACATTTGCGACTATACTTTCGTGAAAATTTAAGTTAAATTTTCAGGAAAGTTTCGCGCTAAACATTTATTGAAGTGGGATATTTAAATCTTTACACAATTTTCACTAAACTTTGCATTTAAATATTTCGATGCTTGCGAGTAAATTTTTAATAAATTTTTAGGAAAGTTTCGGTGCTATGTAGGTAGTTAAACGTGACTAATTGAATCAATCCAAAAAAATTGCATTGAAACATCAGTTATTTTTAACTAATTGTCAGAAAAAAATATTGCTATTTGAATTAGTGACTGACTTTTTGCTTCTAAATCAGTTATTAATCAGTTATTATCAGTTATTTATTTTTTTAAATTTTTTTTATAATATATAATGTCTAATGTATAAAATTTAAAGTGAAATTTACGTGTGTGACGTGACGTAGGGGGAGGGAGGGGTTCAAGGTTTGTGACGAAGTGTGACATAGGGGGAGGGAGGGGTTAAAAATGGTCAAAAATCGCGTGACGTATTATGTGTACGGCCCCTTATTCACTCTAAAAATTATTAGATACTCATAAAAATATTTTCCTACATTTATTTAATTTAATTGTAAAATTATTCGAAAACATCAATAACTTCATTTTTAAATAAATATTTCATCATTATTATTTTTCCAAGGAAATTAAGATTTTCAAAAAATTCAAATTCAAATCTTTTTGAAATTTAACCTTTTTTATCCTTCGCAAAAATTTAATTATTTTTACAAGTAATAAAATTATGTACATGAATTCAATTATTTAAAAAAATATAATAAAATTCGTTGCAAGAATTCAATTATTTTCATAAATAATAAAATTCAAATATTTTCAAAATCTACAATTTTAATAATATTTCTTTAAAAAAATTCAATTATTTTTATAAAATGAAATAAAATATGATGCAAGAATTCAATTATTTTCATAAATAATAAAATTTTTTATATGAATTCAATTATTTAAAAAAATGTAATAAAATTCGTCTTAAGAATTCAATTATTTTCATAAATATTAAAATTTTTACTGGATTTCAAATATTTTTAAATAGAATTTTAAATAAATTCCTGGAAAAATGTAATTCAAAAATTTTATTATAATTCTAGGTAATAGTTGAATTATTTTCAAAAATTATTTAAAAAAAAAAAATAAAATTTGATGCAAAAATTCAACTGTTTTCATAAATAATAAAATTGTTCGCAAGATTTAAATTATTTTTAATACAATTTTAAATAAATTGCTTGAAACAATGTAATTATTTTCAAAAATTTTATTAAAATTCTTAAAATCTAAAATTTTAACTAAAATTAATTTTTAAATCAGTTTTTATTAGAAAATTTTACGAGAATTCAATTATTGACACACAAAAATAATTGAATTCCTAATAAGAAATTTATTATTTTTGAAAATAATTGAAATACTGTGAAAAAAATTATTATTCATGAAAATAATTGAATTATTGCGAAGAAGTTTATAAAAAATTTGTAAACAATTGAATTCCTGTGAAATTTTTGTTATTTTTGAAAATAATTATTAAATGTTTTGCGTAGAATTTTATCAAAATTTTTTTTAAATAATTGAATTCTTTTGGAGAATTTTATTGAAATATGTAGTAGATATTAAAAATCATTGAAATCAGGAAAATTTATGAAAATAATTGAAATGAAGCCAAGAATTTTAGTAAAATTTTTGAAAATAATTGAATTTTGGAGAAGAATTTTATTATTTTATAAAGATAATTGCAATTTTGAGAATTTAAAAAAAATTTATTCAATTTTTGATAGAAAATTCTACAAGAATTTAATTCTCATAAAAAATTTTATCAACAAATATTTAAATAATTGTATTCCTACGATGGAATTTTAATAAAATTTTTAAGAATAATTATATTTTTCGAGGAATTCTATTAAATGAAAATTGTATTAGAAATAATTGAAATTCTGTGGTGAGTTTTATTATTTACGAAAATAATTGAATTATTGCGAAGAAGTTTATAAAAAATTGATAAATAATTGAATTCTTGTAAAATTTTGATTATTTTTTTTTTAAATAATTGAATACTTTTGGAGAATTTTATTAAGAAATCATAGATATTAAAAATCATTGAATTCAGGAAAATTTTTGAAAATAATTGAATTTTGGAGAAGAATGTTTTTATTTATAAAGATAATTGAAATTTTAAAGAGAATTTTTACAAATTTTTGTACACAATATTATTGAATTTTTGCAAAGAATTTGATTACTTTTGAAAATAATTGAATTCACAGAAAAACATTGCTATTTACTTTACTTCCTAAAATATTTTCACTATTAAAATTGAATTTGAAAAAAATACTCACATGTCAGGACGATTTATTCAGTAAAATTGTCATCAAAATATGAAATTCGTTTCATACGAATCTTAAATAAAATGGTAACAAAAATATAACTGTTAATAAGTTACTGTACAACTGGCAATTTTCCTAATTTTTACTCAATGAAAAATTATTTTTTTATTGCAGACCATGAGGACGGTTGACAATATAAATAAAAAATGGCGTTAAAAATGTCAATAGACAAATCAGATGGCTTTTTTGAAATTAGAATATTTCGCAAAATTTCAATATTTACGACTGTGTTTTTTACTTACATTGAAGCCGAATATAATAATTAATTGTCACATTAACTAATTTTAACGTTTCTGAAGAATTTATCTTCAAAAATTGACAAAAATTCCGCGAACCAAAAGATGGAACTGTCAACGGCCATTGTTACCACTCGCATGAAAACAAAATTATTTCCATTAACCCCAAAGTCTGTCAGCCAATCACGAAACACGGAATTGGACAAGAAGAATTCCGATTGGCGTTTCATTTTTTTATTCCATGTTCAATTTTTCATGATGTGAATAAGGCTTTAGCAATTACCAAAGGTGGGTAGTTAAAGTGAAAATTATAATTACATTTACAGTGGAAATTATACTATTCAAATTAAAATTTGGAAAAAAAATTTAATTAAATACTTTCAATGAAATTATTCCTAATGTAAATACTTTAATTATATTTGCTACATAAAGAACAGAGTAGAATGTCCAAGAAAGGTAAAAGTTGTGTGCAACTTTCCCTTCTTTTGCATTCCCATTTTCCCAACTTGCGATTTAAGCTTCGTTCATATTTCAACAAGGTAGAAAATATAATGGCAACATGGCAAATTCTCCATGTTGCAAAAATTTGACTGAAACAATTTCAAAAATTTTCTCAATTCAGATGTTGCATTCGTTGACAGAGTGAACTGACCTTTCCAAAGTACGTATGAATTTTCATTTATTTCAAGGACAGTGTTTTAAGTTTAATGTTGAAAATTCTACCCAATCATCGTTTGGTATCAGCTGAATATAAACATGTGTGTGTGTGAGTATCGTCATTTGTAAATCTGTGTAAATCCAAATCCGGTACCCAAAAGCAACAACTACTAACATAAAGGAAAAACTTATCGCAAGATGTCGGGGGATGTTTTACGCGATGAGTTGTTGTTATGTTTTTGGTGAAAATGACTTGTTCGTCGTGGCGTGTGCTTACGATAATCCGGCCTAAGTTTAATTTCAAAGTATTGTAAAAGTTTTTCTCGTTTAACCAACGAACTTTGGAACACGTATATCTCCTTTACTCTCGTTTTTATGTTTAAAAAACCGAGAGAGAGGCAGTGACAAAAATATTTTTTTTTACCACGCTGCCTGTGTATGTGTTTGTGTGCAATTTCGCAATTTAGAATAACAATTGATATTTATTAATTAATTAATCAATCGATTTATATACAAGAGAGAAAAGAATAGCTGTCATTTCTCATTGTATAGTTATTCATCGTGTGTGATTGGAATGGGAGCAAAAGCTAGCACTGTTGCACAGTCTGCAGGGGGCAATGGCCAATCTTCCACAGGGGCCAATGAAACGGCAATGCAAGGTTTTTCAATTTTACGCTCTCTTCCTGGTGGTGTTGGACTACTCCAGCATCAACAGGGAAATCAATCGCAAACATCACGAGTATCTGGTGATAGCAGACAAAGAGCTCGCTCATTGAGTTCTGTTCCGGATTTATCATCGGGTGAATCTAGCACCTTGGCATCGGCCGTCGGAGTAGGTGTTGGACAAACACTAGGTCTGCCTCAACTTGATGTTGATGACATCGACGAAGAAAGCGGCAGAGTATACGCTGCTCACAGCTTGCCTTCGCACATTTGGTCTTTAAATGGTGAGCAACAAAGAAAATACATATAGGAATGTTTAATTTAATTTGCGTATTTGCATCATAAGTTTTATTCTTTAGTTTTATTATTTACTATTATTTACGCAGTTGGAATTCTTTTTCCTGATTTCTGATTCAGTAGAAAGTCTTTTCTCTGAAAATAAAATTTTTATTAAAACAATTTGCCATCGTCATTACTTGATAATTGTCTCAATCACGTGACTAAATATTTCCCTTTAAAAATGTTTGTATATGTCGCATAAATTAAGTTTGTTCGATGACGTGAATTTTTATGTATATATTTCCACGAATTGGAGTTCAAAATTCGAGAAGAAAATAGAACTATAGGAGCTTGCTAGAGCTGAAAACATAGGTTAGGTTTACTACATATACACGTTTTCTAGTTCGTTTTTTATCTTTTTTATATATGTATGTATTCTTATTGCATAGTTCATTATTTTACCGAGAGTTTAATAGGGGGCGTTTATTCTTTATTATTTGTTTGTTTTGACGTATGTCAGCAGCATGGTTGGCTTGGTAACAATATACAATCGATGATGATGGCTAGGAACGAAGTGGGTGTAAATTTTAAATTGCAAAAATAGGAAAAATTTATTGTTTGGAATTTTTTTTTCGAAATTATGGCTCGAATTGTAAATTCCGTGAATTTATTGGGGAATAATGCGTGGGACGGGTGTGGATTAGGTTAGGTCGGGGGAATACTATGGGAATTATTGTGAGTTCATGCTTAAACGACACGGAAACTGAGGTTGTTCCAACACACACTATTAGAAGAGTATTGTATGGTATTGTTATTTAATTAATAGATTTAATAATTGTCAATTACTGGGTGAATTTTGAGAGATATTTTTAATTTATTTTTTAAAGGTTTAAAATGTCCAGTGTGCTCCAAGTTCATTCTGCCAGATGACATTGAATGTCATTTGGTTATGTGCCTGACCAAACCGCGTCTTAGTTACAACGGTGAGTTTCCTTTTTATTTTTTTTTTATCAATTTTTCAACTTTTCTCAAATGTTTCTTTTTCTAACGAAATTTTTGCAATATTTCAGAGGACATATTGGCAGATGAAAAAGGTGAATGCGTCATTTGTCTTGAGGATCTTCAACCTGGAGATGTCATAGCCCGCTTGCCTTGTCTTTGCATATATCACAAAAAGTATGTTATTTAAATATTGTATCAATGTGTCATTTGTTAGATCATTATTCACAATCGCTTAAAAAGGTAATTTTCTCATTATTGTTTTCATACCACTTGTATTTCGATAAAATTGGCACTTTTTTGTTTTGAGCACAAAAAAAAACACTAAACAAAAAATAATACGAATACTTAATTCGTACAAAAATCACAGGCTTTCGATAACAAGACTTTTTCGACTATTTCAAGAAAAAAATGCCACTTATTCAGAAAAAAAGCGACTTTTTTCGACTTATTTTCAAAAAAACGTTACAATTTCGACTTCTCTTGCACAAATTGCACCAAAATACGACTTTTTTGGTATAAAATGATGCTTATTCTGATTTTCAGAGTGTGAAAAGTAACTCTATTCAAATTTTATCCTCTAAAGTGTCATATTTTTTTGCAAGTCTTTTAGCGCATAAAAATAGACTTTTGCCATAAAAAAATGAAATTATCATTCATTGAAATAAATTTAAAAAATTTGGTTTCTAATATTTTTCAAAACTTACTTCTGAATTGACTATTTTTACATTTTTATGAGTTTTGCCAATAACAGAGTTTCCTCAGATGAGAGAAATTAGAAAATTTGAACCAAAGTGTTGGCAAATTATTAAATTTCTAGAAATGCTGTAAAAATTCTACTTTTTTGTTAATTTTTGAATTTATTGAAAAACTTTTACTACCTACTTTTGAAATTCCTTTTTTACGTTAAAACCCTAAATAAAAAAAAGAGTTACAGTTGCAATTTTCGTAAAATAAATTGAATTTTTGTATTTAAATAATTCAATTTTCGAAAAATTAATAAAAATAATACATTTAGAGCAGAATTTTAATTAAAATTAAAAATAGTATAAATTTTATATCAGTTGTAATAGAAATTTTTAGGAGCAATTAAATTTCAAAATTCTGAACAATTCAGTTTACGAAAAATTTAAAATCAAATTTTTTTTTTTTATTAATTGAAAATTTGAATATATTTACATGAAAATTACTAAATAATCGAAATTTCGTCAAATTTAATTGAAAGTAATTGAATTTTAAACGTTTTTTGTAAGTGGATTTTCTTTTTCTTGAGTAATTGAATTACCTATTAAAGAACTTTTACAAAATTATTTTTAAAAAAATTGATTTTCAGACGAATTTTAGTTGAAAATTCTAGAAAATGATTCAATTTTGGAAAAAAAAGCAGCAATTTTTAGAAATAATCCAATTTCACAAGATTTCAACATAAATTTTTTTTTGAAAATTTCAATTTGTTAAACAAGTTTAATTACATTTATCAGTAATTAAAAAAAGAAATTTTTTAACTGTTGAATAATTTTAGTTAACAAAATTTAATTTTTACTACTTTTTTATTTTTTTTAGAAATAGTGAAATTTCAGAAAGTTTGAGATTGAAATCTTTAAAAATTTCAACTTCTGTGAAAGAATTCATTATTATAATGTTTGAAAATAGAAAAGGAAAATTCTAAAAATTTTCAATAATTAGCTTCAAAAAATTTTTTAAAAATTAAGTTTTTCAAAATTTTAATTAAATTTTTTGAAAAATAATTGAATTCCTAAAAGTGAATTGCAAAATACTTGAACAATTGTAAATTTCTTCAAATTTTATTGAAATAAATTTTATATTGTAGAGAATTTTATTGCAATTTTTTTTAAATAATTCTGTTTCTGAAGAAAAAGGAGAAAAAATTCGAAAAAAATTGTGAAATAATTGTTTTTTAAAAAACCTTAGAATCGAAGTTATTATTTTCAGAAAATAAGGAAAAAAATTCAAAACTGTTTTGGAAATCAGGGAAAAAATCAGGAAAATACAAAGAAAATTTTTTGGACAATATGGAATAAAAGAAACGACTTTTTTCCTACTTTGAATCGACTAAACCGACTTTTTTCCTCTTAAAATCGATCCAAGGCCTAAAAATTATATTAATACAAAAAAAATTATTTAAATATACTGCAAAAGTAGAGCTAAAAAAATACAATCTCTAGAAAAATTATAAAAATTCCTCAAGTGGACTTTAAAAAGAATTGTCTAAAAAATTACCTTTTTAAACTTTTCTTAAAATAGTGACTAATCAGACTTAATCTTTATGATCATTTTAAATTTAGATCAGTAGACTGTCAGAATTATTATTAGCACTGGTTCAAGTATATTTTTCAATTAATCTTGAAGGGGACAGAGAGGGGGAAGTAATTTACTAAGAAATAGGGAAAAAAAAACGAAAATTGTCAAATTGACAAAAGTGTATGAAAATACTTTTCAAAATTTCTAAAAAAAACTTTTATATACATTTTTTAAAGACTTTATTTATAAAATATCCTCATTGCGTCAATGTTTACTTTCAATGACCTTTCAAGGAGATTAACAATACGTTATCGAAACGATTACAATTGTCATGTGTTTTCTTTTTGAAAAGTTATCTAATTAATAAACTCATTTTATGTTGTTTAATTAATTAATTAATTAATTAATAAACTTATTTTATGTTGTTTAATTAATTAATTAATTAATTGATAAACTCATTTTATATTAATTAATTAATTAATTAATAAACTCATAAAATTGTAAAATTATTCAATTTTTCCATTTATTTTGCCAAAAAGGAAAATTTGCAATTTAAATTAATCTTCTTTCGTCTAATTTTCAGTCATTTTTTTTTTTTTTTAATTTATTTCACTAATTTTTCTTTTCTCTTTTCCAGTTGCATTGATAGATGGTTTCAAGTAAATCGCAGTTGCCCCGAACATCCTGGTGACTGATTTGTACTTGAAATTGGAATAACTGTGAAATCAACTACTGACCCATAGGATGCTAGCGTCGGTCCGAAACCGAAATAAATGAAATGGCAGATTGTAAAAAAGAAACATGAAAAAAAACTAGTCAAGGTGGCCGCTAGTCCGTGATGGTGATTTGTGTATATGGTGATCGTATGATTGAGCGAAACTCAAGTGAATCGAACATTTAAAGACAAAACTAAAAAAAATACCCAAAATTCGACCTTTACTGTAATATTAAGCAAAAGAGACAAAAAACAAAAAAAAAGAAAGAAACTATCGCCATAAGATTAACAAAAAAAAAATACAATGCTATTAAAAAAAAATACACGTATCTATAGTTGCACTATTACTGTTCAATCGCTTAAACTCAATTGTACGATATTTATAAATTTTAAAAACTAGTTTAACGTTTTACACCTCGATATTGCGTTAAACTCCGCGATGATTATCATTATGATTAATGTTTGTCGTTTCTTTCAAAGAGGGGGGATGATGATGAAATGGAAGATTAATGGAAGAACCAGCTAAAGTGAACATTGATGGGTTTCTATCTATATAGATAAGTTTTAGCTTTTTAAAGAAAAAAAAAAACAAATGATTTTTAATACCGTGACAATGATTGTTTATGTTGTTTGCTGGAGCAAAAGTAACTAGAAAGGATATTTTTGATACTTTCATAAAAATGGGAAAAGAAAGAGAGTTTAAAAGAGAGTTTTGAGCGAAGGACAAGCGATAATGCTGTAGTTAACAATAAAGGTTCTGATTTAAACCTTCATAATAATTATTTTTGTGTTTCTAACAAGTACTGATTTTTTGAAACACACTAATTCAAAAATTTTTATTTAGAACATCTTATTGTTAGTGGAAAGTTAATGTTTCTGACAATTTACATTTTTATACATCTTTATGAGAAAAAAAAACAAAAAAAATGTCGAAGTAGCAGGATGTAATATAAAGTCTACGCTTTTTGTGTATAAGAATTAAGTGACTTCAATTGTATAAAATGAAAATGAAAAAAAAAAACATTGTTCTAAAGAAATCTTAATGTCGACAAATGATTAAGCGTCTGTTTTTTTTGTTTTTAAGCATTTTTTTTACTAAAGAAACATTTTTTTATTCAATTGTCGTCATTATGAGAGAAAGAGATTTATTTCTCTTTTTTGAAAAATGAAATTGTTTTTTCTCATTTTTGGAAACTGATTTTTGTTTCTTTGGAGATTTTTTTTTGTTTGTTGAAGAGATATTTCATTTTTGATGGGTCTCATTTTATCAGGCAGCGTTTAGCGAAAAAAAAATAAGGTTGTGTTATTAGAAGTAGTATATATTATTCGAGATTAATTGAACAATGCTGGTTATGTTTACTCAAATGAAATTTTAAAAAACTGGAGAAAAATATAATCTGCTGTTTGTATAATAGATTGTGGTAATTTTTTTCATTTACAGTTAGAATTGTAAATAAAATTACAATTATATTTACCCCTAAAAAAAAAGAAAATTGTCAAATCATTATGCCTTTATAGTATTTTTAAATGTTAAGGTTGATCAAAATTTTTAACAATTAGTAAAAATAGCGCATTTTATTCAAATATTGATTTTTTGAAATGTAAAAAAAATTAAAGGTCAGGGTGGCCACAAAGTAAAGTCAGGAAAATGTCGGAAAAAAAAAAAAAAATTTTGTCAGGGAAATTTAGAAAATTGAGATTTTTTCGACTTATTTTCAAAAATGACGACTTTTTCAATTTTTTTTCCAAAATATTGCAAGAAAATATCAAAGTTTTTAGTATTAAATGTAATTCATTTTGATTTTTATAGTGCAAAAAATAACTATAAACAAATCTTTCAAAAAATATTTTTGAATCATTTTTCTATTTAAATTTTTGAAATATACAATTAAAAAGATTTTGAATATTTGAAATTTTGTAAAATTTAATTGAAAATAATGGATTTTTTTCAAGTATTTTGTTAGAATTTTTGAAAAACATCTTTTGAAGAATTTTAATTGCAAATTTTCAAAATAATTGAAGTACCTATCAAAAATTTTAATGAAAAATCTTTAAACCTAAATTTAAAAATGAAAATTAATTTGTTAGAATTTTTGAAAATAAACTTTTGAAAAATTTTAATTGCAAATTTACAAAATAATTGAATTATCAAAAATGTTAATGAAAAATCTTTAAACCTAAATTTAAAAATGAAAATTAATTTGTTAGAATTTTTGAAAATCAACTTTTGAAGAATTTTAATTGCAAATTTACAAAATAATTGAATTATCAAAAATGTTAATGAAAAATCTTTAAACTTAAATTTAAAAATGAAAATTAATGAAAAAATGAAAATTAGCTTCTAATTTTTAAAAATTTAGTATTATTAGTACTTTTAATTATATATTTCCGAAAATTCAAATACATAAAAAAATTAATAACATTTTGAATTATTTTTAACATTTTTGTAGAAAAAATCATTTTCAAAATATGTATTTCATTACAATTCATCAAAAAAATTAATTAGTTTTTTTAAATAATACAGAAACTCTTTTAAGAAATTGAATTGTTTTTGAAAAATTACGTTAAAATATTTTTAAAAACTACTTAATTCTTAGAATTTTTTTATCATAATTTTTTTTAAGATTTTTTTTTTTTTTTTTTTTTTTTTTTCTGTATTTTTACTTCAAAAATTATAAACATAATCTAAAATTTTTGCTTCTTTGGGAGCTTGTCATAAAATTTTTATAAATTAAAAAAAAATTAAAAATGCGATAAGAAAGTGACAATTTTGCATATTGACAAACAAATTTGTTGAATTAAAAATTTTTAACTATAGAAACAAAAATTTATTTTCAAATTTTTAATCGATTCGCGCTCAATTATTGGCGGCTTGTGTCGAACCAATGAATTTCATACTTTTTCCCGCCGTTTTAGTGTATTCATGAAGACGACCAATTGCGTTCGTTGCTTTTCTCGAGATCGGCCAATCAGAAGCGTGGTTTACCGTTAGGAAGAAAGCAAATGGAAGTCAGCTTAAACTGTCAATGTTTACATCTGAAATTATTATATTTTTCAATTCTATTAACGTAATTAACTCTTCTTAATTAAGTCCATCGTTTTTATTACCCCAGTGTTCGTCCAAGTGAAAAATAACAACATTAATCCATTCAGTTTTTTATTAATAAAAGCACTTGTTTATTTCCCATAGGTTCATAACCTCAAAATATGTACATTAGAATAAGAACAGTGGATGGAAAAAAGGAACAGATTTTAACAGTCTCGAAACTAACATTTATAGAAGATTTAAAGGTAATTTTTGTTTTTTATTCAAATTAAACATTAACTTAATTCATAAAAAATAAAATTTCGTATTTTACCGAAGTTTCCAAATTGAAAATCCGTTTGTCTATAGAATGAAATCAAGAAAGTTCTCGACATCGAACCCGATTTACAAAGACTGTTCCATCGAGGAAAACAATTGGAGAATGGCTACAAACTTTTCGATTACAATGTTAATCTTAATGACGTAATATTACTGAATGTGAAAATAAATATTGACGATGTGACAGCGAAGAAGACGGCTCTTTCCGAAGCAGATGAGAAAAATGACAGCGTTGTTATACCGGAGGAAACGATCGTCGATGCTGAGAGTCTGTATTATAGAGTTGGAGATGCAATCGACTGTGTTGATCAAGCGTGTGGTGCTTGGTACGAAGCCACTATTCAGAGGATAATTAATTTGAGCGGAAAAATACAGTATCAAGTAAAATGGCAATTTGGCGATCGAGAAGAGCCGTTTGTAGTCGAGGAGAATTTCATTAGACCCAGAGCGTACAAACTTGTAAATTTCGATGATCTTCGTCGAGGACTGAAAGTAATGATTAATTACAATATTGAAGAACCAAATGAAACTGGATTATGGTACGATCTCACTGTTCAGAAAGTATTGCGATCCGTCAAGTCCATAACGGGAACACTTCATATTGGACAGTAAGAAATTAGCAAAAAAAGCTTCCTCTATGAGGAAGTAAAACGAACAAACTATTTATTTTCTTGTAGATTACATTTATTATTAGTTATATAGTTTATAATAATAGGATTAATAATTATCTAAAATTTTTCTTTCAGAGACTACGAGACTGTGAAAAATTGCAAAGTCCGCCCACAATTGGACGAAATATTTGCGATAGAGAAACCAAAATTATTAAAGGACAGGGATAAAAATTCGACAGTGGAACTGAAAAGCACGAGAAGAAGACTACCGATACAGTGTAAAAATTGCATGGATGATTTAAAAATTAATTGCACCGAGTGTGCTTGTAAAATTTGTGGCGAACGACGAAATCCAGAGAATATTCTTCTGTGCGACGAGTGTAACGGGGAATATCATCTTCAATGTTTAAATCCACCACTCTCTAAAGTTCCCGACGAAGATTACTGGTATTGTCCGTCGTGTAAGAATGACGAAAACGAAATTGTCATGGTGAGTTAATGAAATTTCTATTTAAATTTACAATATTAATATGGGTAATTAAATAATTAAAGGACTTATTAAAGATTAAAGTTTCGAAATTATTAACGACCTCCTTAAAATTCTAAACGTTCAAATTAAATTCATTTGTTCAAATCAAAATTCGTTTATTTCTTTTTCAAATTAATATTTTTATCGGAATAAAATTGCTTCAGGTATTAAAAAATAATTCAACTTCACAATCTTCTAGTAAAATCAACAATTTACTCATTTTTTACGATTAGCTACTATTAGGATATTTTTTTCTAGATTTGTGACACTAAAAGATACTTTTTTTTAAATTTACAAAAATTTCAATTCGTTGAAAGTTGAAATAAAAAAATTATTCTCCAAAATTTTAATAAAATCATTAGAATCTTTAAAATCGAAAATTCAATTATTTTCGAAATTGTTTTCGAAATTCAATTATTTTCATACTATCTACTATTTAAATAAAATTTCCAAAAAGAATTTAATTATTTTGAAGAATTTTAATAACATTCTTTGCAAACATTCAATTATTTTCAAAAGTAATTCAATTTTGACAGAAACTCAATGATTGTAAATTTAATTTTCTTTAGAATTTTTCGGAATAATAAATTATTTTCAAGAATTTAATAAAAATTCTTCACCAAAATTCAATTATTTTCAATGCAATTTTTATCAAATTTCTTGAAATAAATAAATTATTTTCAGAAATTTTTAAATAAAATTTCTATATGAGAATTGAATTTTTTTCAATAAAATTTAAATTAAATTTGTCAAATTGACAAATTTTTTTGCAAGAATTCAATTATTTTTCACAAATAATTTAATTCTTCGCTGAAATTCAAATGTTTTTTAAAATCTACTGTTTTTAATAAAATTTCTCAAAAGAATTCAATTATTTAAAAAAAATTAATAAAATTAATTGCAAAAATTCATTTATTTTCATAAACAGATAGAATTTATTTCAGATAGAATTATTCAATCATTTAAAATACAATTTTAAATAAATTTCCACAAAAAATGCAATTATTCTTAAAAATTTTATTAAGATTCTCCTAAATAATTCAATTATTTTAAAAAATTCTTTATAAGAATTCAATTTTAAGAAATATTCAATCATTCAATAAATTATTAATTTTTTTATTTAAATAATTGAATTCTCGTAGAAATTTCTAATAAGAATTGATTTAAAATTGAATTTTAGTTAAAATTATAGATAATTATGTACTAGAAGCGTTATATTATAAATTTTCAGAAATAATTGAATTTCAAAAGATTTTTAAAGTGAAATCTTTGAGAATATTAATTTTTGTAAAACTAATAATATTTAAATTGTTCTAGAAAAAAAATTATTAAGTTTTTGAATAAATTTAATTAAAAATTTCAACAAAAAAATTATTGAATTTTGGAATAATATTACAGTTATAATTTTTAGAAATTATTAAATTTTAAAAAGATTTTACACAGTTAACAAGTTATTTAAATAATGTACTTAACAAAAATTATTTAAGTTTTGCATGTAATTTATTTTTGAAATAATAAAAAAAATCAGTCTTTTGAAAAATTGAAATTAAAATGTTTTGAAAATAGTTCAATTCCCTTAAATAATCTAAAAAGATTAAATTATATTTCTACTTATTTGGAAATTTTGTCAAATTTTATTGAAATAAATAATATATTTTAAAGAATTTTTTTTCTACTTTCAAGAATTATTTTCAAATATAATCGTATTTTCGAAGAATTTTAAATTAAAATTTAGAAAATTATTGAATTTTGTAAAAATTGAGAATTGAAGTTATTATCAGTAGGATAGGAAAAAGCGTAAATATTTTTGATGAAAATTAGAAAGAAATCAGTGAAATAAAATGCAGAAACAACAACTTTCTACTTTTTTAAAATTAATTATCGAGTGCAAAACCTGATAATTCCTAAAGTTTCATCTTTTTTTCCATTTCATTTACATTTCGTAATTTACATTTTTTAATTATCATTGCAGTCAGTAATTTTTCGAAAGAATTTAAAGTGAAAAAATATTTGGAAAAATAGATCAAAATTTTCTTCTTGAAAATTTGTATTTGATGTTTAATTAATTAATAAATTAAGTTAATTAAATAAATTAATCAATAAACACATTGCAGGTTGGCAACAAATTAAGGGATTCGAAAAAAAGGAAAAATAGACTTGCCACAAAGGAGGATAGAAAAAATAAAGATAGAGAAAAAAGAGACTGGGGAAAAGGAATGGCTTGTGCAGGGCGAACAAAACATTGTACGATCGTAGCGGAAAATCATAGAGGTGCAATTCCAAATGTAGAAGTTGGCATGTGTTGGCGCTATAGAATACAGGCAAGTAGAATATTCGATTTCTTTTTTTCTATCGCTGAATTTATCTATAAAAAATAGTGGAAAAATATTTTCATAATTTTCGTAATTTTAGGCATCCGAGGCAGGTGTTCATAGACCACCAGTTTCCGGAATCCATGGACGAGAAAACGATTGTGCCTATTCGATTGTACTGTCCGGTGGATATGAAGACGACGTCGATAATGGCGAGGAATTTTATTACACTGGATCCGGAGGAAGAGATTTGACAGGTAAAATTTCTTGGGATATAATTTGTAATTAAAATTGTATTATTAATATTGTATTAATATTAATTCATTATTAATATTCTAATTCTTATTCTAAACTAAGTTATGTTAAATTTCCAAACTATTGTTTCTAATCTTTTTAAGTAAATTTTTAATGCAAAGTTAAAAGAAAATTCAGTGAAAGGAAAATTCGAAAATTTGTTTTCAAACAGGTAACAAAAGAACGGCAGTTCAAAGTTGCGATCAAGTTCTAACTTTGTCGAACAAAGCATTGGCATTAAATTGTTACGCAGAATTTGATTCCTCACGAGGTGCAACGTCTGACGATTGGATGAATGGAATACCTGTTCGAGTTCTACGTTCTTGTAAGCTTGCCAAGCATAGTAAATTTGCACCAAAAGAAGGCATCAGGTATAATGAAACAATATCGAATTCATCGTCATTTGCATTTTTGACAATTTTCACATTTTTTTATGTTGAAATATTGACATAATTTTTGAAATTGTCAAAATTTTGTATTTAAATTTAATTCAAATATAATTAAAACTTAATTTAAATTTAATTAAAACTTAATTAAAATTTAATTAAAATATAATTAGAATTTAATTTAGTTAACAGACTTTTTTGTTTTTTTCTCAGATACGATGGTCTTTATAAGGTAGTGAAATATTATCCCGAACTGGGAAAAAGTGGTTTCAAAGTTTGGCGATATGTCCTGAGACGTGATGATCCAACACCCGCCCCATGGACCGAGGAGGGAAAAAAGAGAATTAAAAATCTGGGTATAGAAATTATTTATCCAGATGGTTATTTCGAATTTCAAGAGACAAAGAAGAAATCCAATCAGAAAAAACGTAAAGCAATCACTAGCAATGAGGAACAATGTAAAAGAACGAAATTGGAGAATTATCAATTGGATGACGATATTTGTAAAATTATCAGAAAGGACAAATTGAATGACAAATTTTGGCAGGAGTTCTCTTCGCGGTCTTTTAAGGGCAAAGTTCAATTTCTAAAAGATGTCACTGACACGTAAGTATTTTTCATTTCGAAAAACGAATTTTTATTTTAATAGTTTTTAAATACTTTATCAGGGTTGCCACGAGTCAGGGAAAGTAAATTTAGTCAAGAAAAATTCAGGCAATTATTTTCAATATAATTTGAATTAAATTTATTTAAAGAATTCAATTATTTTCTAAAATTCTTCGCAGAAATTTAATTATTTTCAGTACAATTTTAATTAAATTTCTTCAAAGAATTCAATTCTTTTCATAAATAATAAAATTTTTCGCAGGAATTCAATTATTTTTGTAAATAATAAAACTCTTTGCAGAATTTCAATTATTTTTAATATAATTTCAATTTAATAAAATTCCTCGAAAAATGTAATTATTCTTAAAATTTTTATTAAAATTCGTCGTAGGAATTCAATTATTTAAAAATTTGTTGATAAACTGTTTTATGGGAATTAAATTATGGGAAACATTCAATAAATTATTTATTTTTGTATTTAAATGATTGAATCATCGTAGAATTTTCGAACAAAAATAAGTAAAAATTTTTTAAAAATTCTCTTTAAAATTTCAATTATTTTTATAAATAATAAAAATCTTCTCCAAAAATAATTGTATTTTTAAAAATTTTAATAAAATTTTTGGCAACATTTCAAGTATTTTAAAAAATTTTCCTGATTTTAATGATTTTCAATGTGCACTATTTTAATAAAATTCTCCAAAGAATTCAATTATTTTTAAAAATTTTTGATAAAATTCTGCACAAAACATTTAATTGTTTTCATAAATAATAAATATTTCACAAGAATTCAATTATTTACAATTTTTTTTCTATAAATTTCTTCGCAATAATTCAATTACTTTTCATAAATAATAAATTTTTTCATAGTATTTCAAATATTTTCATTTTTATAAATATAATAATTCTTATTAGGAATTCAATTATTTTTCTTTGTAAATAATTGAATTTTCTAATAAAAATTGTTTTAAAAATGAATTTTAATAAAATTTTAGATTTTAAGAATTTTCATAAATCTTTTGAAAATAATTACATTTTTCGAGGAATAAAAAAATTACATTTTATTTAAAATTGTACTAAAAATAGTTGAAATCTTGTAAAGAATTTTGTTAACATATGAAAATAATTGAATTCTTACAGCGAATTTTATTCCATTTTTTTTAAATAATTGAATTGTTTTGAGAAATTTTATTAAAATAGTAATTTTTAAAATATTTGAATTTCAGCGAAGAATTTCATTATTTGTAAAAAGTAATTGAATTCATGTGAAAAATTTTATTACTTGTAAAAATAATTAAATTTTTGAAAAGGATTTTTTTAAAATTTTTGAAAATTTAATTTTTCTTGTAAAATTTTATGTAAATTTAAATTATTATAAAACATAAAGATATCAATCACTCCGAGTGATCGGTATCTTCATGTTTTATTTTATAATAATATTTTTTTACGTTGTGAAATTTCGAAAAGGTTTGAATTCGAAATTTTTGAAAATCTTACTTTCTATGGAAAAATAATACTGATTCAATATTTTTTATTTAAAAAAGAAGTTATTGATGTTTTCGAATAACTTTACAATTAAAAAAATTCGTAAATGAATTCACTAGAACATTCTTTTATCTAATTATTTTTAGAGTGAATCAGAATATTCTTTAGGATCAGAAAAAGAGTCAAAGTTCTGTCTGGAAATGAAGGAAAAATAAAATATAATTTCTGTGGCAATTCTGTTTATGTCAAACTATTAAATAAATTTGAAATTATTTTGTAAACAATAATTTTGAAATTTGTTCAATAATTACATTTTTAAATAATTCAAAAATCACGTGTTTTAATCACAATTTATTATGTAAGAATTTATTTTCACCAGGTTTACGTGTGTCTGTTGTCAAGAGCTTGTTTTGAAACCAATAACTACACCGTGTACGCACAACACGTGTCTAATGTGTTTAAAGCAAAGTTTCGAAGCCGAAATTTATTCCTGTCCTCATTGTCGCTTTGCATTAAGTGGCAATTACAAAATGGAAGTGAATAAAAATTTATCGATCATTTTGGAAACTCTATTTCCGGGTTACGAGAAATGTAGATAAAATATAATTACAAAAAAACATCACGTGCTCCATAAAATTACGTATATTTTGTGTATAACTTAAAAAAGAAATATTTATGTTAAATTTTACTAAATTATCCACTTTTTCAGAAAAAGGGGGAATAAATTTGAAAAAAATGTATTTCTAATATATCTTCGAAATAAAATTTTCCTATTTTTTATCATTTCTTTTTTCTCTTTTTAATATATAAAAATAAAATAAAATAGAAATTTAATACATAAATTGAAATTCAATCTAATGAATGAGGCTTAATTTCCAAGAGTTAAAATTATTGAATATGATTGGTCGAGGGGAAAATTAATGTATTTTCGATTGGTTATGAAAATAATCGATGACGTCCCATTTGACGCGCAACGTGTAAACGAACCTTTATTTCCAATAAAATCCGAATGAGAACAAACATTTTGAGGTTAGTTCGGAAAGTGAATTTTAAGAGTGAGAATTGTGTGGCATCGTAAAAATTGTAGGGGGTCTTTTTCGTTAAGATCCAAAAGCAATCGCGTCCTTTTAGGGAAATATAATGTCTGTGATATTTGCCGATACTTAAAAGTATTCGTTTTTAGTTGCAATTTTTCTTGTCGATAACATGTCGTCGGCTTCAAGTTCTTTCGGAGCAATGCGGGAGTTGGGGATTGCCGTTTTGAATGTTTGACGAATATTTTGAGTTTGTATTCGGTTATGGTTTATTGAATTATTTAGGTGTGGATAAAAAAAAATGGTGAAAGAAAAACCAAATTCTATTCGTATATATGACTCTGAAGGTTATAGACGGAGAGCGGCATGTATCTGCGTCAAGAACGACCTCGAGGACGAGGTAAGCCATCAAGAGGGCAGGTTTTCAATAGAATTCTTTTTACACACTGCCTTCGTTTTTTTCGTTATTTCTTTTTTTATCTTCACTTTTCTTTTTTGCATGTTCATTAAATAATTTTCTCTCATTGTCAAAAAGAAACAGGAGCCTGTTCAATTTTAAAGATGGTTTCCCCTCCTGCGTAGTAATCTGCTCCAAAAATGAGAATGAGTGTAACGTACTCGTATGACCCTAAGAAAATTACGTGTAAAAAATTTTTCTCTATTTACTTTTTCTGTTTTTAGTTTAAAAAAAAAAATTATTTCTAGTTTTTTTCTACTACTGATAATTTTATTCAAATTCTACGATGAAGTCTATAAAATTTATTAAAATCGAATATTTCAAGATTAAAATTTGATTAATATTAATTTTGTTACGAAAATTAATTTCTATAATGTTTTTAAATTAAATTCAACGTATGTGCGCTATTTTGATGCCATTTGTAAAGTATCATAACATAATAGCCTTGATTGTAATTTTCTCTCTGGTAATTCAAAACTCGAGACAATAATGATACATTTCAATGTTAAAATCGTTTTGGAAATTTAATATGTAAAAACAATAACACTTATTGAGTTAACAGAAATAATCAATAAATTTTTCTCGTCATTATTCAAATATAATATTGTTGAAGAAAACATATTGTCGCATTTAACAGGAAATAAATTCTTCCTAATTAAACGAGAGTAATTCGCACAATTATATAAGATTTGAATGAGAAAAAAAAAATTTTCCAGATTATTCTGTTGACAAAAACAGAATTCTTAATATTAAAAGTTTTCTTACACAATTTAGATTTTTTTTTCAGACAAAAAAAAAACTGTTTCGAAAAATATTAATTTTTTTCATAAAATTTCAAATAAATTAAATGTACCAGAAACAATTAAGAAAGAATAATAAAATTATTAGTCAGATTCATGAAATATTTCTACATCATTTATAATGTGACAAAATGTTTTGCCTTTGTGCCAAGATGCATTGTTAGACACGGATCACCTGCCATTTCAGTTGGACATGAACATTAAATAAAATGAATAAAAGACAATTTCTAATTAAAATATTTCAACAGCTAGGAAAATAATAAACATAAAATATATTCAATGATGTCAAGAGACAAAGGAAAAATTTTTTAGTTTCAATATGACTGAAATAATAAAAGAAATATTATTTGTTTAACTAAAATTGAGAATTCCTATATGGATTTTATAATTTTTTTTCCTTTTGTCTATCTTTATATTTTTACAATTCGAAACTTTTGGAAATAAATAATTGAAAATAGAGGAAAATTCGCAGAGAGAAAAAAGACTGTTTTCAACACTCTTGTTGTGTCTTCAAAAAGTTCTAAATCGAGACAAATATTAATTGTTAAGTGAATAGGTAAATGAACATGTTTTGAAAATGTCACAATTCTATTATTTCCCTTAGCTTATATATTTTTAACTTATAGTAATAAGTGCCGTCTGCCAAAAAGTGAGGAATATTGCGCAAGAATCATTTCAGTTTTGTATATGAAGAAAAACAAGAAAATATTATTAATGTCGATTGTATAATTTATGAGATTTTGCATTTTTTCGTACCGCTATTTACCGACCAGGAATAGTTCAGAAACTTCTAAACTTTTGCTTTTAGTTCGAAAATAATTGAAATTTTAGAAATTTTCAAAAAAATTTCCATTTTTTTGTTTAAAAATAAGGACTAAAAATATAGAATATAGACGAAATGTTTTATAAAAAAATTTGTATTTTAGGTGCTCCTGGTGACATCAAGTCGCAGACCTGATAGCTGGATAGTTCCTGGTGGCGGTGTCGAACCCGAAGAGGAACCAGCAGTTACAGCCTTGCGAGAAGTGAGAGAAGAGGCTGGAGTTTTGGGACAACTTGGACGATGTCTTGGAGTATTTGAAGTGAGATGATAACACAAATATAACTTCAAAATATGATTCGTTCCTTGAAATAATTATTCGAAACGTGTCACAAATAATTTCAGGATTGTCACAGATCAGAAAATGTCAGGGAAAGTAGAATTGGTCAGGGAAATCAGAAAAAAGTCAAAAAAAAGTACGGGAAAAAATTAAATATTTGGAATTCATAAGAAAATTCTAAATTTTTGTGTCTTTTTTGTTTGCCTCATGAAATTATCATAAATTCTGATACAAAACCTTCAATTTTTTCTATTTGTAACAATAATTTCTTTTTAAATAACTTAATTCTTCAAGAACTATTATAAAATTATTACTTGTAAATTATTTAATGAATAATTTTACTTAAATATTTCGAAATTAATTGAATTTTAAAAGAGTTGCGTTTTACAATTTTCATAAATAGAATTAATGAATTTAATTAGAAATTTTAAAGAACTTAGTTTTTTGAAAAATTTTCATAATTCAAATTCTTCTAAAATTAGTTAAATTTTTTAAAATATATTAAATTAATTATAAAATATAATGGCAGAATTTTAGTTAAAAATGCGTTAAAAAATTGAATTTTGGAGCAGTTAAAAATTCTTGTCAAAATTTCAATTATCTTTAAAAATAATAAAATTCTTCTCCGAAATTCAATTATTTTAAAAAATGCAATAAAATTCGTTGCAGAAATTCAATTCTTTATAATACAATTTTAAATAAATTATTAGAAAGAATTGAATTATTTTTTAAATTTTCATAAAATTTTACCAAAAAATTCAAATATTTACAAAAATATAAATAAAATCCTTTACAAGAATTGAATCATTTTTTCAAATAATAAAATTTTTACATACATTTTTCGCAGAATTTCAATTATTTGTGAAAAATAATTTAATTCTTGTAAAAAATTTTAAGAATATTTTTGAAAATAATAAAATTTTTCGAGGAATCCATTTAAAATTATATTAAAAATAATTGAAATCCTGTGAAAAATTGTATTATTAATAAAAATAATTAAATTCTTACAACGATTTATATTACATTTGTTTAAATAGTTGAAGTCCTTTGAACTTTTTTATTATTTTTAAGAATAATTCAATTATTTACAAATTTTATTAAAATTATTGTAATAATTTAATTTTTTTGAAAATTTTTATGAAAATTGAAAAAACAATTTAATTATTCCTAATAATATGTTATAATGAAAATATTGTATTAAAAATAATTAAATTCTTGCGATGAATTTTATTATTTATGAAAATAATTTAATTCTTATAAACAAATGTTATCAAAATTTTAGAAAAGTATTTTTGAAAATATTTTAATTCTTGCAAAACATTTTTCTAAAATTGTTGAGAATAATTACATTTTTCGAGGAATTTATTTAAAATTATATTAAAAATAATTGAAATCCTGTGAAGAATTTTATTATTTACGAAAATAATTTAATTTTTGCAACAAATTTTATTACAATTTTTTTAATTATTGAATTTATGTAAAGAATTTTATTATTTATAAAAATAATTGAATTCCTGAGAAGGATTTTATTAAAATTTGGTAAATAAGTGAATTCTTTTGGGAAATCTTATTAAAATTTTGATGATTTTGAAGATTTATTTGAAATTTTAGCAAAGAATTTCAATATTTGTGAAAATAATTTAATTCTTGCAAAAAATTTTCCAAAACTTTTTGAAAATAATTACATTTTTTAAAAATTGTTTTTAGTACAATGTTATATGAACATTGTATTAAAAAACAATATAAATCTTGTGAATTTAATTATTTGTGATAAATGATTGAATTCTTGTAGAAAAATTTCCAACATTTTTTGAAAATAATAAAATTTTTCGAGGAATCTATTTAAAATTGTATTAAAAATAATTAAAATCCTGTGAAAAATTTCATTATTTCTGAAAATAATTGAATTCTTACAACGAATTTTATTACATTTTTTTAAATAATAGTATTCATGTGATACATTTTTTTACTTGTAAAAATAATTGAATTCTTGAGAAGGATTTTATTAAAATTCGGTAAATAATTGAATTTTTTTTTTCAAAAATTTATGAAAATTTAAATTATTATAAAACATGAAGATATCGATCGATCCGAGTCGAAGACTCGGAGTGATTGATATCTTCATGTTTAATAATAAATATTCTCATCAGTTGTTGAATTCTGCAAAAGGTTTGTTTTTGAAAATCTTAAATAGAAAAAGTAATAATGATTGAATATTTATTAAAAAATGAAATTATTGTTATCTTCGAATAATTTTACAATTAGAGAAATTCGTACATAAATTTAATAGAACATTTTTTTAAGTATCTAATAATTTTTAGAGTGAATCGCAGAATATTGTTCAGGTTCAGGAAAAAAGTCAAAATTTTGTATGACAATCAGGGAAAAACAAACTTAAATTTTTGTGGCAATCCTGAATTTTAATAAACTGAAATTTTACAATGAAAGAGAAATTGAAGGAGAAAAGAAGAAGAATAAAGAAATTAATAGAAAATATTTTTTTTTTCACAGAGTGCAGAGCATAAACATCGAACGCAAGTGTGGGTGATGCGTGTAACGGAGGAATTGCCCGAATGGGAAGATTCACGAGCAATTGGCCGGAAACGTAAATGGTTTTCCATACCGGATGCATTGTTACAGCTCGCCCAACATAAACCTGTACAGCGTTCTTATTTGCACAGTCTTCACAATACAAATCCGCGACACAACAATCCGAATACAAATCCTTCACACCATACACACAGTCCAACAACTCCCATTCAACTCATGAATAATTCTAGTAGCAATCCTCATTTCAATAAACATAGCTAATAATGCTGACGATCCATAATTTTTTTCTTCTTTTCATTTCTGATTTTTAATTTTTAATTTTTAATTTTTTTTTTTTTTTTTTTTTTTTTTTGAGTGAAAAAAAACAACACATTTTTCTATTCGATATCAGAACTTTTTGCTATCTTCTTGCTTCTCACAAAAAATCATCATAATAATTATTATTGTATTTTATACATGTAATAACTGATATTGAACTACGCTAATTAATTAATATATTAGATTGTTAATTCCCCCCAAAAAAAGAGAAAAAAAAATAACCGAAGGAGCAGTTTTTACAATCTTATTTTGTAAAACGTCATTTTGGAAAGAAAAAGAAAAATACTTTTCAAAATAACGTTATTGAAATGGGAAGTGAAGAAAATTTGAAAAATGAGAGAAAGAGAGAGAGAGAGAGAGAAAGAGAAACTGTGTGAGAGAAAGAGAGAATTTGTGACGATTTTCAAAGCGTTTTAGCATAATTGAAACATTAGTTTTTAAAAAAGAATTTGTAAGTCCAAAAATCTGTATTCACTACTAAGAAAAAATATTAACTGATTTTTGTAAATTTTTAGAAATTTCATCATTCTAATGACGAAAGTTTCAAAAAAAAAAAAAAAAAAAAAAATGTACTGTCTCTATATTATATAATTAATTCATGTCGATTTTTGGAAAGATATCAAAGAGACTCGAGAGCAATACATCAAGCGCCAAACTATAATAAACACTATAAGGTGAAATTTGTTTATATAAAAAAAGACAACAAAATTGACATCGTTTTTTTAGCAAAAATTAAACTCTTATTTTAATTGGAAAACTGTTATTATTTCTTACTTTTTCTTCATGCACACATTTTTAATTAAAAACGGATCACATTACCTCAATAGTTAAAATTGCCATATTTTATTACAGAGAGAAAAAAAACAAATAAACAAACTTTCCTATGACAATTACAATATATACTTATTTCTATTGAAATCAATTTTTAAAAAAATAAATAATGCTGGATTGTACAACTGGTACATTTTCAAAAGATTCTTTCTACGGATCTCACAGATAATACTGTATATTAAAATGAAAGTGTATAATGCTAAATAAATTATAATTTTTTAAAAATAGGAGACAAAATGTTGAGAATTTTTTTTTTAGTTTTCTTAAATAGTTTAGAAGTAGTAAATGATACGCGCGAAACACGGTGATCCATTTATTATTATTTTGTAAATTAAAAAAATATGTTTTCAAGAATAATATTTAATTTTTAAATGATTACAGATTAAAAATTTAAAAAATTCACTTATTAAGTACAGAATATGAAATATTCTTGTTTATTGTTAGGTATTCAAAAATTTTAATAAAATTTTTCGAAAGAATTTCATTATTCTCATAAATAATATAAAATTCTTTATAGCAATTCAATATATTATTTTCAATAGAATTTTAATAAAATTTCTCGAAAGAACACAATTTTCAATAAATTCAGATAAAATTTTTCGAAACAATTCAATTATTTTTATAAATTATAAACTTCTCCGAAAGAATTCAATTATTTTCATAAATAAGAAAATTATTCGCAGGAATAAAAATATTTTCATAAATAATAAAATGATTCGAAAAAATTCAATTATTTTTAAAAATATTATTTAAATTCAATTATTTTCAAGAGTTTCAATAAAAATTCAATTATTTTTATAAATAATAAAATTCTTCTGAGAATTTCAATTATTTTCTAGAAAAAAAATTCAATTACATTCAAGATAATTTTAATAAAATTTCTCTAACGGGTTAAATTATTTTCAAAAATTGTAATAACATTTTTCTAAACAATTAAATAATTCTCAAAAGTTTTTAATAAAATTCTTTGTAAATTTCAATTATTTTCAATTAAAATTATTTTTAAAAATTACATTATTTTTACGAAATTTAATGAAATTCTCAAAAAGAATTTAATTTTCAAATTTTTTTAACAAATACTTTACAAAAATTCAATGACTATTTCAGTACATCAGCAATGTAATTATTTCTGGAAACAATTTAATTCTTGAATTGAATTTTATTAAAAAATTTTTAAATAATTGAATCCTTGCGAAAAAATTTATTTATTTCTGTAGATAATAATTGAATTTTTGCAGAATTTTAAAAAATAAGTAAATTTTTTATAAGTTTATAAAAATTATATTTAAAATAAGTAAATTCCTGGGAAAAATTTACTATTTATTGATATTATTGAATTCTTTCGAAGAATTAAAAAAAATTTAATTTTTCCTGGAATTCGATTAGAATTGTATTTAAAATAATTGAACTTTTGTGAAAAATTCAATTATTTTTTAAAATAATTGAACTTTTGTGAAAAATTCAATTATTTTTTAAAACAATTGAACTTTTGTGAAAAATTCAATTATTTTTTTAAAGAATTGAAGTTTTGTGAAAAATTATTTTAAAATATAATTGAACTTTGGTGAAAAATTCAATTATTTTTTTAAATAATTGAAATTTTTCGGAGAATTTTTACAAGATTTTTAAAAATAATTGTAATTTTCAAAGAAATCAATTAAAATTGTATTTAAAATAAGTGAATTTTATTACAATTATTGAAAATAATTGAATTCTTGCTAAAAATAATTTATTGAATTTTCTTGAAAATAATAGTTTTTTAAAAATAATTTTCAATAAAAATTATTTTTTAAAAACTCCATTATTTTGAAGAAAATTAAATAAATTCTTCAAAACAATTCAATTATTTTAAAGAATTTTAATAAAAATCTTGCCAAGAATTAAATTATTTTCAATACAATTTTAATTACATTTTCTTGAAAATTACTTATTTGCCTTTATTTTGAGTTTTCTTTGTATAGAAATATATTTTTTTATTTATTTAGTTTATTTTTAATAGAAAATAGGGAAAATAATCGAAAAAAGAGAAAATCGAGGGAAAACTCAAAAAACACAGAAAACTACTTAATTTGAAAATTTAAAGTTTCATACCGAATGAAGTTAGCAGTGGATGTGAACTAATTCCTGAACTGACCACTAGAAGAAATGTTTTTCACTTTAAGTATAGATTTCTATCTCTTCTATTATTTCATTGCTTTATCCATTTACCCTCTATTCTTGATTCAACAAATCTTAACCCCACCACAAAATTTTGTTTTTCTTGTTTAAAAGCAAAGTGTTTCAGTGTACTTATTTGGCGTACTCGAAAAATGGCGAAAAAAACGTACGATTTATTATTCAAGTTGTTACTTATCGGTGACTCTGGTGTCGGCAAAACTTGTATATTATTTAGGTTTTCAGACGATGCTTTTTCCACTACATTTATTTCAACAATAGGTAAGAAAATAATAATTAACGTTTAATTGATTCGACATTCTTCTATATATATCTTAACAAAGCTAATTTGTTCATGCATTTATAAAGTTGGTAATATTATTGTTTAGGTTAGTTTTTTTTCCTGTTTTTTTCCTCTTATATGTGAGTGTGAGAAAATATTAAGAGATTAATATGTCAATATTTTTTAAAACGCATCTTTTATTTCAGTAGTAATTTATTTTCGTCATAATGACTCATCTATTGTTCTCTGTCTACAGATCATTTAATTCTTTTTTACTGGGTTAATAAAAGCATGTAACTTTTTTAACCCTTGATACATTTAATACATTTCAATACATTTGTACGATTTGTACTTTTATCAGAGATTTATTAACTATCATCATCATTGCAATAAAGTGTCTCGATAGACTTCTTTTAAATGAATGACATTTGAGTTTCTACTTTTTTCTGTTAGAAACATTTCACATGTAATATATTATTTTGTTTAACGAATTCGTATATTTGAATATAATCACCTTTTTTTCATAAACAAGTTTGGTTCTAATTTAAGAATTCTTACATAATAGTATTTTTTTTTCAATATTAAGTTGTCAATTTATTTCTTTTTTTCAACTACTTTGTCAATTTATTGATAGTTGCTTTATTGAAAAATATTTTGAAATAAGATTGTAATATTTTTTTAGGTATTGATTTTAAAATCAAGACAGTTGAATTGAGAGGAAAAAAAATCAAATTGCAGATATGGTGAGAAATTTATTTTTATGTTATAAATTCAATTGTATAAGATAATTGGTGTTTAAAGGTTAATTATCTTAATTGTTACATAAATTGTTTATTTGTTTTTTAAATACGTTTTTTCTTTGTATTTACAAAATATTTTTATCTTTCTAAATATATTGTAATATGCTTTTCAGGGATACCGCTGGACAAGAAAGGTTTCACACTATCACTACTTCCTATTATCGAGGTGCTATGGGTATTATGTTAGTTTATGATATAACAAATGAGAAGACCTTCGAAAACATTGTCAAATGGCTAAGAAACATAGACGAGGTAATATTCTTATCTTATTTTTTTTATTTTTAAATTGTAAATAGAAACGTACACAGAACAAAAGTATTGATCAATTTTTGTTTTTAGCATGCAAATGAGGACGTTGAGAAAATGATATTAGGAAACAAATGTGATATGGAGGAGAAGAGGGTTGTGAGCACGGAAAGGGGAGAGGCTGTAAGTTTACTGACTTTACTTTTTTTCTTTTAAAGATAAATAATTTTCTATAATAAGGCTTCGCACTCATCTACCAAAACCAAATATTTAATACGTTTCTTTTTAACAACTTGGATACTATTTGGATTCTTTCTTTAAATTTGTGACACTAAGAGCAACTTTTTTATTTTTTTATTTTCGACAGCTAATAGTTGAAATAACAAAACTATTTTTAAAAATTTTAATAACATTCTTTTTAGAAATAATTCAAAATTTTTAATTACAAAATTCTTTGATAGAATACAATTATTTTCAAATATTTTTTGAAAAATTCCTTTCTTTGCAAGACTTTAATTCTTTTTCACAAATAATTAAATTCTTCGTTGAAATTGAAATGTTTTTAAAATCTTCTATTTTATTAAAATTTCTTAAAAGAATTTAAATATTTTTAAAATCTTCAATTTTAAGATACAATTTCTCAAAAGAATTCAATTATTTAAAAAAATAATAAAATTTTTCGCTTAAATGCAATTAATTGATTAATCAATTTTTAACAGGAATTCAATTATTTAGAATTTAATTTTCAAGAACATTTTTCAAAAGAAATCAATTACTTAAAATATTTTCAAAAATACTTTCAAAGAAATTAATTCTTTACTAAAATTTTGATAACATTTGTTTATAAGAATTAAATTATTTTCATAAATAATAAAATTCATCGCAAGAATTCAATTATTTTTAATACAATATTTTCATTAAATTATTATTAGGAATAATTGAATTGTTTTTTCAATTTTCATAAAATTTTTCAAAAATATTAAATTATTTACAAAAATTTTAATAAAATCCTTCAAAAATTCAATTATTTAAACAAATGTAATATAATTCGTTGTAAGAATTCAATTATTTTCATTAATAATAAAATTTTTCACAGGATTTCAATTATTTTTAATACAATTTTAAATGGATTCCTCGAAACATTTTATTATTTTCAAAAATTTTCTTGAAATTTTTTACAAGAATTAAATTATTTTTCACAAATAATTGAAATTCTGCGAAAAATTGTATATATATATATGAAAAAATAATTCATTTCTTGTGAAGAATTTTAATAATTTTTTTGCAAGTACTTGAATTTTTTAGAGAAATTTTATGAAAATTTAAAAGAATAATTCAAATATTCATAATAATTTAATTAAAATTATATTTTAAAAAATTGAATTCTTGCAATGATTTTTATTACATTTTTTTAAATAATTGCATTCCTGTGAAACATTTTATTATTTGTAAAAATAATTTGAATTCTTGAGAAGGATTTTTTTAAAATTCGGTAAATAATTGGATTTTTTTGAAAAATTTTATGAAAATTTAAAACAAAAATTCAATTATTTTTAAAAATAATAAAATTTGTTGTAAAAATTCAATTATTTTCATAAACAAGAAATTCTTCACAGGATTTCAATACTTTTCATAAATATTAAAATTTTTCGTAAGATTTCAATTATTTTTATTACAATTTTAAGTAAATTCTTCGAAAAATGTAATCATTTTCAACAAGTTTAGGAAAATGTTTTGCAAGAATTTAATTATTTTTCACAAGTAAAAATATTCTTCTATGAAATTCAGATACTATTTTCAAAATCTTTTATTTTAATCAAATTTCACAAAGGAATTCAATTATTTTTATAAATAACAAAATTCTTTTTAGGATTTGAATAATTTAAAAAAAATATAATAAAATGCGTTGCAAAAATTCAATTATTTTCATAAATAATAAAATTCTTCACAGAATTTCAATTATTTTTTAATACAATTTTAAATAAATTCCTGGAAAAATTTAATTATTTTTAAACATTTTTGGAAAATTTTTTGAAGAATTACTTTTCACAAATTCTTCATATTTCTCAAAGAATTTCAATTTTTTTAGAACAATTTTAAATTAATATTTCTTGAAAAATGTAATAGAAAAATTTTATTAAAATTTTTCATAATAATTCAATCATTTTCAAAAATTTTGATAAAATTCTTAAAGACTTCAATTTTTTTTAATAATGAATAATCTTATCAATTATTTGTTTTTGTATTTAAATAATTGAATTCTCGTAGAACTTTCTAATGAGAATTGATTTAAAAATTATTTTCAGGTTTATAATTATAATTTATTGAATATTAAATGCTTTTTATTATGAATTTTTAGAAATAGTTGTATTTCTAAGATCTTTTACATAATCGAATTATTTAAAATTTTAATTCCTGTCGAAAAATAAATTAGTATTTATTTATTTATAAAAGCTTATTCAAGTATGAATTTAAAAGAAAATATAAATTTTAATTTCATTTAGAAATTATAACAAAAATTAGTCTTTTGAAAAATTTTTAATTACAAATTTTTTGAATATTAGTTAAAATTCTTGTAAAAATTAGAAATATTTTTATAAATTTTCAATCTTAATTGGAAATTTTGTTAAATTTAATAAATTTTTTATTTTTAACAAATTTATTTTTTTACTTTTAAAAATTATTCTTAAATTATTCTAAAACACGAAGATATTGATTACTCCGAGTCGAAGACTCGGAGTTATCGATATCTTTATGTTTTATAATAATTAAAGATAACCGAGTGATAAAATCATTATTTTATCATTATTTTTAAATATTATCGAATTTTTTAAGAATTCTAACTAAAAGTTTACAGAATAATTAAATTTCATAAAAATGAAGAATTGAAATTATGTTTTCCTACTTTTTTAAAATTAATGAGTGCAAAGCCTACAATAATAATAAAAAGAATTTTTTTCAATTTTATTTCAATATTATTATTTATTAAATTCAAATATTATTTTCAATGAGAAAAATTTATTATCATTTTATAAGAAGTTTTTGAAGAGTAAAATTTGATTTCGAAATATTTTCGTTTACAGATAGCGAGAGAGCACGGAATTAGATTTATGGAGACATCGGCGAAAGCTAATATTAATATAGACCGAGCGTTTAGTGAATTAGCGGAGGCAATCTTGGAGAAAACTCATGGCAAAGAACCACAAGATGCCCCAGATCGAGTGACGGTCGATCGACGAGTAGAAAGAAGTTCCAATCGGTGCTGCTAATTTTACGAAAAAAAAAAAAAAAATTTTCTGTGGACGCATAATAAGCAATTTTTTGTCTATGTCCATGAGGCTGTATTCGTGGATAGCATTAGCTTTATCGTGTTACCTCGTAATGCTTTTTGTAATATCAGTGACGGAATCATATATATAGAAATGAAAAGCACTGCCTAAGAAAAAAAACAAAAAAATAAACCCTTTTTTTTGTTCTCGCGATTTTAGATATTCTCTCGGCATTTCTAATTGTAGAAGAAAATAAACAATTATTTAAAAATCATTAAATAGAAGAGAAAAAAAAACTCATCATTTTCCGATGAGAAAAAAAAAAATTTTGTACGCGATTTTATAAAATTTTCACTGATAATAATCTATTTTATACGAGTACAACAATTTTGCACACGAAGACTGTCTTTTTTTTTGTTCTTCTGACAAGTATTTCGATGAAAAAAATAATAATTCACACGCGACAATTTATCGTACAGTAGAGCTCGTAATACTTTCAGTTTGTTAGCTTATAAAATATATATAAATTTTTCTTTCTTCGCTAATAATCGTGAGGGTATATTTGACACGTGTGATGAGCACCTAAAATATTGTTATTTAAATTTTCTTTTTTCCCGAAATTTATCATTTTTACACTTATGACAACAAGGCCATACATTCTACTTAATAACGAGTTTACAATTTATTATTTATTCGAATATTTTGAGAAACAACTTATTTTCAATAATCTCATTATTGAAAATAATTTTTTTTTGAATATTTTAAGAAAAGAACAATAATAATATAATAATTTCTTATTTTTTAATTAGTAAAAAAAAGGTAAATTTAGGGAATTTCTCTTGTGTATTGTGTGTGTATGTAAAATTGCAACCGTGAAGCAATATCTTGAGAGTCGAATTATCAAAAATAGAAATAAGTGCCGTTCTTTTTATATTTTCTAATAATGGACGCAATGAGGAAGAAACCTACATCACTCATGTAAGAAATAGGGAAGTGTGTAATTATTAGATAAACAAACAAAAAAGTAATTATCCGATTTATACAACCGTATATTGCTTCCTTCTTTCTACAAATGTTGTGATTAGTTAGAAGGAATATATATATAAATTATTTACTTCGCTGCTGTTATCAATGTGTTGAAATTATCATTTTAAGAATTTAAGCTTTGATACGAATATTATATTTATATTAATTTCTAGATATGGAATTTTCAGTTAAAGTTAACAATGTAATAAAAAGGTTCATAAAAGAAATTATTCTCTTTTCTTTTAGCAATAAGTTGTAAAAGTATTTTTTTTTTGTTTTTTTTTTTTTATTATCATTTTATGAGAAGTTTTTGAAGAGTAAAATTTGATTTCGTTTAGTTTGGGAGTATTTAAATATTTTTTTAATATTCAGACGTCGGATCAACTTTTGAAGATGGAAAAAAAAGTTTTAGTCGACTCAAAGCAGAAAAAAAGAAGTCGAAAAATTCGATTCGTTTATTCCGGATTATCAGAAAAATTTTTATTTTCTTTATTTCCAAAAAAGCTTTGAATTTTTCCCTTATTCCGATTAAAACTTCAAATCCAACTTCCGAGTTTTTTCTAGAATACAATTATTTTAAAATAGTTTTTTCAATTTTTCCCAAAACACAATCATTTCAAAACAGTTTTTCAAATTTTTTTCACATTACTTTAAAAAAAATTGTAATAAAATTCACCAAAATATAAAATTCGTTTCAATAAAATTTAACGAAATTTACAATTTTTCAACATTTTTGCAATTTACATTTGGGAATTCAATTATCTTCAAAATATTTTAATTAAAATTGTTCAAAAAACTAATTTTTTTTTAATTTCAGAATTTCTTAATTCAATTTTTTAAAACTTGCACGATCTTGTTAAATAAATAGATATTTTAATACTTATTATTATATTTCCACTGAAGTTGAAATTTTCAAAAATTTCAATTCCGTTGCTTTTAAAAAATTCAATTTTAATTCTTTCAAAATTCAATTATTTTCCGGAATTTTTAACTAAAATTCTTTTCTAAAGCAATTATTTATTAATAATTCTGTGAAAGTTCTTAAAGAATTCAATTATTTACGAAAAAGAAAGTTCAATTAAAAATTAAAATTCAATTTTTCGAAATTTCGGTTTTTCGACAATTTTTCAAGTGAATAGGCAAACATTAAATTAATTGAAAAAATTGAATTTAAATTTTTCAAAAACTGAATTGTTCAGAATTTTTAAATTTCATTGTTTCTACAAATTTCTCCAATCATTCAAAATTTAATTATTTTCTAGGACATTTAAATAAAATTCTTTACAAAATCAATTATTTTTTAATAATTTCGTGAAAGTTCTTTAAGAATTCAATTATTCACGAAAAAGAAAGTTCACTTAAAAATTAAAATTCAATTTTTCGAAATTTCGGTTTTTCGACAATTTTTCAAGTGAATAGGCAAAAATTAAATTAATTGAAAAAATTGAATTTAAATTTTTCAAAAACTGAATTGTTCAAAATTTTTAAATTTCATTGTTTCTACAAATTTCTCCAATCATTCAAAATCATATTATTTTCCATAATTTTCAATTAAAATTCTTCTTTAAAGTTTTTTGAGAATTCAAGTATTTAAATGCAAAATTCATTTTTTTAAATAAAAATTCAACTAATTTATAAAAAAATGGAAATTAAATTTTTTGAAAAAAAACGGAATTGTTCAAAATTGTGAAATTTTTCTTTATGAAAATATAACTAATTAAAAAAAAATTGGAAATTAAATTTTTTTAAATCTGAATTGTTCAGAATTTTTAAATGTAACTGTTTCTAAAAATTTCTTCGGAAAATTATTAAAAATAATGAATTAAAATTCGTCTCTAAATTTATTATTTATAATAATTTTCCGAAAGGTTTTCATAAGAATTGAATTATTTAAATACAAAAATTCTATTTTTTTAAAACGAAAATTGCAACTAATAACTCTTCGTGTTTTTTTTATTTAAATTTAAATTTGCAACTTGTTTTGTTAAAATCCACTGATTTTTCTGACCTGTAGCAACAAAAAAAATGTCATCTCAAAAATAAATTTTGAGAAGTCTGTTTTTACGCTATAAAAGAGTTGCAAAAAAATGTAAAACTCTTTTAGAAGAAAAGTTTGACTATTGCTATTTTTCACACTTTGAAAATCAAAATAAGCAGAATTTTATAGCAAAAAAAGTATTTTTTTGTTGCAATTTGTGAAAGAAAATTCGGAAATAGTCGCATTTTTCAAAAATAATTCGAAAAAAATCGCATTTTTGGAAAATAGTTTAAAATAGTCCAGAAAATCTCAAGAAAAGTTGGAAATAGTCGCAAATAGTCCCAAGGCCTGAATATTATTCACTTTTGACATTCAAACATTTTATTTAAATACAAATTAAATCACGCGAAACAGGAAAGTTTCATTAGAAGCTAAGTATTCTAAAATGTAAATCATCTAACGAAAAAAATACACATGTCTTTAACAGTATTGGTTGTTTTTTTTGTAGTTTTATATAATTTTAATTATTATTATAAGGTAGTTTTTCATTATAACGTACAATGTGTAGTTTGAAACATTCATTCGTAATGAAAAATTATTTATATAATTATTTTTTTAGCAAGCGAAGTTTTTTTTTTTTCTTTATCGGAAAGATGGTTCAAATTGATAATGTTGCTTGATTTTTTTTTATTAATAACACATTTATACGCATTCTTATTGATAACATTTCACATATTAACAATAAAATGCAATCTGACAGATAGATATTTCTACATTTAAAAACAATAGACGATATTTTATAAAATTTACAATCAACTGTATTATCTCTTTGAATATATTTTATTTATTTATTTATTTTATAATAATAATAGTTGCCCGATGAAAAAAAAACCTAATTTTCCTCGAATGAAATAAACGTTTTTTTTGTAATTATTATAGAATTTTGTTTTGTTTTTTATAAAATCCAAATGTCAAAAGAATTTTTCTTTTAAATTATAATTTCTTTAGGGAATTTTTTTCATCAGACTTGTCATTATTAAGATAAGAAAAAAAATATTTTCGTATAATGTACGCGATGTTCTTTCACATTATTATTGTTCACTAGCTAGAGGTTATATTCTCATTCGTAACGGAAAAGAAAATTAAATAAACAATTAATTAATGGTTTACGGGGAAAAAAATTTGTCACGTAAATATATTATTTTGATAATAAACGATTATTTCATATTAACGACTATAGTGACAGAATTTCTCTCGTAAATCGATAATTAATTGCTGTGAACATGAAACTAATGAAATGAAGTGCAAAACAATGAAGAAAATATCAGTATTTTTAATACTACGCAACATTTTTTTTGGGGTTTCAATGAGTAACAAACATTTGGTATTTTTAATAACGTAAAATGACTATTTTTTTTTTTTTAATAAGAAACTTGTCTTTACCCGGACTAAATTGAAATTTCTATGACATTTTTTCCATTTTTCCTTAACTTAAGTATATTTTAGAAAATTATTAAAAAATTTAATTTTTTCTACTACTAAACACAATATTGAAAAAATAATTATCTCCTGAATTCTCAAAAACTATTTGTTGAAAGTGTTTCTTAAATCTTAACCAAGAAATCGAATTATTGTCTGAGTAAAACTATTACTCAATAATAAAAGAAAATCTCAATTATTGGTTTATAGACAAAATTTCTGATTACGGATAATACTTTGAAAGACTTTTTTCTTACTCGTTTTTTTCCTTTTTGCAAAACTTTGAAAGAGTTTATAAACATACGAAAATAAGTATAAGAACGAGTATAAGAAAATAAATGATACATAAATAATTACCATTAACAAATATATCCCAAGCTATCCAAATCCAATCGTTTAATGCGACACTACACTGGATAAATTTTCTTAATTTTAATTTTGAGAAAAAAAGTCATATTTCGTATAAAGGAAAAATCGTTCGTTGATTATCTGGATTATCCTTTTCTTTTTCTTTTTTTAAGAAGAGTTTTACACATAAGAAGCAAGAAATATTTTTTAAATCTTACTGAATTTTGTTTTTTGTAATTGGTATACATAGTTACAGCGATTTCTCGAATTAAATATCATTGCTGTAACTAAAATTACTCCTAGTCTCTCGAAGCTCCGATAATGGTCAAAATGTACAAGAAAATGTTGACAATGTCCAGATAGAGATTGAGTGCAGCGAAGACATATTCTTCGGGCGATATCGAGTATTTATGTTTACCTCCCATCATCATTTGTGTATCGTACACAAGATACACGGAGAACAATAGTGCTCCAATTGATGCGTACACCAGCGTTATTGTTCTTCCCTTGAAGAACATAGCAATTATTCCAAACAGAACGAAAACGATTAGAGCGGCAAAAAGAATTCCATTTAATGCCGTAAAGTCAAATCTCGTTTGGAATGCAAATATTGTCAGTGCAAAGCATACGGCGGCGGTGATACCGACAGCGAGTATAACCTGTGTGCAGAAAAAGGGATCTATTAAAACTCTAAAAATGATTAGATACTGAAAAAAATGTTCTATTACATTTATTTACGAATTCCTTTAATTGTAAAATTATTCTAAAACATCAGTAACTTCTTTTTTAAATAAATACTTAATCGTTATTATTTTTCCACGGAAATTTAGGTTTTTAAAGATTTCAAATTCAAACCTTTTTAAAATTAACAACTTATAAAAATATTATTATAAAACATGAAGATATCGATCAATTCTTCATGTTTTGTAATAATTAAAAATGACCGCGTGATAAAATTATTATTTTACATTTTATAAAAATATTGTTACTGTAACTTCTTCCAAATTATTTTCATCATTTCAATTCAATTATTATTTTCTAGAATATTAAAATAAAATTTTTCTTTAAATCAATTATTTTTAATAATTTTTGAAAAAGTTCTTTGAGAATTTTCAAATCCATTTATTTGCAATTCAATTTTACGAAATTTCATCCATTATACAGAAATTCTTCAATTGTATATTAGAAAATAAAAACTTGTAATAATTTCAATAAAACTTCAATTACATTTTTTCAAAAGAATTAATTCTACAGAATTGTTAGTTAAAAGTGTAAAAAATTCAGATTTTCAAAAATTTTAATTTGAAACCTTTTAAAAATTCAATTGTTTCTAAAAATTCACGCTACAATGCTTTAAATATTGAATTATTATTTAAAATTTTAACTGAAATTCATATCTTTAAATCAATTTTTACTAGGAAATTCTACGAGAATTCAATTATTTAAATACAAAAATAAATAATTTATTGAATAATTGAATGTTTCATAAAATTGAATTCTCATAAAGAATTTTATGAAAATTTTTTTATATAATTGAATTCTTGCGACGAATTTTAATAAAAATTTTAAGAATAATTATATTCTTCGAAAAAATCGATTAAAATTGTATCAAAAATAATTAAAATTCTGCAATGAGTTTTATTATTTATAAAAATAATTGAATTCCAAAAAAGAATTATATTATTCATGAAAACAATATTGAATCCATGTAAAATTTTAATATTTATAAAAATAATTGAATTGTTGCAAAAAAAATTTGTAATAATTGATTTTCCTCGAAATATTTGTTATTTATGAAAATAATAGAATTTTTCAAAAAATTTGATTACATTTTTGAACATAATTAAATTTCTGCAATGAATTTTATTACTTTTGAAAATAATTAAATTCTGGCAACGAATTTTAATAAATTTTGTTAAAATAATTGAATTCCTAACAAGAATTTTATTATCTATAAAAATAATTGAATTATTGCGAAGAATTTTATTAATTTTTTTTTTAAATAATTGAATTCTTTTGGGAAATTTTATTGAAACAGAAAATATTGAAAATAATTGAATTTCGAAAAACTTTTGAAATTAATTAACTTTCTACGAAGAATTTTATGAAAATTTCTTGATTTGTTATGAAAAATTTTATTAAAATTCTTGAAAATAATGAAATTGTTCCAAGAAATTTAGTTAAAAATGTATTGAAAACAATTATTAAATTTTAATAAACAAATTATATCAATTTTTGGAAATAATTGAATTCTTTCGAAAAATTTTAATAAAATTTTTCAGAATTCCCTGTAAATATTTTATTATTTATGAAAATAACAAAAAAAAAAAGAAATTTAAAAAAGAAATTTATTACAAAGAAATTTATTACTTAAAAAGAAAATTGAAATAAAGACAGAAATTTTTAAAAAATTTGGTTTGTGTATAATTGAAATTCAACGTTTAGTTTTATTATTTATAAAAATAATTGAATTCCTAAAAAGAATTTTATTATTTACGAAAATAATTAAATGTTTGCGTAGAATTTTATTAATTTTTTTAAATAATTGAATTATTTTGGAAAATTTTATTAAAATAGTAGATATTAAAAATCATTGATTTGAGGAAAATTTTTGAAAATATTTGAAATTTTGCCGAAAATTGTATTAAAATTTTTTTATATAATTGAATTTTATAGATGAATTTTATTATTTATAAAAATAATTAAAACTTTGACGAAAATTTAAAAAAAAATTTGAACCTAATTGAATTTTTGCGAAGAATTTTATTACTTTTGAAAATAATTGAATTTCTGCAATCATTTGTAGCTTCTCTAAAATTTAATATTTTTAGTGTTTTTAACTAAAATTCCTTTATAAATATATTATTTTTAATAATTAATTAATTAAATAATTATATATTAAAAAATGTAACCAATTTCATAAGAATTTGAATTATTAAAATTTTTCAAAAATCTAAGTTCTTTAAAATTTATAATTAAATTAATTAAAAATTGAAAATTTACAAAATTTCAAGTTAAAACCTTTTGAAGTTCATCTATTTATGAAAATTGTGAACGCAACTCTTTTAAAATTCAATTCATTTTGAAACATTTAAGTAAAATTATTTATCAAATAATTTCTAAGTAATAATTTTATGATTGTTCTTCAAGAATTAAGTTATTTAAATAGAAATTATTGTCAGAAATAGAAAAAATTGAAAGTTTTGTATTAGAATTCGTGGTAATTTCATAGTTTATGAGTCAAACAAAAAAGTAACAAAAATTCACAATTTTCTTATGTATTTTAAAAATTAAACGTTTTTTAGTACTTTTAATAAAAATCGATGATTTTTCCCTATTTTCCCTGACCGCGTCACATATTAAAAGTTAAAAGTTATTAAAAATTAAAAATTAAAGAATTGAAAAACATAAGTACCGCTTCTGGTTCATATCTAGAAGAAATAGCTCCCAGTAAAAATGATTCAGCGCCGGTGAAAATGCCGAGAAATATGAAATTCATTGGCGCCTTGCGACGAACACTGGAACAGCATGCCATGCATATTAGGAGAACAAGTGTGACACCAAGTGCGACCCAAACCGTCGCTGGATTAGCAAGGAACCATCTTTTAGTGGGCATATGATAAGTAAATAATGCGATTATTCCCACTGAGAGAAGAAGCTGACTCATCAATATTGAATATACTTTTCTGCAATGAAAAATTATCGACATTAGCAAATAATAATCAAAAAGTTAGTGAAAAACATTAAATATTCGTAGACTAGCTTACCTTATGAAACCTCTTCGAATGGATTCATCATTAAATTCGAATCCCTTGATTTCATCGTGCATCGGATCCTCGGCATAATTTGACCCGTACATTCCTGGTCCTTGTGGTGGTGGCTGACCGTATGCTGGACCTCCTGGTGGAATAAATCCTGGATCTAAACAAAAAATTATTTTCTATTATTGACAGAATTCGTTTGGACTGAATTTTTTAAGTGAAAAATAGTAAAAACAGGCTTCGTACTCGATAATTAATTTTTAAAATTTTTTTTAAAATTTTTGATAATATTTAAATTCATTCAAGAAATGTAATTAAAAATTAACTGAAAATAATTATTACACTCTAAGAAATAAATTATATCAAATTTTTTTTAAATAATTTAATTTTTTCAAAGAATTTTATTAAAATTTTTAAGAATAATTGCTTTTTTAGCGGAATTAATTTTAAATTACATTAAAAATAATTGAAATCTTGCGAAGAATTTGCTAAAAATCTATTTAAATAATTGATTTTTTTCAAAAAATATTAGGAAATTCTGTTTTAAATAATTGAATTCTTGAAAACATTTTTTTATTTATAAAAATATTTGAATGTTTGCAAAGAATTTTTTAAACATTTTTTTTAAACTATTTAATTCTTTTGCGAAATTTTTTATTAAAATAATAAATATTAAAAATCATTGAATTAAGAAAAATTTGTGAAAATAATTGAATCGTTTTAAAGAATTTTATTAAAATTTTTGAAAATAATTTTTATCTTTCAACTGTTAACAAATTAAAATTTTTTTAAATTCTTAAACATGGAAAAAAGTATCCAAATAGTAGCAAATCGTAAAAAAAAGTAGTAAATAGTAGGTTTTAGTAAATTAGTGCGAGGCCTGTAAAAAATAAAATTTCTAAAACAATCTCGCAAATAGTCAATTTAAAATAAAAATTAATTCAGTCAAGTTTTGTTATTTTTTATCGAGCAGATGAAGAGAAAAAAGGCAAAAACTATCAGATTTTGAATCCAGTTCAAGTTAATTGAATTTTACTGTTATTATAGCACTTTGTAGATAAAACTAAATACTTAAATACTATTTAAACACTTTTTTATCAATCCTTGAAAAAAATACCGAAAAAAATCAATAAAATAAGAAACTTTACCAAAAACACTAGAATTAGTGACCTTTCGTCAAAATAGTAAGTAAATAGTTTCATCAGCTGGAAAATTTGTTAAAAAAGTAACAACTGCGTAAATAAAGGTCTCCAAGGCCAGTAAAGGCTGGTGACTAATATAATAATTTATTATTCATTAATATCATCGATTATTATACCTGGCGGAGCTCCTCCTGGAAAAGCGCCCGGATATCCTGGATTTGGCGGATAACCTGGATTTGGTGGATAACCCGGATTTGGCGGATAACCTGGATTTGGAGGATAGCCCGGATTCTGCGGATAACCCGGATAACCTGGATTCGGATATTGATCTGCGAAGTAATAATTAAAAATAAATTTTAAGTGTCAAAATTAATTTTCATTTAACCTCACATTTCTCTGTGACAAGCAAAATCATTCACATTAAGATATAATCCACGATAGGAAGGTGTAGATGAATATTTTTCACACCTGCGTGAAAGCTATCGCAGTAAATATAGAAGCATTAATAATTACAAATACTTCTAAAATACATATATTTAAATATGTAAATTGTAAATTTTTACATTCTCATATTTAATGGTAGCGCAAAAATATATCGAATTGATCGACGAAAAGTGACGTGACAGTGACAGTGTTATATTTATCGTGTATATAAATTAATATTTTGCCAGCAATAAAATAAATGTGTAAATCAAGATAAAATATCGAGACCTTCTTGTCTTGGATATCCACCACCTGGATTGTTCTGCCAAGTTGTCATCTTTGGTTTGCTGAAAAAGAACCTAACGTTACAACCACGTTTTACCTTCTTACACCTTCTTATTCTTATTACTTTCTTTTTGTGTGAGTGTGAAACAAAAAAAAACAAGAAACAAAAATAAATCACAAGAATTTATACGCGCGTAATTTGAAATGTTAATTCTTTAACTCGAAAAAAAATATTTAGTACTAGTTATAGAATAAAAATAAATTTTCCAATAGAAATTACCAAATTTCTAATCAGTGAGCTATTAAAAAAAATGTATTTTTAACGATGATAATATCGAAATAATATTTCTCAACCTACAATCTTTATCTCTGATGATTAATAAAATAAATAAAATAAATAGCAGGTATTTTTTCAAAATTTTCCCAGAAAAATTATTTTTAAAACAGGGTTGACACAAATATTCAATTTTATTTTTCCCTGATTTCCAGACAAATAAAAATTTCTCGAACCATTTGTAACTTTTCCAAAATTCAATTTTTAGTAATTTTCACTAAAATTCTTCTATCAATCTAGTATTTATGAAAATTGTAAAAATTATTCATTAAATAATTTATAAGTCATAATTTTATGATAGATCTTGAAAAATTAAATTATTTAAAAAGAAATTATTGTTAGAAATAGAAAAAATGGAAGGTTTTGTAGTAAAATTCGTGGTAATTTCATAGTTTACGAGGCAAACAAAAAAAAACATCAAAATTCAGAGTTTTCTCATGAATTTTAAAAATTCAATTTTTTCCAGTACTTTTACTAAAAATCCCTGACTTTTCCCTGATTTCCCTGACCTGTGGCAACCCTGTAAAAACACCTTGGTTTTTCAACTACTCAAGTGAAACTGAAAAGCAAAAAATTGTAAATAAATATTTTTGTTACATTAATCGATATTTTAATTTAATTAAAGGCGAAAAATAAACACTGTGAACGTTGATGTCAAGAGAAAACATTATTGCGTTATATCGTGTAATAACGTTATTTCTTTAACGAAAAAAATTATTACCGGTAATCACGTATTTCTCCGAAAAAAAGCAAAAAAGAAACAATACAATACAAAAGAAACACATACTTCAATAATTACAATGTTGCTAACAAGAGAAATCAATATTAAATTTTCTTTTGGAAATTCGCCAAGGCGTGGCTTTGTTCATGAACTATTAACTGAATATAAAACGTAGAAAATATAATTAAATTCAATGATGCGAAAATAAAAACGAATGTATATTTATCTCTCATGAATAAAAATAACACTGTCTCAAAAGTTAATAAATTTGACAAAAAAATAAAAAAAATTCCCCTTATCTATTCAAGATTCAGATATAACACAATGCATAATCTCACCGGGTTTTTAAATCTTCCTCAATACAGTTTTAATTACAATAATTTTATTATTAAAGATTTATTCGTTTAAAAAAGAAAAGAAGAAAAATCAAGTGTCACGTTCATTAGAGATGTATTTACGAATTGTAATTCTATTGAAATTATAATTTTTTGTTATTCAACACTAGACATTAAATGATAAGACAGTTATCTAGTTTATTTCAAAAGTCTCCATGAATCATTAAATTCTCTATCTCTCTATCTCTCTCTCTCTCTCTCTCTCTCTCTTAAAATGATAAAATGGATAAAATTAAAAAATTAACTGTTTAATAAATTTGGCCTACAATTTTACTTATCAATTGCGATGCGTCATTCGTACATTCTGGAAATAGGTATAATCGATCGCACTACAGTTATTATTTACCTTTGAAAACTGAATGAATTGCTTCACAAAATCCTTCACTAAATTTAAATGCAATATCTTCAAATCTCTGGATGAATTCTCTCGGAAAACTTACTATACACGCTATACACAAATCGAAGTTTCAAGATTGTTTATAAATTATTATTTATAAAAAGTATTTTAACACAGTAGTACACGTAACTCAGAAAGGATCGAAACCAATCGAAACTGAACACCTGATTTTAGTCATAGAAGATAATAAAAACGAAGATAAGAAACTTTGATTCATCACGAATATCATGGAGACTGGCACTGGAGAGATATGAACGGTGCTTAATATTCAAACTCTTTTGATTGGCTGAAATGTTCTTGTCAAATTTCCACACAACCACCGACCCAACTCTGCTTCATCACATAAATATAACGTTGCCCACGCGACGTACAGTTTATTAATCAGGATCAGACGACTTTGATCGGACTACCGGAACTCTGATTTATTTAATTGAATTTAAATTTTTAAAATAAGTTAGCATTATTGAAAGTTCAACTAAAAATGGCCAGTAATTATAAAGAAATAACACATTGTATTTTTGACATGGATGGACTCCTCCTTGGTGAGTTTTTTTCAAACTCTTGGTCTTTTAAATTTTTGTTACTTCGATTCAATTTCAAGGACACGATAATTACAATAGTTGCTTATTTAAACAAGATTTTTTTCATCTATTAATACATTTTTTTTTAAAATAAATTTTATAAGTATTTAAATATGTGAAAATACATTTCCTTGTCAGATGATGAAATTTTGCAAATTTCGGATGATGACATTTGTTATAACTATTAGAATTTTTTTTATTTTTAATTATTATTTACGTCAAAGAAAATTAGTCTATTTAATTTTTACAATTTCATTAGATTATCAATTATATCGCCAATTGTTTTTGTTCAGAAATTTCTATTAATAATATTGTTGTTAATTTTTACACATTAGAAAAATATAGGATTTATAATTACAATTTTTTAACACAATTATCTGTGAAAATAAAGTAATCAATATCAAGGTGAATAATGTTTATAGAAATTGTGTAACTTCTATTTAAGTGTTAAAGCATAAAAAAAATTATTATCACATAAATTTATCTTCCTCATGTTTTTCACTATTAGGTAAGCGAGTGAGTTATAAAATCTTGCCGAGAGGGTCAATTTATAAATAAAACGTATTTTATTATTATTTTCATTAATTTGTATTACATATTTTATTTCAGTACTTTGATATTTTTTTATTTTAGTATTTAATTTCTCTATTTTTTTTATATCAGTATTTTTATATTTTTTATTTCAGTATTTTTATGTTTCTTTTCAATTTTTTAGTATTTATTTTTAGTTTATTATTTTCCATGAAAAAAATAGGAATAATTTTTAAAAAATTAACTCTGTGAGAATGATAAAATAATGAAACTCTTGACTGAAAATACGCAGACACTGAAAGGCTATATACTCAAGCATTTAATCGTATCACTAATGCTTATGGAAAACAATTCACATGGGAACATAAGGCTCAAACTATGGGTTTCAAAACAAGAGAAGTGACAAATTGGACAATTGAACATTTGGAATTGCCATTAACAACAAATGAATTTGAAAAACAACTTTTAACATTATACGAAGAATTATTTCCTCAAGCACAATTTTTGCCAGGTGTGATAATAACATTGAATTCACAATTAATAACGTTAAGTCTTTTTTTTTTTGTTTGCACTGTGCAGATTCAGAAAGTGTATACAAGCAAATATATCAAGCAATAGTATCTAAACATGGATATACCTATGGAGGTGATTTGGCCTATCAAGTTCTCGGAAGACCGGAAGTTGTAGGGGCAGAACTTATAATAAATCATTACAAGTTACCCATAACTATTATTGAATTTCAAGATATTTATCATCGATTACAGCGAGAACTTTTCGTAGATGTTAATATGATGCCAGGTTTAAACAAAAAAAAATATTATGTCGTTAAATTTTGTTTTGCTTTTTAGTTTTTCGTTTAGAGTCATTATTTATTAATTTCTCATTTCATTTACAATTTTATTATATTCAAAGAAAATTATAAATTATTATATTAAAAGAAAATTTTCTAAACTAAAAAAGTAACTGGGTTGCCACAGGTCAGGGAAAAGTCAGGGATTTTTATTAAAAGTACTGGAAAAAATTTAATTTTTAGAATTCATAAGCAAACTCTGAATTTTTGTGTATTTTTTATTTGTCTCATAAACTAAGAAATTACCACGAATTCTAATTCAAAACCTTTACTTTTTTCTATTTCGGACAATAATGTTTTTTTTAAATAACTTAATTTTTCAAGAACTATCATAAAATTATTACTTAAAAATTTCTTAATGAACAATTTTACTTAAATATTTCAAAATTAATTGAATTTTAAAAGAGTTGCGTTTACAATTTTTATAAATAGATGAACTTCAAAAGGTTTTAATTCGAAATTTTAGAAAATTTCAATTTTCAATTAATTTCAATAGAAATTTCAAAGAACTTAAATTTTTGAAAAATTTTAATAATTCAAATTCTTATTCGAAATTCAATAATTCTTAAAAGAAATAAAATTCTTCGCAGAAATTTAATTATGTTCAAAATTTTTTTTTAATTTTCATTCAAATTTCAATTACCTTTAAAAATAATAAAATTCTTCTCTGAAATTCAGGTATTTCTAAAAATTTTAATAAATTTCTTGTCAAAATTTCAATTACTTTCATAAATAACAAATATTTCACAAGAATTCAATTATTTATAAATTTTTTATAAATTTCTTCGTAATAATTCAATTATTTTTATAAATAATAAAACTCTTCTCAGGAATTCAATTATTTTCATAAATAATAAAATTCATCGTAGGATTTTAATTATTTTTAATACAATTTTAAATAAATTTCTCGAAAAATGCAATTATTCTGAAAAATTTTATTAAAATTCTTAGAAAGAAATCAATTATTTTTAAAAATTAATATAATTTGTTTATTAAAATTTAATAATTATTTTCAAACAAATTTTTAATTTAATTCCATATTAAAAGAATTTAATTATTTTCAAAAATTTTGATATAATTCTTTATAAGAATTCAATTTTTTTAAAATCAATTTTAACTAAATTCCTAGAAAGAATTTTATATGCTTCGAAACAATTGAAATGTTTTCAATAATAAAAATAAAATTCAATTATTTAAACAAATGTTAATAAAATTCTTCACAAAAATTCAATTATTTTCATAACTAACAAATATTTTACAGGAATTTAATTATTTACAAATTTTTTATAAATTTTTTCGCAATAATTCAATTATTTTCGTAAATAATAAATTTTTTACAGGGATTCATTTATTTTCATAAATAATTAAATTCTTTTTAGAAATTCAATTATTCTTATAAATTATGAAACTCATCGCAGAATTTTAATTATTTTTAATACAATTTAAATCAAATTCCTCGAAAAATGCAATTATTTAAAAAAAATTTTATAAGAATTAAAAATCGTCAAATTAATTGAATTACTTAAAAATTTGTTGTTAAAATTCTTTATGAGAATTCAATATTTGTAAAAATAATTCAATTCTTGTGAAGGATTTTTTTAGAATTTTTGTAATTAATTTAATTATTTTTTAAATTTAATAGAAATGTAAATTATTATTATTATTATTATTATTATTATTATTATTATTATTATTATTATTATTATTATTATTATTATATCATTATTATCACTCCGAGTTGAAGACTCGGAGTAATCAATATCTTCATGTTTTGTAATAATATTTTTATATGTTCGTTAATTTCAAAATAATGGTTTGAATTTGAATCTTTTGAAGAATTTTAATTCCTATGGAAAAATAAGAATAACTGAATATTTATTTAAAAAAGAAGTTATTAATGTTTTTGAACAATTTTACAATTAATGAAATTTGTAAATAAATATAATAGAACATTTTTTTCAGTATCTAATAATGTTTATGACTTTATGAGTGAATCAGGATAATCTTTAAAGTCAGGGAAAAATTAAAATTTTGACTCGAAATCAGGGAAAAGTCAGGGGAAAAAAATTAAATTTTTGTGGCAACCCTGAGTGACTGAAAAAGTAATTTTTTTGAAAATAAAACATCCTCTTTTTAATTTGTGAAAAAATTTTCTTTTTTCCCTATTTTTTCTCCAATGCATAAAATGAATTTGCCATCAATTTTTATTTTCAAGCAAGTATTTTGTTTATTTTCCAAAACTTTTCTTTAAAAAAAAAAAAATTTTTTTTATTGAGACTTCCGGAGAACAAAAAAATCATACTATCATCTCTGTTGGTATCATAATTCAAAAGAAATGAAAAAAAATTATTTTTGTATAAATGAAGAGAGCACAGTCAATGCACATTAAAAATGATCACATTTGCATTTTTGTTGTATTTATATATTATTGTATATTGCTGTTTGTCATGCACTTAACAATCTGTAAGTCAGACTGATTTTCAGAAAAATTAACACTGACAGGATTATTTTTATTCTAACTAAGCAATTTGAGAGAAAAACAACTTAATAGTTTATCAGATTGTAATTCTCCTGAGTGCTTAAGATAAGAAATAACATAGAAATTTTAAAAAAATGTTCCGACAATCAAGATATTGACAATTATTTATATTTTTTCTTCAAGTGAAAAAAACGAAACTCAGTCTGATTTCAAAAATTTCTTCTACACTTTTTTCTTTTCATATTATGTACTTCTCATGTAGAATGTCCGAAGTAAAATAAATAAATTTATTTGTTATCTAAATAATTTTGTATTACAAATATTTTATAACAGGTGCAGTGAGACTTTTGCAGCATTTAAAAGAAAATAATATTCCAATTGCACTGGCAACAAGTTCAAGCAAGGACAGTTTTGAACTAAAAACAAAAAAATTAATGGACGTTTTCAATCTGTTTCATCATAGAGTTCTAGGTGGTTCTGATCCTGATGTAAAAAAGGGAAAACCTAATCCCGATATATTTTTGGTTGCGGCTGATCGATTTCCCGATAAGCCAGATCCTTCAAAGGTAAAAAAATTTGTCTAAACATTTATTTCACCCTTTTCTATTACTTAATTTTACTAATTATTAATTACTAATTACTAATGACTATTTACTAAATTACTGAATAAAAAATTGCTAAATAGAAAAATTACTAAATAAAAAATTGCTTAATAGAAAAATGACTAAATTTAAAAAATATCAAAGGCTTGATTACATTGCCCTTTAATTATTTATTTTGATTTGTTTCTTTCTTTTTTCAAGTGTCTTGTCTTTGAAGACGCTCCTAATGGAGTTGAAGCAGGAATTTCTGCAGGAATGCAAGTTGTTATGGTGCCAGATCCAAATTTACCAAAGAAATTCACCGAAAAAGCAACATTGGTAATAAACTGTCTCGATGAATTCAAACCTGAAGAATTTGGTCTACCAGCTTTTAAAAATTAGAGCAAATTTTTTCTTAAAAACTATTAAAAAGAAAATAATTAGACAAAATTGTAATACATTGTCACTTAAATTTTAAAAATTACCAAAAAAATAATTATGTTTATTTTGTAATAAATTATTTAAATTATTTTTCAATACTGGATATATAGTTGAAAAGAAAAATATGTAAATAAAGATAATTTATCTCAAATTATTTAAAATTTTCTTTTCTTTTTTAAGAACATTTTTTAAAGTCCTACATTTTACAATAGATCCAATAGACTAGTTTTCTATTTGGTTAGAAAAATTCTACCAAGTTTATGTTTTTAAAACAATTTAATAATTTCGCTTTAACTTACATACTTTTTGTACAGGCATTCAACAAACTAAATAAATTATATACTTTATATAGTTGACAGATGATCTATCATCACTGAGAATTAGAGAGTTCCTTAACTTTGCCGAGAATATCGTCAGATTTTAAATTTGCTAATGGTACACATGTCTCTTTTCCAAATTCTGTAAATAAAAGAATATTTTACTTACAATTAGGCAAATTCACAAAAAGTTATTACTTTACTATGTTCTATTGTCGAAAAAAACTAAACTGCTCAAGATTGTTTATAAAAACTTGAACAATAAAGTAAAACAGTTAACTAACAATTATAGAAAAAAAGATATTTCGATTTGTTTACTCACCAAAACGAGCATATAATCTTGGTTCAATTGATGAACATTCTCTAATTAAAATTGGAAAATAAGGATTGGTGTTTTTTAGAGACACATATTGTTGTTCAATAAATTCCCTAAAAGTGGTATAAAAAACAAAAATTAGATAAAGTAACAAATTTCTAGTTTAAAACTTGAATTCAAGAAAAAATTAAAATACTGTTTGTTATTTAAAACTAAGGGTTATGTCAAATATTTCTCACCTAGCACCTTGACTTGACTTTGACGTTTGACAAAGTAAAATTCTTAATTCTTTTAAATGCGGACCAAATTTCACTGCAGCCATTTTATCAATTTACCAATTTCTATCAATGGAAATTAATCCAAGTAGTCTTGATTTTTTTCTTTTTTTAATGTAAATCTATAAAGATTTGACTTCTGCTTGCTTCTGCTTTTTCTGTCGTCTGCTATTATTCCTATGGGTATTGAAGAGAGATAGAATTGGACAAGTATGTCCTCTCTCTTCTTCAGGGTTGGGAAGGTATGAAATTCAACAATAACCGGTTATTTAAAGACTTTGTTTACAATTTACAACAACTGACAAGCTGGATTTTGCGTTAATTTTGCTAATTTTTTTATATAATTACTTTATAATAGTGGTGAAATAAAATTAATAAAATTAAATATACACCCCAATCTTTATTGTGGTGGTACAACTGTTTTCTCGCACCTTGCGGGAAAACAATCGCGAGTTTGAAAACATGATTTTTTCATTTAAAGGTTATGGAGAGAAAAGAAATACAAACTTCACTTTTTTCCCAAAATTCTGATTGTATAAAGTTAAATTATCTTTCTATAATGTTCTCTAGAGCTAAATTTAAACAAATCAGAAATAATCTCTGATATTTTCTAGAGATTCCTCTTTAGAAAAAATGGAACAAAGTAAATTTGGAAAAGTTTCAAAAACTGCTAATATGGAAAGGAAGTTTTGTGTGAAATAATTTTTTTTTAATTATGACCTTGCCTCCACTATTCAATGAGAGCTTTCCCTCTTTTATTAAAGAGCAAATAGATAATTGCACCAGTGCTTTTTGGTATCATCCGGAATTTTCTCAAAGTCGTTATCCACCAGGACAAAAAAGTACTTTTATTTAATTGTAACGTACATAATTGTCATTTTCTTTCTGAATCACTATTTTTTTAAAGGATTAATTAACGTATTAAATATAAAATAATTTATAATAAATTGTAATTAGTAGTAAATTTTAATTTTTTTTGCAGAAAGTGAAGCTTGTACATTAATTTGTTTACTTCTGGCTCAACGAATAAGTGAAAGAAAATTAAAAATCTGTAGAGTCGAGAAATGTTCAGAATTAAATATTTTAATAGCAGAGGCAATAATTGAGGGAAATAAAATACATGCACGGATTTTAGACAAGCGAATAATTTCCCATCCATATTTAAATACCGTCGAGGCTCTCATATACGGAGGCAAAAGTTTAAATAAATTAAAAGAATGGGTATAATTTTTATTTTCAGTTAATTGAAACAAATTTAATTCTTTTTAATTCGATATTTGATTCAATTTTAATCATAATTTAATTTAATGTTAATGTCTGTTAATGGAATAATAATTTTAATTTAATTTAATGTTAATTTAATAATAATTTTAATTTAATTTAATTTAATAAGTTTTAATTAGATTCAAAAATTCTAATTCTTTTTTTTCTGATTCACAGAAATTCCGCGTGGTTCACGAGAAAATTGAGAAAGGATTGAGCAAAAATATAAAAAATTTTCTTGACGTTTGGTATAAGAATCCGAGATCAGAAAATTTATTTATGCTTCTCATCACTTGTGGCCGAACAATAATTTTTATTTTTCAAAATAAAATCAATAAGGTATTAAATAAATTAAAATAATTCTAAATATCTTCTAATTTGTTTTTTTTTACCTATTGTTTAGGTATTATTGTTCGATTCACACGCCCACAATACTATTAAGAATTGTAAATTTGGATTAATCATTGCGGAGGTAAAAAGAAAAATATTTTAAGCAATATTATATGACAATTTCCATAGCTTCTAATGACTATTGAAAAATTAATTATTTTAGACGACGATAGATAATTTAGAAGCACTATGTCACTGGTATATTCAATCAATTTTGCATGGATGCTATTATGCTTTCTCGAATCAATACGAATTGGCATTTTTATACGAGCGGGAAAATGGAAAACGATGCCTCAGAGCTTGTAGTTGTAACAATGGAATTCATAAAATATAGAAAGTGAAACTAAAAGAAAAATAAAGAAGAAAAAGAAGAAGAAAAAAAAGGGAAAAGAAAGAAAAAAAGAAAAATAAAGAAGAAAATTAAAAAGAAAAAAAGAAAAGGGAAAAGAAAGAAAAAAAGAAAAAACAAGATAAAAGAAACAAAAAAAAGAGAGAAAAAAGAAAGAAAGAAAGAAAAGAAAAAATAGAAAGGAAAAAGAAAAGAAAAATTAAATACACTGGAAAATAAACGTTTCATTAGAAAAATAGACAAACTTTTTCTATTTTCTAAATTGATTTATTTCAATCAACTAATTATAACTTATCCCTGGTTAATATAACGACGAATTTATTTACATTATTTACAAAACTTTACCATGCCCTTTTTTTTAAACTCTGCAAATTTCTAGCAATGCCAAAGTGGGAATTAAAATATAAATTTCCCCTTTAATTTTTTTTTTTTTATAATATTGCAATAAGTTACATTTTCAGATAAATATCAATATTTTCAAAAATTGATTTTGTTCCAGAAAAAAAAGAAGACGCAAGGCATTTATATTCTTCACAACTATTTCGAATTTTATCGTAAATATTTATAAAAGAGCAAGTAAAATGAAACTTGAATGGAACATCAATTAATATGAAACACATTAATGAAACAAAAATCGAATATGAAACATTAAATGAAACATTAATGAAACATATTAATAAAAACACATTAATTAATTCGAAAATACAAATTAATTTCCGTAATCGCAATTTTCTTTTTTTTTCAATTGCCATTACTGTATTAAAACTGATCTAATACATCTATTAGAAAATTACGTGAATACGATGGAAATCTTGTTCTTTTTTCTGTTTGCAATTTTTTTTTAAATGAAGATTCATATTATGTAGAAATTAACATGTTTCTTCAATTTTCAAGTGCGTGATGAAATTATTAATCTAGAAATAAGGTTTTCAGTAAAATATTTTAACGGAATGATCCTGAAAATTTTTTTTTTGATTCATTTCAATTTCTCCATTGAATTGAAAAACTTTTCCACATTTTTTTTTTTTGTTTTTTAGGAGAATTGTCATCAATGCCATTTTTAAATTTTGTAATTACATTCGTATTGTATATCTAATACTCAGAAATATACCTATTTCATTATTAAAACACACGCTTTAATCTGTAATCACAGTTATCTCGGTTACGAAGAAAATACTACTTTTTTTGTCTTTCGACGAATAAATATCACATTTGAAAAAATGCAAATTACCTCTGCAATTATCTCACATATTATTTAAAAACATATTATCTTTATAAAAAAATAAAACTATAATTGGAAATTCATTTTATTTTTTTGGGAGAGGGTTGCGAGGAGATTATCTTAAATGTATGAAAAATGGTCAAATCCCTAAATCTATGCATTTTGCTTTTTTTTTTCTAAAGAGCTTGAAAAATGTTATACATTTTTTAAAAGGAAAAATTCGTTATCAATAAAAACTTTGACATTGATATTTATTTTTTTTTTAGTGATCCCTAAAGACAAAAATTTGCAAGAATATTTTCTTTTTATCAAAAATTAATTTTCTTTCGAACACAAAAAAGAATTCGCCTTTAACTTCTAAATTGTATTTTTTTTTGTTTCCTTTTTTACATTTCCTAACAATTTATACAATTATGTATATTTTTTATATAAAATGTTTTCTTTTAAATATAATATATTATGGGAAAAAGCAAAATCTTTTTCCTCAAGAACATTTTATCGAAACTTTGAATTCAGATTTATGAATTTTTCAACTTTTACGATTTTCATATCTAAATAGTAAAATTAATTTTTCTATTTTCTCTTTTGGTTTATGTATTATCGTACATAAATATTAACTTCAATAAATCTACTGAAAGAGAAGACGGAAATCTGAAGAAAAAAATCCGATTTCTATTAGCAATCATTGTCAATCTAAATAAACTTTTTGTTTTTATTTACCAAAAAAAAAAGCTGTGTTGAAATATTGTTAAGCAACACTTTGTACAGCTTTGATAATTGAGCAATAATTTAGAATTCTCAATTCTTTTCTTTCATACAATCGGAAAATATTGTTTTGTACACAGGAATATATATCTTTTTGGTAATTCAATTATTATACATTATTAAAAAATAAAGCATCTGAATAGTAGTCAAGTACTTGTCAATTTTTATACATTTATTAATTGTATATCTATATTATATTCAGGCTAGTTTACAATTTTATTAAATTTGTTTTTTTTTAGTTTTTTCCCCCCTTTTCTTTAAATTCTCTAAATATATTGAAAATAAAGTAAAATAAATTTTTTGTAAATAATAAGAAATTAATTTTTTATTTTTTATTACTATGAAAGAAAGTAGAAAAATATATATGTTATTTTCTGTGTACAAAGCAATATTGAATATAATGTTAATAAATGAGAGAGAAACAATTACCAAGGGATTATAGATTGCGTGGTGTAATAACGAAATAAATAACTTTTAAACAGGATACGAATGACCTAATGAAAAATGTTAAAGAGCTTGACGAACGCGCGGTTGCGCCCATTCAACAAAATCGTCTATTAAAACAGGCCAAGCACCTTCCTCATCGTAATTGGTCATATTAGCATTAATCATAAGAGCAAAATCTAATAACAAATTCCAAGTGTCTTTTGGAATTGACCTCTTATGATGTTCCTGAAAAGTTTTTCGAAATTTTGCACAAAATTACAATAAAGAGAGGAAAATATTTCTATTTAAAAGTAAAAAAAAAAGACAAGCGTTTTATAATCAACGATTTAGAAGAAAAAAATGTTCTATTAAAATGTTTTGATGAATAATTTGGAAAAGAAAAATTTTTGTTTTTGTTTAAATATATTAAATCAGTATTCTTGCTTATGTCGAGAAAACTATATTTTTTTCTTTCAATCGTTAAACTTCACCGAAGTAAAAAAAAGAAAAAGAAAGTTTTGAAGAGTTTTGAACTCTTTTTAAATTTGGTTTTTAATTTAAATTAAAATTTAAGTAATTTAATTTAATAATTTAATGAAGTAATTTAATGAATTATTTGCCCTAAATAACTTTTTCTTACGTTAACTATAAAAAAGTAAGGATAAAAATTTACCTGCAAAAACTGGCACCATAGGGACAGGAATTTAAATTTATCGTCCAACACTATATTCCAATATGCGATAGCCATATCTAAATCTAAACCCTTTTGTCCTGGATTTTTGGCGTAATTGAAGGTAAAATGATAAAAGTCTTTAAATTTCAAAGGATCACGAATTTCATTTTCTAAACTACTTAAACGAGCCTTAAGTTTATCTACGCTGTCAACACTGTAAAAGAAAAAATATTTTTTAAGTTTCCCAATTATTTCGCACTCGTTAATTAATTTAAAAAGAAAGTATCAAAAAGTATCGAAAAGTAGCAAAAAGTTGCAGAAAGTAGTGAAAAAAGTAGTAAATTCAGGTAATAATTTTAATTATAAATTTTTCTAAAATTTAAGCATTTTCCAAATTTTTAGTTAGAATTCTTAAAAAAACGATTGTATTTAAAAATAATTTTTAAAAGTAGAAAAAATGAAATTCTTTAAAATACAAAATTTATTTCAATTAAATTTGACAAAATTTCGAATTCTTTACATTTTTTTTTAATTATTCTTGGAAATTCAACTATTTTCAAAAATATTTTTTAATGACTTCTCTAAATCAATTAACAATTGTTTTCAATAATTTTTAGGTAATTCCTCTAAAATTTGGTTATTTAATTATTTTTAATAATTTGCAAGAAATTCTTCTAGAATTTAATGGTTTAAATACAAAAATTAAATTTTTTATCAAAATTGCAACTGTAACTTTTTTGTTTTCTTTACTTTCTTTATAATTTAATAATTTAATGATTTTAATACATATGCTTTAATAATAAAAAATAAAATTAAAAATGAACAATATAATAAAAATATATCGAAATAATTTTTCAAAGATAATAGATTTTTCCCTTATTTATTTAAAAAATTTCCACATTATTAAAATTTAGTACAATTTCTTTTTGGAAATAAATGAATTTATTGAAAGAATTTTTCCAAAAAAAATTAAAAAATGAAGTTTTTAAAAAATTCGAATTAGAACAAATAGGAAAATACCTACATGATTTCTACAAATTTTATATGATACTTTTTTTATAAAAGCAAATTTATTTATAAATTTTAATTCACTTATTTTGAAGATAAATTAAGTTTCAAAAAATTATGATAAAAAATTCTACTAAATTAATTTTCGAATGACATAGTTTTACATTTTAAAAAAAATTAAATTCCTTAAAGAATTTTTGAACAATTTGAAAAATTCATGAATTTTTTTGTAGAATTTTAATAAAAGTTTTTGAAAACAATTGTTTTTTTTAAATTAATCTAAAAAATTAGATTTTCTAAAATATTTTAAAGTAGGTTTATAATTTTTTTAATTTAAATATTATATATTTAAAAATTCAACCAATATAAAAAAATCTGAACTAAAATTGTTAAAAAAACCAAGTTTATTACCATTTTTAAATTAATTAAAGTTACTCAAAATTCAAATTTTCAAAGATTTGAATTTAAAAACCTTTTGAATTTTAATTATTTCTAAAATTTTCTACTATAACGCTTCTAATATTCAATTACATTTTAAAATTTTAACTGAAATTCTTTTTTAAATCAATTTTTGTGATTTAAATATAAACATGATTAATTGACAAAATAATCACATCAGTATATTTATTATTCTATTAAAATGAGAGGAGAAATTATTTTTCAAAAAAGCTGCTAAAAAATGTTTGATAAAGCAAATTAACTTGTAAATTAATTAATTTATTGTAATTTTAATCAATTGTAGTTTTATCTTAACAGTGGAAATTTTAATAGTTTCAAATTTGCATCGAGAGAAATTTAAATCGACTAAGATTAGATTAGATTAATTTGGATTCGTAAAGTTTAATCTGGTAATAAAATATTTATACATATTAATGAAAAAAATTTGAAGTGGTACTTCCTGAATTTATGATTATTTTGAAGAAAATAAATATTCTTTATTTCAACTAAATTAGCGGATTAAAAATAGTGCAAATTAACAGAAAAATAGAGGGAAAAAGTAGCTTTCAGTGGCGAAAAACTAAAAAAAAAATGTATCCAAATAATAGCAAATCGTGAAAAAAGTACTAAATAGTAGATTTTAGCAGACTATAAAAGTAAGAAAAAAATTTTAGCTCATAATAGTAAAAAAAAAATTGAAATCTTACCCCAAATCCATCATTCCATTCATAAATTCATCACGTGTAAATTCACATTGCGTTTCTGCCCGAAATTTCCATGCAATAATCAAAACTAATTTACTCTCCGGACTTAATCCCAAATCATCGAGAAATTTCATTATTCCATCTGCTGTTATTTTGTCAGATTCTGAAGAATCTAGAAAAATATTTGTTTACATTACAAAGTATATAAAAATACAGAATAAAGAATTATTAAATTGAAAAATTATTTCTAATATAGAGTAAAAATTTCATCTCACATTACCTTGATATCTACTAAATAATATTTCGAGTTTTTTCTTGTCAACAGAATTTTTAGGCTCTTTATAGTATGCCTCAGGATTCTGAAAGTAATTGTCGCTGGCTAAATCTAATTTCCAGTCATTTTGCGTTAAGCAATAAATTGCCGTTTGCTCTCCGGTTTGTGTAAAGGTTATAAACTTTTTCACTTTATCCCGCTGAGAAAATTTTAGTTTATGCTGTAAAAAAATGTTACAATTGGAACGAAATTTAGTTTTATGAAAATGTTATGTTATTAAATGTCTGGAGCATGCAATTCAAAATTAGATGAAAAATTCTAGTGATAAAAATAATCAGAAAATGAAACTCGCATCTCTTGTAACCCAAGATTGATAGTTCTAAACAATAATTTACTTATTAGAATTTTAGTCAATGAAAATGTTTTTAAATTATCATTCTGCAAAAGAGATTGAATTCAAGTACAATTGCAATGTTCAAATGAATATAATGAAGAAAATTCAAATTTTAGAGAATAGTATTAATTTCTCAAAATTGAAATCATAAAAATCAAATTAGTATTATTAGTTAGTTAGTAAATTAAAGAAAGTTAAAACCATGATGCAAGATAAGACGTAAGATTAGTGAAATCACTGTAAGAAGTGCAGAAATAGGTTAGCATTTGGAAACAAACTCAAATTGAACCTTTAAGCACAACATGCAAAGAGATGATTTTTAATTGCAATTATACGATTTTTGTTTATCGTAAATAAATATCTAAATTAGACGAAAATCTTACCATTTTTTTATAATTTCTGGGCCCCTAAAAGCCAAATATTTCCCTTACGCCACACTTGACATGGATATGCGCATGCCTGTTCTCAAATGATAAAATGGCAACCTTTCGAATCAAACTCGAATGATAATGTAGAAATATTTTGGTAAACACTTAACACACCCACACACTATAACAAAATTAAATCGCACCTGTCAAATCTCTACTGTGTTACAGATACAGGACAAATTTTATCAGATTTTTGCCTCAAAAAGACAAAAAATGGGCCTTTTTGGAAAGTCACAGGAGAAGAATCCCAAAGAAATGGTTAGATTGTAAAACAGAAAAAATTGTACAACAAATTTTATATTAATTTTTTACTTAAAATTACTTAAAAATTTATAGGTTCAAGAATGGACGTCGAAATTAAGGAAAGAAGGTTATCAAATAGATAGACAAGTTAGAGGTGAGTCATTTGTTATAAAGATTTTTATTAATTTTAAATCTGCATCTTAATTTCTCCGCCTTATTGTTATTTTAGACTATTTTAATTTTCTAATTAAAAACAATAACCTAACCTCATAACCTTGAGAATTGTTTTCGGTGCTGGTGCATAATCAAGCTTTGTTATAATAATAATTATACTTTTTGTATTGATTAAAATATGAATTTCATAATCTGTTCTCAAAACTTTCTTTCTTTTTTAAAATTTTTAATTTATTGTTTAGAAAAACTCTTTGAAATACCTATAAACTAACATCATGAACTGAATTTATCGCTCTATTTACTCAATCGTTTAGTTATGAATTTTATATTCAGCTTGTTCTTTGATGAAACGTCAAATTTAATGTAAATATGCTAAACTTTCGCTTATTTTATTTAATGCTTTTACAGAATTATGTCAATTTCTTTACACAATGAGCCGATCATGTCTATTTTTAGAATATATTTTTATGGGAGTTTTGTTCTCATTGGAAAACTGGTATTTATTTAAAATATTTCTCCTTTCAATTTACTTCAAAGTGAGCAAAAGGGAAAATTTGTAAATAAATAAATACCGCAAAAATCAGTTCTTAAAATAAATACCGAATTGCAATTTTGAAAATTAAATAAGTACTCGATTATAAATATAAAAGATGAAAGATAAAAATTTCCGAAGGTCGACAATTGAATCTTATCATTGACTCATATTTTAAATAAAAAAAAGATAGTGACAATAAATTCGAATAACCTTGGAATCGTCTGCCATTCGTGAATCTCGTGAATCTCTTTTTTTTTACAAAAAAAAATATTATTTATGTTTTTGCAAAAATATAATTTTCCTTTTCACAAAAATATTGTTATTATCTTTTTAGAAAAAATTCGAACAATTTTATTTTTAATTCACAAAAGTTCGAACAATTTTCTTTTTAATTTACAAAAATTCCAAACGATATTATTTCGTGAATTTATACAAAAGTTCGAACAATTTTGTATTTAATTTACAAAAATCCAAATAATTTTGTTTTGAATTTACAAAAATCGCAATAAACTAATAATTTTTTTTGTAAATTTCCAGCGATTCAGAGGGAGGAGGATAAAGTGAAGCGAAGTATGAAGGAGGCTGCAAAGAAGGGAGATCGAGATGTATGTAAAATTTTAGCCAAAGAAGTAATTCGAGCGCGTAAAACGTGTGGAAAATTGCACACATCGAAGGCTCATTTAAATTCAGTGTCGATGCAATTAAAAAATCAGCTGGCTACAATTAGAGTCGCTGGTTCAGTATCGAAATCCACTGAAGTAATGCAAGCAATGCAAGCACTTGTCAAAGTACCTGAAGTTGCAGCAACAATGCGAGAATTATCCAAAGAAATGATGAAAGCCGGAATAATTGAGGAAATGATGGATGAAACTATGGAATCTTTGGAGGATTCCGAGGAAATGGAGGAGGAAGCCGACGAAGAAGTCGATAAGGTAATTTTAATTTACTTCCTTAAGATCTTTTATTTTCAGATTTAATTTTTTTTTTTAAAAGGTCCGTAAAGTTCGTAATTTAATTGAGAAAAGACGAAAAGTTCGTAAATTGTACGATATAATTTGGAGAATTTTATAGAAATTACAAATGATTGCAGAAATTCAATTATTTTCAAAAACAATTAACTTTTTCGCAAAAATTCAATTACGTTCAAAAATTAAAAAAAAAATTCTCTTCAAAATTTCAATTATCTTAATAGAAATATTAAAATTCTTTTCCGAAATTCAATTATATTCGAAAATTTTAATAAATAATAAATATTTATTCAATGAATATTCATTCATAAATATTCGAAATTGTGATAATTATTGTAATTTTTGTAATTTTTCCCTCTAGATTTTGTGGGAGATTACTGCTGGTCAAATGGGAAGGGCACCGGCAGTCGTTACCGATACAATAGGTCCATCAACATCCAAAGACGAAGAGGAAGTAGCTGACAAAGATATCGACGAAAAAGAATTGGAAGAAATGAAAAGTCGATTACAAAGTTTACGAAGTTAAGTTAATTTTCAATTTCATAAATTAAAATCAACTTTCTGAAACTAAACTTTCATTTGCAATAATTATATATTATGTCAATGCGACATCAAATCCATATAAATGGAATCACAAATTAGAAAATGCAAACTATAGTAGACAAAAAATTTAAATCACAAGCTTGCAAATGTACAGGAAGTTAATTTATATAATTTATTTTTTCATCGGAACACCTTTAATTAGAATAAATTAATTAATCCCACTAAGTAAATAATTATCTTCGAGGATTATATTTCTATTGTGTGACAATTTGTAATTTTACTTCAAACCCAAAAATTCGAGAGTGAAAACTTTAACACACAATTTAAAAATAAAAAAGGAGATATTAAATTATAATTCCGTAACACGAAAAATTAAAAAACATATGTTGTACATATGTTCAAGTGACTTTTTATTTATACACAAAAACATTAATTTTAGGATTTAAAATCATTTTGTGTGCAAGAAAAAGTATTGTAGCCTTACTAAAAAGAAGCAAAGCTTATTTGTAAAAAAAAGAACTTAATTTAAAATGTATTATAATTTTAATATTAGGAATTTAGCACGAATAACAATGAGATGAATATTTAGCTTTATAAGAGAAACTGAAATGTCAGAAAAAGATTTAAAAAAACAAATGTTCTCAATGTAATAGCTTTTTTAACTCTTTGTAAAATCACACTGAAAATATTTTTAGTTTGATTTTTGAATGTAAATAATGTATGTAATTCGGCAGGCTTTTGTAGATGCTAATAAAAAATTTGAAAAATTTCACCAGAAAAATTGCAATTTTTTATTATTCAACTTCACTGAAATAAAATTTTAGGAGAATTTAAAGTTTTTAAGTTTTTTTAACACCAAAAAGCAAAATTTCAGACTTCTTTCTTATCCTGCTAATAAATTGAATTCCTGCAACGAATTTTATTACTCATGAAAGAACTTAAATCCAATTTATAAAAATAATTTAATTCTTGAGAAGAATTTTATGAAAATTTTCAAATAATTTATTTAATTCCACTAATTTTATGCAAAAATTTGGTTATTTTTAAAAATAATTAATTTTTTCGAGGAATTGAAATTTAATTTTTAAGAATAATTACATTTTTCAAGCAATTTCTGTAAAATTGTATTAAAAATAATTGAAATCCTGCGATGAATTTCATTATTTATAAAAATAATTAAATAATTGCTAAGAATTATATTAAAATTTTCAAAAATAATTGAATTCCTGAGAAGAATTTTATTATTTATGAAAATAATTGAATTATTACGACAATTTTTATTAAAATGTTTAAAAAGAATTGTATTCCTGTAAAAACTTTGTTAGTTTTGAAAATAATTTAATTCTTCCAAAGAATTTAAAAAAAAACATTTTTTTAAATAATTGATTTTTTCGAGGAATTGAAATTAAATTTTTAAGAATAATTACGTAAAATTGTATTAAAAATTTATAAAAATAATTGAATAGTTGCTGATAATTTTATTAAAATTTTTAAAAATTGAATTATTGAGAAGAATTTTATTATTTATGAAAATAATTGAATTCTTGTGAAAAATTTTGTTATTTTTAAAAATAATGGAATTCCTCATAAGAATTTCATAAACATTGTTTTAAATAGTTTTAAATAGTTTTTCGAAATATAATAAAGATTATGAAAATTTTATTTTAAATAATAATTGAATTCTTGTGGAAATTTTTATTTGCGAAAATAATTGAATTTTTATTGTAATTAATTTAAAATATTAAATTACAGTAAATTAAAAATTTAATTCAAAAAGAAAATTTCGTCTCAATTTATAAAATATACATCTAAATAATAATTATAACGAACAAATTTTTTATAATTTAATCAAAAAATTTATTTAGAATTCATAAAACAATTTTTTAAAAAGTCATTTAGTTTAAGAGTATAAATCACATTTTGATAAAATGAAATATTAGGAAGAATATTAATAATTATTATTATTAAAAATCACACAGATGCGATTTAAGACTTTTAAACCAAATTAATTTTTCATCTCATAACATATATACCTGATAATTTATTTTAATATTTGCAAACAGTACTGTGTCTATTTTTATTTTACAACTTCCAAATGTACAATAAGAACATTAATTTGTCCTAGAACGTTACTTATCATTTAACTACATAATTATAATATAAATATACATACATCAATATTTTAGATGTATAAATATAAACGCAATTAACTTTTTATTTCGCCTCTTTCTAATAAGTTTCAGAAAAGAAAACATTTTCTAAAAAAATTCAATTGCAACAATACTATAATTGACACATACATTACACTGTTTAACGAAAATTATTTCTGGCTTCTATTCAAAAAATTAAGTGTATTTCCAACATTAATTTAGTTAGTTAAATTAATCTATTAAATTAATTAATTTGAAAAATTATATTCAATTTATTTTGTTAATTTAATAAAGGCTTTTCATAAATTTGACGAAATGTTAGTTACATTCTTCAAAAACAGAATCATTTTTTATTTACAAACTTGATACTTTTCCTACAATAAAACTTAATCTTTTGAACAGTTCCGTCTAATTTCACAATATTTCTAGATAACGAAATTATCCGAATGAAATGAAGACAAAGTCTTAAAAAACAAATGAAAAAAGAAATTCTCAAAATACAAGAAACAAAAACGAAAATACAAAAACATTTTAAAAAGGAGAATTTACAAAAAATCAATCACCTTGTTAACAATTGCAAGCTTCACCTTTGCTCGTGAATTTTTCGGAAGTCTTTGCAATTGTGGTTTTAATTTTCGAAGAAAATAGTAAAGTTCATTTCTAATCGGCAACAATGTACGACGTGTTTTCAACGATGTTCGACATATTTTCTCCTCTTGTTCTTCCTCAAGAACCTCGTCGTATAAATTTTCCGTTTTCAATTGAATTTTACTCTCGTTGAAATTCTCCTGTAATTCGACTTCTTCCTCGTGTATTTCCATATTGCCCTCGACAAATTCCTCGACAACTTCCTCAGTGGCGAATGAAAGTAAATCGGACATTTTCACTGAATCGGCGTCAAAATCAATTTCCTCCTCCTCGGGTTCAATTTTTCCCATTGGTTCAATTTTCTCAATGTGATGCTCCATTGTTCCTAGGGTTTCTAATTTTTCGGGCATTATATTGACAATTTGTTCGATACTGCCGTTGTTAATTTTTTCCCGTCTCGTTTCGCTTTGTGATTTTCTTCCTCTACCACGACTTCGACCACGGCCACGTCCTCGTCCACGACCGCGACCTCTTCCCGACTTTCCCGCTTTCATCCCTTGATCGGGGAGATTTATTTTAATCAGCAAACCTGGTGGTATACTCGAAAGACTATGAACTGGAATTGGAGCCCCCAATTTTGAAATATCACCCGTAAATGGGAGAATAACCTTTTTAATATCCGTCGAAATGTTATTTGGCAAATTTTGAGTGACGCTGTTGCTAATAGCAATCGGTTGAAATTGATTGCCAAATTGAAATTTCCAATTCGTCGACGCTGGTATTGGTAGTTTTTTCATAAATTCGTCTGTTTCGAAACTCAGTGGTTTTGGTTTGGGAATATTTATTAAAGTCGGCCTTCTTGATTTTCCTCGTTTTTTCGCCAATGGAGCTGGTTTATTGTCGACCTTTGGCTTTTTGCTCGAAACTAAAGGTCGAGAACCTCGTTTTCCAACTTTGCAGACCTCGTCAACATCTTCATTTTCCATTTCCATTTGCTCTAAAGCCTCTTCGGGTGTTAAATCGTGAACATCCTTTATCGTCGGCACTGCGTCGCATGGTCCAATATTGTGAATATTTTGCCCTGTTTGAAAATGTTTCGAGCACAGGACAAGTTTTCGTATTTGATTCGGTGACATTTTCAAAATATCCTCACGTCCGAGAAATTGACACCAACGTAAACATCTTCCAATTTCATAAGCTGGGAACGGATGAAATTTGTACCTTTCCACTTTGTTCCTTGGATCGGACCTGGAAAAAAAATACAATTCAAAAACTACTCTTCTACCGGAGTTGCAACAAAAATTTTAATATTCACTGATTTTTAGACAAAATTTTGACCTTTTCCCTGACAATTCAACAACTTATAAAAATTCTGTATTTTTTCATGACCTTCATTTTTGTCAATTCTAATAAAATCCTTCGCCAAAATTCAATATTTTTATAAATAATTAAATTCTTCACACGAACTCAATTATTTAAAAAAATGTTATAAAATTCGTTACAAGAATTCAATAAATAATAAAATTTTTCATTGGAAAATTTTTTGCAAGAATTCCAATTACTTTTCACAAATAATAAAATTCTTCGCTGAAATTAAAAATAATATTTTCCAAATCTACTATTTTAATAAAATTTCTTAAAAGAATTGAATTGTTAAAAAAATAATAACATTTTTCGCATAAATGCAATTAATATAATGATTAATAAATTTTTAACAGGAATTCAATTATTTAGAATACAATAATTGTCAAGAACATTTTTCAAAAGAAATAAATTATTTAAAATATTTTTAAAAATACTTTCAAAGGAATTAATTCTTTTGTAAAAATTTTGATAACATTTGTTTATAAGAACTAAATTATTTTTATACAATATTTTCATTAAATCATTATTAGGGATAATTGAATTGTTTTTTTGCAATTTTAATAAAATTTATTAAAAAAATTAAATTATTTACAAAAATTTTAATAAAATCCTTCAAAAATTCAATTATTTTTAAAAATAATAAAAACGTTCAAAGGAATTCAATTATTTAAACAAATGTAATATAATTCGTTGTAAGAATTCAATTACATATTTTCATTAATAATAAAATTGTTCACACCATTTCAATTATTTTTAATACAATTTTAAATAAATTTCTCGAAAAATGTAATGATTTTCAAAAAGTTTTGGAAAAATTTTTGCAATAATTCAATTACTTTTTGTTTTCACAAAATGAAATTTGTCGCTGAAATTCAAATATTTTCAAAATATACTATTTTAATAAAATTTCTCAAAAGAATTCAATTTTTCGAGAAATTTGAGTAAAATATTGTATTAAAAATAATTAAAATTCTGCGATGAGTTTAACTATTTATGAAAACAATTGAATTCCTAAAATGAATTTAATTATTTATAAAAATAATTGAATCCCTGTAAAAATTTGTATTATTCAAGAAAATATTTGAATTATTGCGAAGAAATTTAAACAAAAATTTATAAATAATTGAATTTGTATGAAATATTTTATTATTTGTGAAAATAATTGAATTCTTACAATGAAAATTATTTCATTTTATTTTATTTATCGAAAACATTTAAATTGTTACGAAGAAACTTAAAATTCTTTCGGGAAATTTAATTAAGTTTTTTAATTTAAAGTTATTTCAATTAAATTTAAATAAAAGACATTTGAATTCTTATAAAGAATTATATCAAAATATTTGAAAATAATTCATTTCTTTCAAGAAATTTAATTAAAAATGTATTGATAATAATTATTAAATTCTAACGAATAAATTAACATCAATTTTTTAAAATAATTCAATTCTTTCGAAGAATTTTAATAAAATCTTTGAGAATAATTGCATTTTTCGAGAAATTAATTTAAAATTGTATTAAAAATAATAATTGTAATCCTGCGATGAGTTTTATTATTTATGAAAATAATTGAATTCCTGAGAATAGTTTTATTATTTATAAAAATAATTGAATTATTGCAAAGAAATTTATAAAAAATTTGTAAATAATTGAATTCCTGTAAAATATTGGTTATTTATGAAAATAATTGAAATTTTGCGTAGAATTTTATGAAAATATTTTCTAAATAATTCAATTCTTTTGAAAATTTTTTTATTAAAATCGTACAAATTGAAAATAATTGAATTGAAAAGCATTTTTGAAAATAATTTAAATTTTGCCAAGAATTTGTCAGATTTTATTTAAATTTTTGAAAGTAATTGAATTTCGGAGAAGAATTTTATTATTTGTAAAGATAATTGAAATTTTGACGAGAATTTAAAAAAATTTGTGAACAAAATTGAATCTCTGCAAAAATTTTTATTACTTTTGAAAATAATTGAATTTCTACAATTATTCATAACTTTTTTAAAATTCAATTTTTTTAGTACTTTTAACTAAAATTCTTCTATAAAGCCAATAATTTTAGTAAATAATTAACAATATGTATATTGAATAATGTAACTAGTTTCAGAAGAATTTCAATTATTAAAATTTTTGATTAAATTTAGTCTAAATTGAAATTTTCTAAAATTTCAAATTAAAACTTTTTGAAGTTTCTTTTCATCTGCTTTTAAAAATTGTAAATGCAACTCTTTTAAAATTCAATTAATTTTGTAATATTTAAGTAAAATTATTTTTTTTAAAAAGAAATTAATGTCAGAAATATAAAAAATTGAAGGTTTTGTATTATAATTCCTGTTAATTTCAGTTTATGAGTCAAACAAAACAGACACGAAAATTTAGAATTTTCTTACTAATTCCAAAAATTTAATTTTTTTCAGTAGTTTTAATAAAAATCCCTGACTTTTCCCTAAATTCCCTGGCATGTGTTAATCTTGTGCTAAAAAGCATTTCTAAAATAAACAATTTCTAAAAATTCTTCTATAAAATAAAAATAATTCAATAACCTGGATCGTCCACATGCAGCACAGGCTTGACTCTCCAAAACAACAGACGGCAATGGTTCGAATTTTTTCAATTTCTCATTAACCTTTGCGACATTTGGCTCAGCGATAAGTTCCATAATAAAAGGTTCTTCGCCTTCCTGATCGGAGAAACGAATATTCGGCACTGCATGGTCCTTAAGTCTATTCTTATAATTGTCCATAAACTGTGAGCCGTCAAAATGTTTTGAACATATGTAACAAAATAGAATTTCTTTTCTCGTCAGCCTATAATAAGAATCAACTCCAACAAAATCGAGCCATTCTAAACAACGAAATTCTTCTCCGGGAAAATGATGAAAAGTCACTCCGTCATAGTCTTCCTCAGGTGGATCCTTACGAGCACGACCACACAACACACAGGTTATGTTGTATAAACTTTGTTTTGGATCATAAACAGAAGGAACTGCCGTACAATTCAAACGATCATAATAATCGTTTAGAAAATCTTTTCTTTCAAAATGCTTTGAACATACCATTCGTTGGAGAAGTTGTTTTTTCGTTAATTTATAAAGATCCTCACGACAACAAAACTCCAACCACTTTCCACAACGGGGTCCATCATTTACTGGGAATCCAAAAAACATATATTCCTCCTCACGATTGTTTGGATTCATTCGTGAACGACCACACACTACACATGGATGTGGCATTTTTAACTATATTTTTTTCTTTATAGAAATTCGTCTCTGGTTAAATGAAAAATAAATAAAATTGTATCATTTTTAGGTTAAATTCACTGACATATTTATGCGTATCAATAACAGACTTGTTTACATAAAGTTTCCACTCCATTAAATGAATATTCTTTCGATAAAGCACGTAATTCTTTTTGTTAATATTGTAAACGACAATTTATTAAATTGTATTCGTCATAGTCGCAAATATATGTATATTCATATATAAGAATATAGAAAACAATTGAAGAAAAATTTTGCAATAACTTTTCTTTCTCACTTTTGTTTTCACGCGTTTTCACAGTTGTTAATTTCACAATTTCACCAATATTGAAGTTCTTTAAAAGTTAACAATGTCCTCTATTTGATATTAAAATCCAACTTAAGAGTAATATTATTTAAACAATTTTCAAAAACATTCTTTTGAAAATAAAATTTTTTTTTCTCTTTTCTAAGATTACTAGGTTATGTTTTTGCTACACTAGCGTCCTCAACCTTTTCCGGTTGCATTGGCGTGGGAGTTTTTAAATTGCATTATTAATATTACTTCGGTATCTTTTAAGAAGAAATTTTCTCCTTATCGTAAAATTGATACTTTTTTTGTAGTAATTTTTATCGCATAATAATTAATAACTAAAAGTTCCGAGGTTTTTATTTTCAATAAATTTTTCACTTATTCGAATTTTCCCGCACTTTAGAAACGTCAGAACGCCACCAAACGGGGGAAAATGTCAGCAGAAACCTAACCTTAAAATTTCCACCAAAAGCACCAAAAGTCGTATGACATTTTGGAAATAAATCTGTCAAAAAAAGTTTGTAAACAAATAATTTACAATGACAGATAATATAAGTAATTCGTACGATATAAATGGACAGCACTTTAATCATGATATGCATTTGCAGAAATTATTAAAGGTTCAGTAAATATTTAATTTCTAAATTATCGTCAGGTAAAAATGTTGACAATTGACAAGTGTGTAAATAATTAATAATTATTAATTTTTTTCAAGGAATGTTCACTTAAACAAATAATGGACCATGAGGCAGAAATTATAAAGAACACACAAACTTTGCATTCGGATATGCAAACTCTGGTCTATGAAAATTATAATAAATTTATATCTGCCACGGATACAATTCGAAAGGTAATTACAATTTCGACATATTTACCGTAAATTTATTCAGAATTACAATTTTTTTTCAGTTGTTCAACAACAAAAAAGTAATTATAATTTTTCAATTTTCTTCTTGTTTGCTAAAATTGTTACTAAAATTTCAGATGAAGAGCGATTTTAATCAAATGGAGGAAAGTATGGATTTATTGGCTAAAAATATGGAAAGTATCACTTCATTTTCAGAGCAAATTTCATCGACTCTACAAGGAACACGTCAACAAATTTCTCGATTATCATCCGTACATGCTCTGTTGAAAAAATTACAATTTCTCTTCAAGTTGCCCAGTAATTTGAAAGATAAAATGAACGCTGGAAATTATAATCAGGTCTCTATTCCTCTTTAATATTCAATCTTTTGAAGTTTATTTTTATTATCCCTAAGTTTTGAACCTTCAAATGAAGGAAATATTTTTAATTCAAAATATTCTCATAAATAACTGATTGCAATAAAAAAATAGAAACTTACTAAGAAAAGTTTAATTTGATTGAAAAATAAATAAATTTTCCTTCATATGAAAACTTTTGTAATTTTTAAAAATAGTTAAATTTATTTTAAAAATTATTCTATTTTTGAATGTAATTAGAAAATTTTAAAAAAATTGAGTAGTCAAGTTTAATTTTTTGACAGATACTTTTTTACTACTTTTTTTCTATCTTTAAGATACTTTTTGCGACTTTTTAAAAATTAAAAAAGTACGAAGCCTGTTTTCTATATAAATGTCGCAATTTGAAAGTTAATAACAAATAAAAACTGAAATATTTCAGGCAGTGCAAGACTACATGCACGCGCAACGTGTCCTGAATCAATACGGAAACATGCCGTCCTTCCAGGGAATTCAAAAAGATTGTGAGGAAATAGTTGAGGAACTAAAATCGAAACTTCGAACGCAATTTCATAAGAAAGATGCTTCAACGAAATTACTAGCAGAATGTGTTGATCTACTTCTTCAGTTAAAGGAACCTGCTGATTCTTTATGCGCTGAATTTTTGACGTACGCGGAAATTCGATTGACTGGTCAATTGGAAGTATTGAGCGATATGTGCGAAAATGATATTATTGAATTTGTCGATATGGGAAGTTCAGGATTTCTCAGCGATTTGTGCCTAATTGTTGCTTCATACAATGATATGTTTATAAATAGACAACCTCTCGACGACGATGAATTCAGTGATGATTTTGATATTAAAGCTGTCTCACGCCTTAATACATTTATAATGAATAATATGAAGAATTATTTCGAATTAATTGGAAAACGTGTCGAGGATGTGACGGACACGGCAATTTTAGTGAGGGCACTCGATAGATTTCATCGGAGATTGCAAGCAATGAATTCACTTTGTAGCGAAACTGATTTTGCTCGGTAAAAAAAGGAAAATTTCTTTTTTCCTTCTTTCTTTCGCCTTTTCTCTCTTTTTTTCCTTCTTTTTCTTTTATCCACTATTTATTTTTTCTTCGGCTTCCTTTTCTTTCTATTTTTTTCGACTTCGTTTTTTTTTCTTTCTTTCGTCCTTTTTTCTTTTTTTCATTAATTCTTTCTTTTTTCTTCGGTTTCTTCTTTGTCTTAGTTCTTTCAAATTAATTCATAGTGAATGTAAATTTTTGGTAATAATTCCTGAAAATTTGTAGATCGAGTGTCGATATTGTCATCAATGCTGGAAGAAGACAGTGCCGTAATCATTTACACTCGTTGAAGCAACATTTGAATGAAGCTTTGGTGAAAGTGCGACAAATTCTTGCAACAAAGACAACGCAAGAAGGAGATGGAGGTTTAGCCGAACTTCAGGCAACGCTCGTAATGCCAATCATCGAAAAAGTCAAAGGCGTTCTTCAAGACCTTCTGGTTAGTCAATTAGACAACTTTTCTATTATTTTAATTCCAAATCCAAAAGAAAACACGATTTTTTATGATTTTCATTATACTTAGCAAAAAAATGTTACAGAATTGACACAAATCATGGAATTCAGGGAAAAATCAGGGAAAGTAAAATCAGTTAGAGAATTTTTTAAAAAATACTTGAAAAATATTCAATTTCTAGAATTCATTAGAAAATTTTGGATTTTTGTGTCGAGATTATGAAATTTAATTCATTTTAAATAATTTAATTCTTGAAAAACTATAACAAAATTATTACTTATAAATTATTTAGCCAATAATTTTACTTAAAAATAATTCAATTTTATAAGAGTTGTGTTTACAATTTTCATAAATAATTAAATTTCGAACAGAATTCAAATTGTAATTTTAGAAAATTTCAATTTTAAGTATTTTTAATCCAAATTTTTCAAAAAAATTGTTTTTTTAATTTTTATTTCAAAAATTGGATTGGAAACAAGTGGATTTCAAAATTAATTTATTTGAACTTTCCGGTTTTTTTTTTGAATAATTGAATTCTCAAGGAATTTACTAAAAAAAATTCATAAAAATAATTGACTTAAAAGAGAATTGTAGTTAAAATTTTTAGAAAGTAATTAAATTAAAATTTTAAAAACAGTTTTGAAGAAGTAGCAATTTTTTTTATAAATTATTGAATTTCAGAAGGTTTCAAATTGAAATTTAAAAAAAAAAAAAATTTTAATTTACGAATAATTGAAATTTCGTAAAATTGGATTGGAAACAAGTGGATTCCAAAATTAATTTAGTTGAACTTTCAGGGTTTTTCTTTGAATAATTGAATTCTCAAGGAATTTTCTCCAAGATTAATAAAAATAATTGATTTAGAAGAATTTTAGTTAAAATTTTTAGAAAATAATTGAATTGAAATTTTAATAACAGTTTTGGAGAAGTAGCAATTTTTATAAATTATTATTGAATTTCAGAAGAATTCAAATTGAAATTTAAAAGAAATTGAATTTAACATAATTTTAATTCAGAATTCTGCGAAAATTAGTTTTATTGAAAAATTTGTATTCAAATTATTTTAAAATTAATTGAATGAAATCTTGAATATTTAATTAAAAAATTTTCGAATAATTGAAATTTCGTAAAAATGGATTGAAAACAAGTGGATTTCAAAATTAATTTATTTGCAATTTCCGGTTTTTTTTTAATAATTTAATTCTCAAGGAATTTACTAAAAAAAATTAATAAAAATAATTGATTTAGAAAAATTTTAGTTAAAATTTTTAGAAAGTAATTAAATTAAAATTTTAAAAACAGTTTTGGAGAAGTAGCAATTTTTATAAATTATTGAATTTCAGAAGATTTTAAATTGAAATTTAAAAGAAATTAAATTGAAAACAAGTGGATTTAAAAATAATTTTAATTGAAATTTCCGGTTTTTTTTCTTTGAGTAATTGAATTTAGTTAAAAATTCAAGAAATAAATTGAATTTAAATCATGAAAATAATTTTTGGAGAAATCACAGTTGCAATTTTTATATATTATCCAATTTCCAAAAAATTTGAAAATCTTAATCCTTATTGATATTTCAGAATAATCTCACAATCAAAGACATTTACAAATAATTGAAAACATTTTTTTTTATCATTTTTGGAGTGAATCACAAAATATTTCTTAGGATCAGGAAAAAAGTAAAAATTCTGTATGCAAATCAGGGAAAAATAATCAAATTCTCGTGTCAATTTCGAGTTGGAAATTAAATTTCTAATCCAAAAAAATTTGCTAATTTCCAGGTATTTCTACAATCAGACCTGTCATTTAGTCTGAAACCTCAATTTCTACAAAGTTTCTGCGTTGACGAAGTCAGAGAAAGTCTAGTCGTTGGATTTTTACATCACCTGACAGCGACGGCAAGTGGATTCTGCACCGGCTCCGATGTTCCTAAATTTCCTCCAACACTATTGTTACTCTTGAGTAAAATGTGTTTGGAATTTAAAGACAGCAGTGTCAATTATTTGGTAAACATTTCGCAGCATTATTTACAAAAAAAGATTTGTTTAATACTTATTTTGCTAACTTCTGATTAAAAACTGTCAAATAATAATTAGCAAATAACAATAATTAGCAAGTAATAATAATTAGCAAATAATAATAATTAGCGAATAACAATGATTAGCAAGTAATAATAATTAGCAAATAACAATAATTAGCGAATAATAATAATTGAATAATAATAGGTACCTAGTAATTGGCAAATAATAATAATTAGCAAATAATTAATAAGTGGTAAATAATTAATAATTGGCATTTTTTTAGCTCACCGCTGCTGATGAAATGTTCAGTATTGAAGAATACGCTGGAAGCGGCAACATCATAACTCCCGAGAGTGAAATTTGCGAGAATTTCCAGAATGCCGCGCAAACATTATTGAACCATTATGTTCGTCTTCAAGGCTTAGCCGTATCGCAAATGTTGAGGAAATCCATTGAAACCAGAGATTGGTTGCATACAATTGAACCACGAACTGTGAGAGCCGTTATGAAGCGAATCGTCGAAGACATTACTGCAATCGAATCTCAAGTCACTGCCCTTTATGAAGATTCGGACGTTCAAATGGACAGAAGCAGCGACAGCAGCAGAAAAGCCCACAGGTTTTTTTTCTATTCGAAATTTCTAATTTTCTAATTCCAATTTCAATTTTAATTCTAATTCTAATTCTAATTCTAATTCTAATTCTAATTTTAATTCTAACTTCTAATTCTAACTTCTAATTTTAATTCTAATTTTGATTCTAATTCTAATTCCAATTCTATTTTTAATTTCTAAGATTAATTCTAATTTTAATTCTGATTCTAATTCTAATTATCCAAAAAGAAACTTTCCCCTAATTGAAATGAAATTATTTCAGTAGCAGCACATCGAGACATCAATATCGTTCAAATTGGTCGTCATTCACATCGAGTCATTTGGATTCATCGCTGATGACGAATATTCACAAATTATTCTCAGAACGGATTGAAATTTTCTCATCCGTTCAATTTAACAAAGCATCAATTTTAACCGGAATCATCAAAATTAGTTTGAAGGTAATGGACGTTCATTAAACACTTACTTAAAATGCTTCTCGTTGGAAAAACTATTTGCGACACAACTTTTGACTGAGATGGTACCATAATCGGTGCAGATGCTGCACAATGACAAAATAACCTCATCATTATCCACTTTGTATATCGTGGAGACATATTATTCTGTCGCGACTATTCGATTCACATGCACTCATATTTTTTTTGTTCCTAAAAAAAATCGTATTTAATATTATTATATTTTTATTAAATACGATATTATCTTTTTTTCAAAGTCAGAACTCGGACCAGTGAAATTATTTAAAAATACACGGACTTTACGGACCAAAAATGAAAAATTACGGACCAATTACTGACAAAAATATAACCAGTCCAAGTCAAATAAGAGAACATTTTACTTAAAACTAGAAATTAAATTTTTCATAACTATAAAACATGAAGATATCGATAACTCCGAGTCTTCGACTCGGAGTGATCGATTTCTTCATGTTTTATAATAATTAAAGATGACCGAGTAATAAAATCATTTACAAGAATTTTTAACTAAAATTCTTCTTTAAATCGATTATTTTCAATAATTTTCGAAAAAGTTCTTTGACAATTTTCAAATCCATTTGTTTACAATATTCAATTTTACGAAATTTCAATTATTCGTAAATTCTTCAATTAAATAAATATTAGAAAATAAAAACTTAAAATAATATTTAAAAAATTCAATTAAACTTTTTCAAAAAAATTAATTTCAAAATTCAATTGTTTTTAAAAATTCACGCTATATTGCTGTTAATATTCAATTATTATCTAAAATTTTAACTGAAATTATTTTTTAAATAAATTTTTATTAGAAAATTCTACTAGAATTCAATTATTTAAATACAAAAATAAATAATTTATTGAATAATTGAATGTTTCTTAAAATTCAATTCCCATAAAGAATCGTTATCAACAAATTTTCAAATAATTGAATTCTATCAACGAATTTTAATAAAATTTTTTAAGAATAATTACATTTTTCGAAAAAATCGATTAAAATTGTATTAAAAGTAATTTAAATTCTGCAATGAGTTTTATTATCTGTAAAAATAATTAAATCCCTAAGAAGAATTTTATTACTTTTGAACAATATTTAATTTTTGCGAAGAATTATTACTTTTGAAAATAATTGTATTTCTGCAATAATTTGTAACTTTTAAAAAATTGAATTTTTTTCCGTGTTTTTAACTAAACATCTTCTATAAAAACATTATTTTTAATAATTTTTGAAAAAGTTCTTTAAGAATTTTCAAATTTATTTGTTTTCAATTCAATTTTACAAAATTTTAATTATTCGTAAATTCTTTAATTAAATATATACATAGGTATTTGAAAATATAGACTTTAAATAATTTCAAAAAAAAATCCGCAATTAAAGTTTCACAAAAAAAATTAATTCAACAGAATTGTTAGTTAAAAATATGAAAAATTTAAATTTTCAAACATTTTAATCAGAAACCTTTTCAAAATTTAATTATTTCTGAAAATTTACGCTCTAATGCTTTTAATTTTCAATTATAATCTAAAACTTTAACTGAAATACATTTTTAAATCAATGTTTATGAGAAAATTCTATTAGAATTTAATTATTTAAATACATAAATAAATCACTTTATTTTATTCAATTCTAAATCAATTCTTATTAGAAATTTCTATACGAGAATGAAATTATTAAAATACAAAAATAAATTATTTATTGAATAATTGAATATTTCTTAAATTTTAATTCTTATAAAAAACTTTATCAACATTTTTTAAAATACTTGAATTTTTAAATATAATTAAAAAAAAATAAAATTTTTTATAATAATTAAATTCATTCAAGAAATGCAATAGAAAATAAATTGAAAATAATGATTACACTCTAAGAATCAAATTATATTAAATTTTTTTAAATAATCGATTTTTTTCTAAGAATTTTATTCAAATTTTTAAGAATAATTACATTTTTCGAGGAATTTATTTAAAATTGTATGAAAAATAATTGAAATACTACGATTAGTTTCATTATTTATAAAAATAATTTAATTCTTCCGAAGAATTTAAAAAAATCTTTTTTATATAATTGAATTCTTTCGAAAAATTGTATTACAATTATATAGTGAAAATAATTGAATTTCTGAGAAGAATTTTATTTATTTTTATGAAAGTAATTGAATTCTTGCATCGAATTTTATTAAAATTTTTAAAAATAATTGAATTCCTGAGAAGAACTATAAAAATAATTGAATTCTTGGGAAGAATTCGATTTATATATGAAAATGATTGAATTCTTGTGAAGAATTTAATAAAAATCTTTTCATATAATTGAATTCTTTCGAAATATTTTATTAAAATTATATAGTGAAAATAATTGAATTTCTGAGAAGAATTTTATTAATTTATGCAAGAAATTAAATTCTTGTTAAGATTTTTATTGAAATTTTTAAAAATAATTGAAATTCTTCAATGAGTTTTATTATTTTTGAAAATAATTGAATTCCTAATAAGAATTTTATTATTTACGAAAATAATTGAATCCTCGTAAAAATGTTATTATTTATGAAAATAATTGAATGATTGCGAAGATATTTTTTAAAAAAATTTGTAAATAATGGAATTTCAGTGTAATTTTTATTATTTTATGAAAATAATTAAAAGTTTGTGTAGAATTTTACTAATTTTTTTTTAAATAATTGAATTCTTTTGAAAATATTTGAATTTTGGCAAAAATTTTATTAAAATTATTGAAAATAATTAAATTTCGGAGAAGAATTGAATTTTTGGGAAGAATTTTATTACTTTTGAAAATAATTGAATTCTGCAATTATTTTTAATTTCTCTAAAATTATTCCTGCAAACTTCTCGAATTTTTTTTTTTTTTTGTAGGAACAAAAAATAAGTTTAATATTGTATTCTTTTGCAGACTTTTCTCGAATGCGTGAGATTGCGAACTTTCAGTAAATATGGTTTGCAGCAAATTCAAGTCGACACACACTATTTGCAGTTATATTTATGGAGATTCGTTGCCGATGAAAAGTAATATTTTTTTTTCCTTTCAATAGTCAATAGAAATACAAATTCTAACGATTGCTTTTATTTTCAGTCTGGTGTATTTTCTACTTGACGAAATTCTCGAGAGTGCCGTTCATAGATGCTTAGAGCCTGTTCTCATGGAACCAAGTGTCGTCGATATAATCTGCGAGAGAAATTAATTACCGTCCATTAGAATCATAATTATATTTTGCAAATTTCCTTAGAGAAAAATTGTATATATTTAAAAAAAAGTCCCAGCGCTCACTGTCGGTTTTTAGAGATGAAAATCACCTCTTTTATTCCTCTAGGGAATTAAAAACCGAAAAAAATTTCCAAAACCAAAAAAAATACTGTTGTATTCTTTTTGGTTTTGGAAATTATTTTCGGTTTTTGAAGCTCAGTGTCGAAATTCAGGGTCTGGAAAAAACTGTAAATACAAGGAAAAAAGTAATTAAGTGAAATTATTATAAGTTAATGAAGATAAATAATTATTTATACAATAAACGTAGTACGTATTAAATTTAATTCTTTTCAGACTAATTAATTCGAAAAGTAGATATTTTTTTTTGCAAATTGGAAAAATTTGATAGAAAATGAATGATGGTAATTAAAAGAAGAAATGTCTGCTTCCTGTATAATTGTTTGATACTTTGGTTGTTCGTCTGCCTCGACCTCCCACGCAGGTCGAGGTACCAGGGGTTGAATACAGTGTCAGAGTATAATTTAAATGTCATGGAGTCACATACTTTTCTTTGTCGTCTCCCTCTTTCTTTCACGAGACAAATAACTCTTTCACTCTCTTGAACTGATTAAAGTAAAACCATTAAGATCAGAATACGGTATTTATAGTGAGGTCAAATGATTTTAATAATCCTTAACACTCCAACATTTATATTCGACTCTAACATTTATTTTGAATGTATCATTCAATTTTAGATTTATTTTACACGATAACTCGTCTATTTTCATTGATATCTAATCCTCCAGTTTCTCATTTCTGTTTTTATTCAGTTTCTGTCAACTGTTCAATTCCTTTACAGTGCAAAATTCATCGTCTATTGAAAATAATTTCGAAAATAATTTTTAAATCGCTGGGAAAGAACAATTTTTCTTTTACTAGCAGGTAGAGAAAAAAATCTTAAAATAGAAAATTTAAATACGAAAAACTGAATTTTTCGTTAAAAATAACAACAGTAGTGAATAAAAGTGAAAAATAATTCGAGTTTTTTAATCGTGTATGAAATGAAAAATAATACAGCTCGTGTTTCACGTAGTACCCCTTGGCGCGGCTTGAGTTAATTCAAACTTCCTCTCGTTGGATGAGATTCATTCTCCGAGTATCCGGCGTAGCCCGCAAGCCTACGCACCGCTTGCTCTACCCAATTTAATAAAGTCTTCTAAATTACTCTCGAGGCTATGTCGAGAACCAAATGAATTTCAATGAAAAATCCACAAGAATCTCCCACAAATTATGACACCAAATATACTTTCATTTCCTCATCAAAAGTAATTAATTCACGAAAAATTTCACATCTCTCTATTACTAAAATCTCTAGTTAGAAAAAATAAAAAAAAAAAAAAAATTATGTGTCACCAAATACTTTTATTTCCTCAATCAAAAATAATTATTAAACTAGGAAAATTTTATGTCTCTAAAACCAAAATCTCTAACTAAAATCTACTAAAAAAATCTCTAGTTAAAAAAAAAATTTCTGAGTAAAATAAGTAATTACACTAAAATATGATAAAAAGTACCAAGAATAAAAAAATTCAATAAACTTAAAAACCAAATTCTCCTAAGAAATATTTAAAAATTGATATTTATTTATTTCTTAATAAATTAATATTTTCTAATTTTCATAAACAGTTGCTACAAAAATTTAATTTGGATTTTAACTGACTTTTCCCTGATTTCCAGACAAAATTTTAATTTTTCCCTGACTATAAAGAATATTCTGATTCACTCTAAAAATTATTATTTTCTAGAATTTTTAACAAAAATTCTTCTTTAAATGAAATATTTTTAATAATTATTGAAAAAATTCTTTGAGAATTTTCAAATCCATTTGTTTGCAATTAAATTTTAATTCAAAATTTCTATTATTTGGAAATTCTTCAATTAAATATATATTATAAAATAAAAACTTCAAATAATTTAAAAAAAAATAAATTAAACTTTAAAAAAAAAAATTAATTCTACAATTTGAAATTATGAAAAATTCGGATTTTCAAAGATTTTGATATAAAACCTTTTCAAAATTCAATTATTTCTAAAAATTCATGCTATAATTGCTTTTAATATTTAATTATTATCTAAAACTTAAACTGAAATTAATTTTTAAATCAAGTTTTATTAGAAAATTCTACGAGAATTCAATTATTTAAATACAAAAATAAATAATTTATTGAATAACTAGCGCGCGGAACGAGATAATATTCAATTTATTAATGATATGCAAATTACAAAATTTTAATAAATCCTTCTAAACAATTTAATTATTGTTTTAAATAGTAAAATCTTTACAAAAATTCAATTATTTTCAAAACAATTCAATTTTTTTCTAAAATTTTAATAAATTCTTCGAAAGAATTAAATTATTTTTATAAATACCGTAAAATTCTTCGCAAGAATTAAATGATTTTTAATCAAATTTAAATAAAATTACACGAAAGAATTTAATTATTTTTAAAAATTTCCATAAAATTCAATTTCAACAAGAATTTAAAATTCTCTAAAAATAATTCAATTATTCTCAAAATATTTTTAAAAAATTCTATATAAAAATTAAATTACTTTCAATACAATTTTTAAATATATTCGTCTAAAAATTAGAAAGAATTCAATTAGGTATTTTCAAAAAATAATAAAACTCTTGTGATAAATTCAATTATGATAAAAAATTAAAAAAGAATGTAAATTAAAGAAATTCAATTATTTTCAAAACAATTTTAATAGAATTCCTCGAAAGAATTTAAATTTTCAAATAGGTATTAACATAAAATTCAATTATTTTCTAAAATTTTAATAAATTCTTCCGAACAATATTCAATTATTTTTATAAATAGTAAAATTCTTCGCATGAATTCAATTATTTTCAATACAATTTTAATAAAATTCTTCTTCATAAAATTCAATTACTTTAAAAATATTAAAGAAACTCCTTTATTTTAAAAAACATCTTTAGTTTAAAAAACATTCAAAGAAATTCTTCAAAAGAATTTAATTAGAATTTTTTATAATTTTAATAAAATTCTTCGTGAGAATTCAGTTATTTTCCTAAATAATAAAATTCTTTGAAGGAATTATATTATTATCAAATTTTTTAATAAAATTCTTTGCAACAATTCAATAATTTTCAATATATTAATTTTAAAATTGAAAATATTTGAAAAAAAGAATTATAAAAAAATTAAGAAACAAAAAAGCAAACAACAACTATCTTCAAACTGCAAACAGATTACCGAAACATGTACTTTATTATTATTAATAACTAATAATTGAATTATTCTTAAAATTGAATTCGCATGAAGAATTTTATTAACAAAATTTACAAATAATTGAATTCCTGTAAAATATTTGCTATTTATGAAAATAATTGAATTTTTGCGAAGAATTTTATTAACATTTTTTTAAATAATTGAATTCCCGTGATAAATTTTTTTGTTTAAGTGAAAATAATTGAATTCTTACAAAGAATTTTATTAAATTTTTGTTTTAAATAGTTGAATTCTTTTGAAAAATTTATTTAAATATTAGATTATTGAAAATTATTTAATTCAGAAAAATTTTTAAAAATAATTGAAATTTTGCCAAGATTTGTATTAAAATTTTTGAAAATAATTGAATTTTGGAGAAGAATTTTATTATTTAAAAAGATAATTGCAATTTAGACAAGAATTATTAAAAAATTTTAAACATAATTCAATTTCTGCGAAGAATTTTATTACTTTTGAAAAGAATTGAATTTCTGTAATCATTTATAACTTCTCCAAAATTCAATTTTTTTAATTGTTTTTAACTCAAATTCTTCCATGAATGCATTATTTTTAATAATTTATTAAATATATTTTAAAAAATTGAACTAATTTCAGAAGAATTTGAATTATTAAAATTTTTCTTAAATCTAAGTTCTTTAAATTTTCTAATTAAATTCATTGAAAATTGAAGTTTTATAAAATTTTTAATTAAAACTTTCCGAAGTTTGTCTATTCATGAAAAATGTAAACGCAACTCTTTTAGAATTCAATTAATTTTGAAATATTTAAGTAAAATTATTCATTAAATAATTGATAAGTAATAATTTTCTGATAGTTCTTCAATAATTAAGTTTAAGTTAAAAAAAATTATTGTCAGATGTAGAAATAATTGAAGGTTTTCTATTAGAAATCGTGGTAATTTCATATTTTATCAGTCAAACAAAAAGTTACCAAAATTCAGAATTTTTTATGAATTCTAAAAATTTAATTTTTTTCAAAACTTTTAATAAAAATCCCTTATTTTTCCCTGATTTCCCTCGACCTGTGGCAACCCTGATAATAAATTATTATTTCCTAATTTCCATCAATGATTTTTGGTAATTTTAACAATTATATTTCCTAACTATCATAATAAATTAACATTAATCAAATATAGATTCATAGAATAAAATAGTTTGGATAAAAAAAATATCCAAATGAAAAATTTGGTTTTTGTTTGATATTGAGAATTATATGATAGAGATTATTTGAAAAATGATAATGATCCAAATGCATAATGAAATTGAAAGTAGAAGACTAAAATTAAAAAAAAAAAACTATTAATTGATGAATACCGAAATAAGTCGAGGAGACAAATTCATATGTAATAAAGACCAATGTAGCACAAGAAACATATGGCACACGTGATCTCAGAAAAACACCTGTGCATGTGTGAATCTTCTGTACTCTGTACATTCAGAAGACTGAATTTCCAATGACATCCATTCCAACGTAAGCTGCCACATAGATACTTCCAGCATTACATTTTAAGTAAGGTAAGAAATCAATTTTGTTTTCCTAAAAAAAAGAGAATTTTTTTCCTTATTTAAAATCACATTCTAAAAGTTTCGCAATACAAATGTAAAAAAATTAATTCCATACTCATTACTGCGAAGAAAAATTGTTTAAAAATTAGATAAACTTTCTAAAATATGTAAATATAACACGTAAGTCTTGAGTAATACTGTAAATTTTCAGAATTCGAAAAAAAAGATTTCCTCAACAAAAAAAAATATTTAAGTTATAAAAATATTCGTTTTCTATCTTTTCTATAAATAAATAATGAAAATAGTTCTGTAAATGTATAGAAAAAAAATTATAAAAATTCTATACATATTAATTTTTTGTATGAAAAGAATTTCAACAAAAGTTTATTTCTGTATTAATGAATTTACAAATTTTTCATTCGTTCTTTATGTTTTAGTAAAATAATATTAATTCCAACCAAATTTAATTATTTATCTGCTAAAAGAAAACTTCTTTTTCTAGTTTTTTTTCGAAATTTTGGAATTATTCTGGTTTCTAAATAAAAAATTAGTGTTACTTTATCTACAACATTAAAACTATCAGATAGCAAACTAAAAGGTAAAGCGAGATAATATACATTCAAATACATGTTAGTTAATTTTGTCAACAAATCATCTTTGTATAGAATAATTATTACCTTTTATTTCTACTTATTTTAGAAAATTTTATTCTCTACGTTACAATTCAAATAAATCAGAATAATATTTTTCACATTAGAACTATTTTACTGTTCCCGTTTTATTTTATTTATAAATGTTTGAATCTATTTTTTCCTATTTATAAAAATCGTTCTAAATAAATTGTAAAATATAAAGAAAATAGTCGATGACTTCTTTTTAATGTAAAAAAAATCGTTCTGAATAACATTTTTTGCAGAATAAATAATAAACGTAAATAATAAATAAATGAGTCAAAAAATCGATAACTTCTTTGTAATGTTAAAAAAAATTATTCTGAATAAAATTTTGTAAAGAATAAATATAATAAAGAAATGAATAAAAAACAAATACGATAATAAATAAACAAATAAAAAACAAAGTCGACAATTTCTTTGTAATGTAAAAAAATATTTCCGAAGAAAATAAAAATTTTAAAAATAGTTCTAAATAAAATAAAAATACAGAAAAAACAGTTCTAATTAAAATAAATAAAAAATAGTACTGAATAAATAAAATAAAATAAAAGTAAGAAATATAAAATCTGAACTAAATTCTAATCTATAAAAAAAATTAAACCACAAATAACTAGCTATCACTGGTTCTTAACGAGAAAACTATTATTTACTAATTAGAAACTTTTAATCATTAATTTGATAATTTTCTGTTTGAAACTATGTGTGAAATATTTTTTCAAAATGTTTCTTTCGTTTATCGTTACCTTCGAATAAATATGAGAATAGAGAACACAAACCCTCGTGTTACGATTCGAGTCGAGTAATTAATCAATTAACCCAGCATTTGTGAGTGAAATTATGATGACGTGTCTCACTCGTGCAAAAATTATACCCGCATGTCTCACTAAAAAGTTTTCTGCTCGCTTATAGGACGATGCTCCTCAGTCCTCCATCTGCGCAATAGTCAATCCTTTCTCTGTGTATCATCAATTTTCATCAATATTTGCAATTCTCGTCATCTAAAAATAAAATTCTTCATATTATTATTGGGAAAATCCATTTATCAGTTATTATTAATAGTATTCACATCTATTGAATTTTTTCTTTTTAAGTATTTTTAACTTTTTTTTTCGATATTTTTAGATAAGTCAGTTAAGTTTTTTAGTCAATAATATTATTAGTTTATATGAAATTTTTTTATTTTTGTAAAAAAAACTAAGATTATTTTATTTTCTTACTATATAAATTCACTGAGAATATTATTTACAGAAAATATTATTATAAAAAATATTGTTTATAATAATATTATAATCCATCTTTTATTTATAAATTATTAATTTTATTATTATTATTAATTAATTAATTAATTAATTATTAATATTAATAATTGTTGTATTCCAGTAATCTGAAAAGAATTCAAATAAATTCAAATTTATTTTCAATAAATTTCTTGAGCAAATTTATTTATTTTTAAAAATTGGAATAAAATTCTCCGAAAGAAATCAATTCTTTTCAATAATTTTGATAAAAAATTCTTTAGTAGAATTTTTTATCAAAATTTTTTAAAAGAATTGATTTCTAAAATTCTTTAGTAGAGTTTTTTAACAAAATTTTTTAAAAGAATTGATTTCTTTCGGATAATTTTATTCCTATTAAAAAAAAAAGTAAATTCGTTCAAGAAATTTATTAAAAAATTTATTGAAAATATTTGAATTCCTTTCGTGAATTTTATTTGTTTTTAAAAATAATTAAATTCATTTGAAAAACTTCTTAAAATTAAAAAAAAATAATGTAGTTTTATTAATAATAAAAAATGTTTAAAGAAATTGGATTTAATGCTAAATCTCTTTCAATATTTCCAAATAATCGTATTTTTTTATAAATTGTAATTAAAAGATTGATTATCAGATTTTATTAAAATTTTTTGAAAATAATTGAATTTCTTAGAAGAATTTATTTAAATTTTTTAAAATAATGAAATTCTTGCGAGGATTATATAATTTTTTAAAAATATTTTAACCTTTTTGGAGAAATTTCACTAAAATTGTATTGAAAATAATAGCATTACGACGAAGAATTTTATTAATTATAAAAACATAATTGAATACTTGTCAAGAATTTTATTAAAATTTTAGAAAATAATTGAATTTTTGCAAAGAATTTTGTTGAAAAAAAAAATAATTTAACCTTTTCGAGAAATTTTCTTAAAATTATATTAAAAATAATTGAAATCCTGCTAAGAATATTAATATTTATGAAAATAATTGTTTTTTTTCAATAATTTTATTGATTTTTGTAAATAATTAAAATCTTTTAAAGAATTACTTTAAATTTTTTGAATTCAAAAATTAAAAATTTGAATATTGAAATTTATTAAAATTTCTTGTAAATAATTTATTTATTCTCAGAATTTTATCACAATTTTTGAAAATATTTAAATTCTTTCGTGAAGCGTTATTAAAATTGTACTAAAAATAATTAAATTCATACCTACGATAAAATTTATTATTTATGAAATGAATTGAATTCTTGTGAAGAATTTTTTTCAAACTTCTAAAAATATTTGAATAATAATAATTGAAAAAATTAATTTAATTTTCGAAAAATTTTATTAAAATTTGTAAAAGTAATTTAATTTCTTCGAAGAATTTCATTAAAATTTTATTGATGATAATTGTTATTTTTAAAAATATAATTGAACTCTTCAGAGGAATTTTATTATAAAATTTTTGAAAAAAACTGAATTGTTTTAGAAAATTTCAATACAATTTTTCAAAACTTTTATAATAAAATTCCTCCGAAGAATCCAATTATATTTTTAAAAATAAACCAATTTTTCACAGAAATCAATTATTATCAATACAATTTTAATCAAATTCTTCGTAGGAATTAAATTAGTTTTGCAAATTTTAATAAAATTATTCGAAAACAATCAATTGAAAATAATTGAATTTCTGCGAATAATTTTACTAAATTTCTTGAAAATAATTGAATTTTTTGATGAATTTAATTAAAATTTTAAAAGTTAATTAAATGTTTTTGAAAATTTTTATGAAAATTATATTAAAAATAATTGAATTCTTGTAAAGAATTTTATTATTTATAAAAAAAATTATTGTAAATACATGCAAATGATTTGATTAACATTTTTTACAATAATTGAATTCCTGCAAAGAAATTGTATTAATTATTAAAAAAAAATTATTAAATTCATGCAAATGATTTTTTCAAAATTTTTAACAATAATTAAATTTCTGTAAAGAATGTTATTAATGAAAATAATTTAATCCTGATTCAAGAATTTTATTAGTTTTCAAAAATAATTGAATTCTTTTCAAGAATTTTATTCGTTTTAAAAAAAATGGGATTCTTTTGAAGAATTTCTTAAACATTTTAGTAAATTAGAATAAATAATAATTATTAAAAGAATAATTGAATTCTTTTCAAGAATTTTATTAGCTATTAAAAACAATTGAATTTTTTTGAAGAATTTCTTTAAAATTTTAGTAAGAAATAAATAATAATTATTAATTACTTAATAATTGATTTTTTTAATTTTGAACCTGAAATTATTGAAAGATTGAAATTGATATTTTCGCTTAGAAAATTTTGCAATCTCCATAATAATAAAAAAATTGAATACTACAATTAACGCGAGTAACATTTGCTAATAATAATAGAACGAATAAAGAAAAATTTTAAATATTCTATTCTACAGACAATATCTGAAAAATTTGATTTCTTTTCCCTTTGTCAAGAAAAATTGACTTTAAGCTGATTGAAATTAATAGAATTTTAACACTCAAAAAAATACCTAAATTTATTGACCGTGAATTTACACGTTTTGTGTAGTCGGAAAAAATGCTGATATTGTGTGGGCATTTACCAGCGGAACCGGAATAGGGTCGTATATAATATAATTTTTAATGAATTCACGAGTGTGAGCCCGCATGAGAAAACCGATAGAGAATCTTTTTCTCTCATTTTTTTTTTTTGGTGTGAGATGTATAACCATTGTAATTATATTAAATATAAAATACAAAGTCTTGATCCATAGGTCTCTCTCTACCTCCCCCTCTCGTATTCTCTCGATCACTTAGATCTCTCCTCTCTCGGGAGAATTCCATGACGATGATGATGATGATGACGACGACGACGACGATTGCGACGGCGATGGGGGCTCACAGCCAATGTACCATTAATCAACAAACTGCCCTTTTCTTCCGTCAAAACTAACTGCTCCAATACACACCCTCATTGTTTGCCAATTTACCGTCGAGGACCTATTCATAGTCTTCAACCGTAATTTGCTTTTGTGAATGGCGATCCTTTTCTCGTGCCTGCAGTTATATTTATGAATAGAAAGAATCATATAAGCGATACCGGAAAAATATATATATATATTTTTTTGTTTTTTTTATTCTTTTACTTTTACTTTTGTTCATTCAAGCAATCAAAGTCAATTTCTTCAAAGAATTATTATATTTAATCTCGAATTATGTGAAAATAATTTTTTTTCAAGGTCCCACACACTGTTATACAATAGATGTAATTTATCGATGTGGATATAAATTAATTAATGTAATTAATATAATAATAATAATAAATATATGGATGGATTTTTCCTTTTCTTTTCTCTATTTAAAGGATTTCAGTCTGCTTGAGAAATAGATAATAATTAATAAGCGACGGAGGCGCAATTCATAATAAATAATAATTAATTTAATCATTTTTCTTTTTAAATGTTTTCAATTTTAAAACTAACGTATTGAAAATCATTGAATTCTTGCAAAGAATTTTACCAAAAAATTTGAAAAAATATTTGAATAATAATTGAATTATTTCGAAAAACTTTATTAAAATTTTTAAAGAAAAAAAAAGAAAAAAATTCTTTCCTACGAAGAATTTGATTAAAATTGTATTGATAATAATTGAATTCCTGTAAAGAATATTTTTATTTATAAAAATATAATTCAATTCTTGAAAAGAATTTTATTGCAATTTTTGAAGAATTTTATTAACCTTTTTTTAAAATTTTATTAAAACTTTTGAAATTAAATGAATTATAAAATCAAAATTATAATAGAATTTTTGAAAATCATAATTAAAATCTTGTCAAGAATTTCTTTGAACTTTTCTTTTTTTTAAATAATGGAGTTTCTTAAATAATTTTAATTGAAAATTTTGAAATTAATTGAATGTTATAAAGAATTTCTTCCCAATTTCTAATCGTGTTTGTTAACAATTGAAATTAAACATTTAATTATTGAATTTTATTAAAATTTTTAAAAAACAATTAAATTGACAATTGACTTTTTATGAAGAATTTTATTACAATTTTTAAAAATGGAAAAAATTAATGAATTCTTTATAGAAATTTTATTAAAATTGTATTAAAAGTAATTAAATTTTCAAGAATTTTATTACTTTTCAAAAATAATTAAATTCTAATAGAGGAATTTCTTTATATTTTTTGCAAATAATGTAGTTTTATTAAAAATTTAATTTATTATTATTATTTACTTTATTTTATTTATATTTTATTCATATTTATTGAAAATTTTGAAAATAATTGAATTTCACGAAGAATTTCTCTCAAGTTTTCAAAATAATCGTGTTTTTTCTTAATTGTAATTGAAAATTTGATTCCTAGATTTTGTTAAAAAATTTTTGTAAATAATTGAATTCTTCCTAGAATTTTATTACAATTTCTGAAAATATTTTAATTCTTTCAAGGAATTTTATATAAATTGTACTGAAAATAATTAAATTCAACCGAAGAAAGTTATTACAATATGGAAATATTTGAATCTTTTCGAAAAATTTCACTAAAATTGTATTAAATTATTGAAAACCTGAGAAAAATCTTATTATTTATAGAAAAATAGTTGAACACTCGACAAGATTTCATTAAAATTTTTTAAAAGAATTGAATTTATGCAAAGAATTTTGTTGTAATTGTTGAAAATAATTTTTCCTTTTCGAGGAATTTTCTCAAAATTGTATTGAAAATAATTCAATTATTCCTGCGAAGAATTTTAATATTTATGAAAATAATTGAATTCTTCTCAGAATTGTATTACAATATTTTAAATAATTGAATTCATTCATTGAATTTCATTAAAATATTGAAAATAATTGAATTCTTTCTAAAGATTTTGACAATAATTGAATTCTTACAAAAAATGTCACTACCCAATTTTTTTTTAATAATTTTAATTGAAAATTTTTTAAATAATTGAAAAAATTGTTTTCATCATTTCAAAATAATCGTATCTAGCAATAATTAATAATTAAAATTTTATTAAAATTACATTTGAAAATAATTGAATTCCTGAGAAGAATTTTACTAGTAATAAAAATAATTGAATAGTTTTGATTTTTTGAAGGATTTATTAAAATTTTTGAAAATAATTGAATTCTTTCGTGAAATTTTATTCAAATTATATTGAAAATAATTTAATTCCTGCAAAGAATTTTGCTATTTATAAACATAATTGAATTCTTCTGAAGAATGAAAATTTATGAAAATAATAATTGAATTCCTGCGAAGAATTTGATTAAAATGTTTGAAAGTAAACAATAATTTTTTATGTACTTAATTAGTGATTTTTTTAAATTTTGAACTTGAAATTATTAAATAATAATAATAATAAATAAAATTATTAAACTTCATTTGGGAATGAATTAAATATTGATTTCTTTTCCAGTAAGAAGATTTGGAGTTCACTGATCATCAAACATTTTTGGAGACGTTTCGATTTGTGACCGCAACAATAGGCGAACAATTGAAACGCTTGTTGCTGCGTTCACAGAGTCGAACCATCTTAATTTTATCAACAAAAATCCGACAGAAAAGAAAAGAATCAACAAGAAAGGAACTATGTACTACTAATCGAGAATTCTACAAAAAATTATCATTCGCCTGTGGAGACGAAAATTTTCCCCGAAAGGAAAGACAAACAGATAATTTATCTGAAATATCTTTCAGTTGGAGTGATTCACAAAAATATTTTCCAATATGTACTCTTCATTCAAAATGACTATATCGACGTAAGAATATAATAATGACTAATACTAATAAAATAAAATTATAAAATGAAATTTAGCAAACAAAATTTACTTTTATCAAAATTTCAACAAACTTTTATCATTTTTTTTTCTTCTGTATAACAATATAGTCCTTACCGGCGCGGCTATTTGAAGAAGGATGTTTTTTCATGTTTTACAAAACATTAGTAAGTTTTCAGTGAGAATATGTGGTGTGAATACGGAAGACTTTCAAATTTTATCGGATTTGAATGCTAAGTAGTAGTGCCGTAGGTGATGGATTTAAAATTCACCTCGACACGATTACTTTGCAGGCAAAAACGATCAATCATCGAATTTTCTTTTCGAGTACGGGACAATAAAATAAATCAGTGATTAAAATTTAATAACACTTGTTTCAAGAAAACTGTCCCAAGTTGCTTCAAATTATTCAAATATTTTTTCAAACTGTATATCATAATTATTGTATTTTCTTTCCTGTTTAATAAATTCTCTTCCATTCTATCTGTTCTTTTCATTGCTGTGAATATGAAATAATAAATCATTAATATAATTACCATTTCTTGCAATTTTTCATCCAGTATTTGTAATCTTCGTCTGAATTGCTCAAAATGTTTCGAAAATAAAATTGCTCACAGTTTTCCTCAAATATTTTTTTCATTTCGAAAAAAAGCTTGTAAGATCTGAAAAAAGTGGAAAAGAGTTATAATTAATTTTCACAATTAATGTAAGTTAATGTTTAATGTGTACACTTTATAAATTATTAAATATTTTTTTTCCTTACAATTTTCACATTCATAAGAAAAACATTGAAAAAAAGACGAAAACAAAACAGATTTAAATAAAATTTTCAAATTATTAGGAAATTCGTTTTTTTTCAATTAAAAGTAAAATAATAACCATTAAAATAATTACAATTTCTTGCCTTTTAATCAAATGTTAATAACTAGCAAATGTTACACGCGGAACGAGATATTCAATTTATTATTATTATTATGCATATTATACAATTTTTTATTTTCAAATATAAATTTTTGAATAATTTCATAATCAAAATTAAAAAAAAAACACTTATTAAGTACATAATTAATTATTATTGATTGAATTTTCAAAAATTTAAATATAATTCTTCACAAGAATTCAATGATTTTCATAAATAATAACCTTCTTAGAAAAAAATGAATTATTTACCTAAATAGTAAATTTTTTTGCCAAAATTCAATTTTTTTAAAAACTTTTAATAAAATTTCACAAAAGAATTCAATTGTTTTCTAAAATTTTTTAAAATCCTTCGAAACAATTCAATTATTTTTATAAATAGTAAAATTCTGGGAAGAATTTAATAATTTTCTAAAAATTTTAGTAAAATTCAATAATTTAATTGTTTAATTTCAATTATTAAGAAACACGATTATTTTAAAAACTTGAAAGAAATTGTTCATAAAATTCAATTACTGTCAAAATTTTTAATTAAAATTATTAAAGAAACTCCTTTAATTAAAAAAAATTGAAAGAAATTCTTCAAAAGAATTTAATTAGGATTTTCAAAAATTTTAATAATAAAATTCTTCGGAGAAATTAAATTATTCTCAAATTTTTTGATAAAATTCTTTGCAAGAATTCAATTATTTTCATAAATAATAAAATTCTTTGAAGAAATTCAATTATTCTCAAATTTTTTGATAAAATTCTTAGCAAGAATTCAAAGATTTTCAATATATTAATTTTAAAATTGAAAATAAATATTTAAGAAGGAAAATTATTAAAAAAGATAGGAAACAAAGAAGCAAACAAAGACTAACTGTAAACTGCGATCAAATTACCAGAATACAACGATTATTTAATATAGATTATTAATTGTATTAAAATTGTTTAAAGTTTCAAAAATAAAATTACTTACTTTTCCTCAAATACTTTTTTCATTTCGAAATAAAAAAACGTCCAGTTGCTTCCAATTTTCCTCATAAATATTTTTGATTTCAAAATACGTTTTCGAATTGGATTAACTTTCAAATCCTGAAAAAGAGGAGAAAAGTTCTAATTAATTGTTAAAATTTAAAGTTCAATTTTTACAATAAGACAGAATTTTTTACAAATTTATTAAGAAAATGAATTTGTTTCTATTATAACTAATTTCAGATCAACATTTTTTATACCTATAAAAAATAAAAAATATAAAAAATAATTACTATGATAAAATCATAATTTGAAATTATTTAGAAAATAGAACAAATGAATTTTTAAAAAAATTGAATAACAATGATATTTCTAATTAATTTTCAAAATTCCAAGTTCAATTTTTATAGTTTAATACAAAATAACATTGACTGATTAAACAAGAAAAAATTGCCATTTTTCTGCAATTTTTGAGATCGAAAAAATTGATATAAAAATTTACAAAAAAATCAGGACCAAAATAAGTGTAAACAAAAAAATTAAAAAAAGGATAAAAATAGAAATAAATTAAAATTTCAAAATTCCAAGTTCAATTTTTACAATTTAATAAAAAAAACATTGCTTGGTAAAATAATAAAATAAAAATTGCCATTTGTTTTTACAATTTTTGAGATCGAAAAAATTGATGTCAAAATTTACAAAAAATCAGGACCAAAACAAATGTCAACAAAAAAAATAAAAAAAAGGATAAAAATATAAATAAAAAAATTTAAAAATAAATTTTTGATTCTCAGTGTACAATTTGCGTCTCCACATAAACATGTGTGGTAATATCAGTTAAAGGAAGATATGTAGAAGAAAGGGTGAATGGTTTGATAACTATCCTCACCAGAAAGTTTAGTTGTACTCTCATGTCATGACAAACTCTCAACCATTCAGTACTCGGCATTGCTCGGGTCCGGCAGTGATTTCAATTGGTAAATTGATTTAGAGCGGAGGCAAAAAGAGAAAAAAAAGAAGAAGAATAACGAAAGAAAGAAAAAAAGTGATAAAGAAAGAACATCATCGGCAGCAAACGACAGTATAACTTTAAACAACTACCATCGTTTTATGTGTATATATACATATACATAAATATGTTCACCAAGGAAGGCTGAAGCAGACATTTAATAGGGAGTGAACGCCGGTTGAATGCTTAATGCACCACGGTTCTAGGATTAAATTGACCAATCATTTCCCGCGCGCAAAGAACGACCAATTACAGTCCTCGCCGTACTATATTAAGCCAATCAAGGCTAGTTTATCATTCAGTCGAGGATCTGCTCTTATGCCGCGCGGTTCATCATTGTTGATTGTGAATCTTTTTTCAAAAACTAAATTTTTTTTACCAAAACTTATTTAATTTTCAAATTTTTAATTTTGATTTATTTTTCCTTTTTTTTAATTCAATACGAAGAAGAGTAAGGTGACTAAAGAAAGGGAACCGAGAAAGCATTGTCGCGAGCAAGAACAGTGATTCATTTTTAAATATTTTAACTTTCAATCGCGCGTGTGTTTTAAGATGCGACGTTTTTTAAAATAGAATTTCTTTATGAAGAAGTGATTTGGACTGACGCTTGTAATATTCAGGGATTTATAACTGTGGAATTACAGTGTTGAAAGTAAAATATTATTTTAATTTAAGTGTAAATATTTCTTTGGGTTTCTAATTTCAATATTTTTCAATTCTGTTTTTCCATTCTACAAAATATTTTTTAGTTTTTCTAATTTTAAAAATATTTCTGAATTCTATTTTTCAAACTCTACTTTCTAATTTGATTTCTTTATATTTTTCTGTAGTTACTAAATTTCAATTTAAAATTTTTTATCCTGAGAATTCAATTTTTATAGTTTTTTGATAATAAAAATATATTTTCTTTTTTTATCATTTCTAAAAAAAAGTAAAAATAAGGACCAAAACTCTTTTGTGATTTTTTATGCAATTTAAAGTAATAGTTTTTTAACAAAAAGATTGTTTTTAAAAAAAAAACTATTTTTGAACGTTAATACAAAATTTCGAACGTTAATAAAAAAATTCCGAAAGCAAAGAACCGAGAATTGAGATTTTCCCCCGGGAATTTAATTCATAAAAAGATAAACTCTCAAAGTCGAATGAAAGCGAAGATAATTCTTAAATAAATAAAAAGCAATCGTTTTCTTTGAATACACATGGAATATTGTTAAAATTTAGTGTTTATCCCGAATGATGAACTTTAACCAGAGATAAAGAACTATCAGTGTTCGTTAATCAACTATTTTTATTTTTTTCCTCCTTTTTGCAAAAGATTCTCGTTTCTATACTCAATTTCATTATAGTTTCGACTTTCGAATAATTCGAATTCGTTTCTCGAAACCTTTTTCTCAAAATCCATTTTTCCGAAATCTTGAAACCTAGAAAAATAAAAGAAAGATTAATAAAGAAAAATATTAAAACCTAAAGTAGATAAAATACAAAAAAATACATATTTTAACAATTAAATTTGCCAAAAAAATATTTTTCACCCAATTCTAGAAAATTTCCTCTCTTTTTTTCAAAAAAAAAAAAAAAATTCGACAGTCGAAAAATTTCGCTTTGAAAAAAAGCTTAAATTGAAAATGGAAAATTCAAGATTTCTTCGATTAAAAGTCGAAGTTTGTTGTGAAAGATTAAAGGTCGTGAGATTTCCGGTCATTGTACCTCTTCCTAGATAATAATAAATCGTCTTCTAAATTTTCTTTTAATATGACAATAAGTGTTTATCTGCAGATGATCAATTCACATGGACCAAATGTCCGTGACTCACAACTGGCAATGAATATGAAGTAGATATTTATTATTCCCCAAGACTAATGCTAATTTTAGAATTTTCAATGCTTCCAGTTTCAATGTGTGTGTATTAAAAATTTAAATAACGTTAAAATTCACAAATTCTGTTTTTTTCTAATTTCACGTAACTTCGAAAAATTTTTACTTCCCTTCCCTTAAAAAGAAAAGAATTAATTCGCTAAAAATTGGAAAAGAAAATTGTCCTCAAACTATAATGACAACAGTAAAAATAATAATAATAATAATAATAATAATAGATAATAATTAATAATATTAAAATAAATAAATAATAAAACTAATAATAGATCATAATTAATAATAATAAAATAAAAAAATAAATAATAAAACTAATAATAAATAATAAAAACAATATAATATTAATAACAATAATAATAACAATTGTAACAATAATATGTTAGGAATAATTCAAAATTAAGTAATTAGTAATTCATAATTGGAAATTATTAATTAAATAACTTTCGAATTTCTTAGAGATAAGCGAAAAACTTTTTTTCTCTTACAAGCGTCAGTTCACAAATCGTCACGTACATATTTTGATATGATGACACGGAGAAAAAACTGTCACAGATCCAAAAAGCATTGAATTGTGCAAAACAAGATTTTTTTATAGTGAGAGTGATCTTTTGTATTATGAAGAGTAAAGGTAAGAACCTCCGGTTTCATTTTTATTCTTTCAACTAAAAAAAAAAAAAATCTTTGGCTCCCTGAACGATCCAGTGTCACGATCACTTCTCTGACCCTCATAATCTCTTTTTTCATCTTCTGATTCAGAGGTAAAAGCAACGTGTATTTTTTTGGGGAGAGTGGTTTATATAGCTCTCGAGAAAATACGAAAGACATTCCAAAACTCTATTTTTTATATCGACTCAAATTTAAAATTCTCATCGCATTTGAATTATTCAAAATCAGGTTGACTTCTAAGACACTTTTTTTCGTTTATCTTTTCTTTTGTTGATGTTTTTTTTTTTGAATATCGGAAATGAAAGAAAACGAAATTGTTTAAAATTAAATTACTTGAGTTTTTCAGATCATTGTTTATTCATTTTCAAAAAAAGTTTACTTTTGTGAATTTCAAATTTTTTTGTCCCTAAAATTTTTAAGGTTAAAGTGAATGACTTTTTTTATTACATTTTTTCGATTTTATATTTTCTATACTTTATAAAAAATAATTGTTTCTTATATCGAAAAAATTAATTTTTAACTAATCAAGTGTTTAATTTACATTATTTTTCACTTTTAGAACAATAATTAAATTTGCAGAAATATTTCAAACAAAAAATATTTCGTTCATTTGAACTTTCAAAGCTTCAAGAAAATATATTTTTCGTTGTCCTAAAATTTTGAACGAAATTTTTTTCGTTCATTTAAACGTTCAAAACTTTAAGAAAATATATCATTCGTTTTCCTAAAAATTTGAACTTTCAAATGAACGAAATTCTTCCTATTTAAATATTTTTCCAAAATTACTATACGAAGAAAAATAAAAAAAATTAAACATTTACTTAGTTGAGAATCAATTTTTTAACATATTCAAATTTATTTTTTATGGAAAAAAACAAATTGAAAGAAGAAAAAAAATATTGTCGTTCATTTCAACATTCTAAACATTTAAAAAATTATTTTTCAATAATTTGCAAATTTTTCTTTAGTCATGGAAATTTATGGAAAATTTCGATTGTTCCAATCCAATACAAAATATATTTTGTAAAGTTAATAATTTTTGTGATTTTTTCTATTAAATTCTAATTTATAATTTGAAGATAACGTTTATTTTTTTTATAAGTAATTAAAAAATTATTGAACAGAAATAATAATAAAAATAATAATAATAGTAATAACAATAATAATAATAAAGAATAATTTATTTACTTTGAACAAGTTTTTAATTAAAAAAAGTCTTAGAAGTTCCCATTTTTTCTCTATCTTCATTCGAAATGAAAAATTAAAAAAAGTTTTTGTTGTTTCAATTTTACTAATTTAGATATTTTTAATTTATTTAGAAAGCCTCCTTTTTAATTATCCTACACTTTTTTTCCTCATCTATTTGAATATTCCAATTTTTTATCTTCTTAAATTCTCCTAATTAAAGAGAATTGAAATATTTGAATAAGCAAACAACTTCTGTTTTCATCTGGATCAAAAGCTTTGAATAAGAATGCAATGTTTCTTGAATGAATTATTTCTATTTTTAAAATCATCCAACACTCAATTTATTTAAATTATTTCAAATCTTTTTTAATTAATTAATAATTCAATTAATTAAAGAAAATTAATAGAATTCAATTATTTATGATTTCAGTAAATTTATAATAATAATTTTTATTTTGGTAAATAATTTCTGAAAATTATATTTTCCTATCACTGTCAAAAAAAAAAAGAGATGAAAAGTAAAAAATTTCACACAATATTCTCAATTTCACAATCACAATAATCTCAATAAAGATTTTATCTTTTCTATTGATAAGATTTTACGTGAGTTGTAAAATTGAAAGTTTTCTTCTTTTTGAATTTTTAGTTTTCTTTTTCGTTTTCATTTTCATTTTTCGATTTCTTTTTTCGTATTTTTTTTTCGATTTCTCTTTCTTATAATTTTTTTTCTCTTTTCTTTTTTTTATAACCGAAAATTTATTCTTGAATGAAATATTGTTTTTCTTAGCAAATATATATAAAAGCGAAACAATCTGTTCTTAAAATAAATGCAGCTCTACATTTATATGTTGTTGTATGTAAAAACAAGAGGAGATTTTTGATACTGAAATATCATTTGTATAAATATAGTATAGTTTTATCACAATAACGATTGCATCAGTATTAATAACATATGTTAATATGTAATATCTTTTGGACCCGATAATAATAATTATCATTAATTAGAAAATTTTTCCTTTTAGTAATAATTTTTTTTTTGAAATTCCAATTTTCTTTTGTAAATAACACGAATAATTGCCTCTCAATTAATTAATTAATTAATTAGTAAATTATCAATTATCAAGAATATTATTTCCAAAAAAAATAATGTACAAAAATGTGACTTTTTATTATTAATAATTTAATAGATCAAATTGAGAAAAAAGTCGCCTGATGATATTAAAACAAATATCCAAAGATACGAAAAGCATTTGCATAAATTGAAAATTTGTTGTTCTGAAAATATATGAACTTTCTTTTCGAAGCTTCACGAGTCTGCTATCAAGTGACTTTTTGACCTTCTTGATAGTGGTGAGAATAAGTAGAAAAGGCACAGTAACACTGTTATGACTTGCAAATGAAATGTTTCACTGATAGTAACATTGCATCTTTGAAAAATCATTTATACATTCCACCTATTATTATTATTACTATTATTATAGTAAAATTGAAAAAACAAATTATTTTTTCTCATTTTTTCCAATTGTGAATTTAACACCTAAAAAATCGGAGTAAAATTAATTTCTCTTGTTTAATAAATAAATTTTCATAAAATTGGGGAATAATCAAAAAATTAATTTTTTGGTGTTTAGTTAATAAATTTTCATGAAATAAAAAACCAAGAAAAATTAAGTTTCAGTGTTTTCATAAAATAAGAGAACAAACAAAAATTAATTTTCGGTTTTTCATAAAATAAGAGGGCAAACAAAAATTAATTTTTGGTGTTCTCATAAAATAAGAGAGCAGACAAAAATTAATTTTTTGATTTTAGTAAATAAATTGTGCATAAAATAAGGGAGCAGGCAAAAATTAATTTTTTTGGTGTTTAATAAGTAAATTTTCACAAAATAAGGGAACAAGGAGCCAATTAGTTTCTCCAGTCGAAAGCGCGTTATTCAAGTTTAACATTGAGAACATCTGGACATAAAATTCTTGTAATACAGCAGCAAATAT